GCCTCTGAGGGAGCTCACCCTACCGGCCCTGCCGGCTCTTCTCCTTCTGGCCCTGCTGGTGGCTCTCCTTCCGGCCCCGCTGGTTCTTCTCCTTCCGGCCCTGCTGGTTCTTCTCCCTCTGGCCCCGCTGGTTCTTCTCCTTCCGGCCCTGCTGGTGGCTCTCCTTCCGGCCCTGCTGGTGGCTCTCCTTCTGGCCCTGCCGGCGGTGCTCCTCCTGCTCAGACCTCCGAGGGATCTTCTCCCGTTACCACTGGACCTGCTGGCTCTTCGCCTTCCGGTCCTGCTGGTGGCTCTCCTTCCGGTCCTGCTGGTTCTTCTCCCTCTGGCCCCGCTGGTGGATCTCCTTCCGGCCCTGCTGGTGGTGCTCCTCCCGCTCAGACTTCCGGCGGCTCTTCTCCCGTCACCACTGGCGCTCCTCAGTTCAGCACCTCCACCGTCTTCACCACCTCTGTCCGCACTATCACCCAGTGCCCTCCTGAGGTTACCAACTGCCCTACGCGCCCCAAGACTGTGACCGACACCATTGCTCTGTACACCACCATCTGCCCTGTTACTGCTTCTGAGGGTGCTCACCCCACTCAGCCCGCTGCCGGTCAACCCCAGCCTTCTCAGCCTGCCGCTGGCCAGCCCGGTTACTCTGCTCCCGCCGGCCAGCCTTCTCAGCCCGCCGGCCAGCCCGGTAACTCTGCCCCTGCCGAGCCTACCACCACCACCACGGCCACCTCTTACATCACCCAGACCTTCACCATCACCCGATGCCCTCCTGGAACCCCCAACTGCCCTGTTGGCGCTGTCACCACCACTGTCTACCCCAACGGTCCTTCCACTCTCGTGTCTCAGACCGTCCCCGCAGTTGTGATCACCCCTCCGGCCTCTTCCGCTGCCGCCGTCACCGTTCCCGTGGTTCCCGTGCCTCCCCCGGCCGTCTCCTCTGCCCCTGCTTCCAACCCGGCAGTTCCTCCCTACAACCCCGCGGTCCCTGTTGGAACTGCCCCCGTTGTTCCTCCTTACAACCCTGCGGTCCCCGTTGGAACTGCTCCCGTTGTTCCTCCTCCCGTTGGCACCGCTCCCGCTGGTTCCCCGGTGTACACTCCTCCGGCTAACCCTCCGGTCATCTCTCCCGCCCCTCCTGCCGGTACCAACCCCGTTGGTCCCCCAGCTGGTGGTCCTCCTGCGGGCTCTCCCTCAGGAATCCCTCCTGTTAACTCTGCTGGCCGTGTTGGTGGCAGCATCTTCGCTGCCATTGCCGCTGCCGCAGTCTTCCTTTTGTAAGTTGGATAAGCTAAAGTGTGTTTTTGGGTCTGGAACATGGACACTTGGGAGTCAACCATGTCATAATGTTCGGAAACGTGTAAATAGTATGATTTAGAGAAGGATTTTTATTGCTTTATTCTTAGCCGCGCCAGGTCCTATAGATTTTGGATACAAAGAGCGGGCTACATATGGTACAAAGGCCATATTTATTTCTTTATTCTATATTAGTCGAATGAAATGGCAGTCTAAAATTATCTCTTCTTTACATGATGTGATGTGAGTGTTTTCATCCAGTCTCCAACATCTAGAGTCAGGATAAGGCGATGCTTTTCAGTGCTGTGAAGTGTTTGTTCCTTTACTATCTAAATGGTGGCATTTGAGATTCCGTGGCTTGTGCTCTATGGTTTATGTGATTATGACTTGAGAGGATGTGATGCTTGTTTCTCTGTGAAATTCTAGTCATTTACACAACTGCGCCAATCATTGTTTACTCTACGCCTCTTTGCTGCTATTGTGTTGTGCCAACTAATAGTCTTGAATCTGATGGTGTTGAGGACTCCGATTAAAGACGTTGCCCTACCTAAAAAAACTAAAAAACCAGACTTGTCTCCTCTCGATGCTAGTCAGGAACCCGGATCCAAAAAGGCTACAACGTTCCGTCCGCCGGCCGAGCCCCTTCCCCTTAGTCAGATCTGGTGGCTGAAACAAGGTGTCACCCGCACACGGAAAACAGGAACAATAGGAGCTAAGAGCAGGGGGGGTACGAGAGACAGAAAAAGAAGGAAAAAACACCGCAGTGCGGGAGTTCTGCGGCGTTACTGGTTTGGGTTAGAAGGTGGTGATGGGGAGAGAGAATTTTAGGACATGTACAAGTAAGTATGGGCATGGGATGTTGGAAATCGTATGCTTTTTCTTTTCGGTACTCGCCGAGGGATGGAATGCATTTGCAAGGATAACCAGGCAGGCCTAGCCAGGGGACGAACAGACTTTGGGAAAAGATTGAGTGCTGGTTTTGGCTGATTCTCGAACAAGGAGCCAGAACAGGTTTGTGTGCTTGTACGAATGTGATGAGAGATGTGGCATCAGCACCATACGAGTTTTTCCTTCTCCTCAGTCAGCCAAATACCAGCATCCTTGATGACCTGGAAGAGGTAGGTACTCGTATCTGCAAGATGAGGTGCACAGTATGCAAGAATTCTCACAGAGTACTCCCTACATTGACCGCTGGACAGGTACTCGTCCGACTCGTATAACGTGCATGCCAACACTTTTGTCACTCACTCTACCTGACACATGCCGATGCAGGTACCAAAGCCGCTTTTTGCCTTAAAAGATGGGCTTCCTCCGGGATCTGGGATGCCGCTTTGGTGTTAGCCAAATTACGCAAGGGGCAGCGACTGCAGCTTGTCCACGCAGGGCCTGGCGGCATGTTTCATGGCTTTTTTTGCGTCCCACGCTCTGTTTTTTGCCTCTTCGCTTCTGTGTTTTTTTGCGGACAGCGGGATGTCGGATGTGGCGTTTATAAGTGCTGGGGCAAGTGGAGGTGAGGCGTTTTTTTTCGTCGTCTTTGTTTTGAGGCTTTCGGGGCGGGGGGCCACTGTCACTTTTTAATGCTGTGGAGTAGACGGAAGTTCCTTGACTACCTGCTTTTGCATGTACAAGTCTCTGTTCACCTGCTTCGGCGTCTTCGGATCGCCAGCTGCTAGTGCGACGCTCGATGAGTTTTAAGGACGAGATGGTGCCTGGGCGATCATCGATCTGAGCCAAGCAGCCAGGCCTGGCCAGGCACCCGGGCGCTGATGGGATGAGCCTTTTCGCGCACCAGTGAGAGCTACTGTACGGCAGAGCTCACTCACTCCGAACTCCGCGGCTCTTGCGCCATCCCTCCTTGCAGGCAGCGCTCCACCAGAGCTGAGCTTGAGCGTGCTCTCTACTGTATGCCCAAGGCAACATGTTCGTTTGCTACGCGAGCTGCCCGTCTTCTTCACCGCTCGCTTCTCCGGGGAAATCGCCAATCCCCGGCTGGCACGAGTCACGCCGAGTCCTACCTGCGTTAGTAGACCTGCTCGGTTCGAAATCTCCTTTTACACGTCTGGAATGCCTCTCTCGCTCCTATTGCCCTTTGTGCTGGGGGAGCCTGTTGGATGTGGAGCCGCAGACTCGGGCACAGCCAGCGCTGCAACGTTTGCTTGCTGGATTCGGCATCCTGGCCCTTTATATGGAGTCACTCGCGTGGTTTGCAGCCCTTGCCCGGGATATTAAACTCGTATTTGTACGTAGGTACAGGCATTCCCCTATTTTATTGCTTGCTTCTTTCGAGCTCCACGCCGGGCCACGCGCATGAGTCTTGTACCGGTACGAGGACCGGTATCATGCGCGCTGCACGTTGAAGTGGACTCGAGCGCAGCATTTGAAACTTGGGCATTACTGGTATGCAGGGGCCGAGGTTGCGAGAGCAAAGGTGCTGCTTGTGCTGTACTGGAGGACTTGCAGCGCTTGCAGCACCTGCAGTGCCCAATGCAGTGCTGCAGTGCTGCAAGGATGGATTCGAGTACACACATAAACTGTCCTACGACCCCCCCTGTAACCTGTCCTGTAGTAATACTCGCCTTTCCTTTTTACGCTAAGAAAGATGATCTGTCCCATGGACAGGTGAATTATTAAGTCTAAAATTCACCGCTGCAGATGAGGATTTTAATTGATAGACCGCTCTGGTCGATAATCTAGCAACACCTTCACTCCCTACAGTCGTTCCGGACTAGATTGCTCCCGCGCTATTACCTGTCCGTGGGATAGATCATCTTTTGCGCTAAGAAAAGGAAATATAACCATTACTACAGGACAGGTTACAGGGGGGGTCGTAGGACAGTTTATCATAGCACTGGATGGATTCACTGCGCTGTAGATGCAGTATGCTGTGTCGTAATCGCTTGTGCTGCTGCAGTGTGCCGTTGTGTTAGATGCGCAGACGCTGTGAAATCCACAAAGACGTGTAAGTGGTCTTCTGTAGACGGCACGGCGTTGCTGCCTTGGATGCCGAACGTAACCGGCGCATGACTATCGTGGCCGCTGGCTGCTGGCCTTGGAGCCTCACTCTTCTGGCGGAGAGCCTTGCTGTTGGATGCAGTCTTGGGCTTGGGGTTTGTTGCCTGATGCAGCCTCAGAAAGCGGCCGTAAGCTGCGAAATCTCAGCACTCTGGCCTGCGATTGGGGGCCGTGATGTCAGTAGTTAAATAATCTTCAGTGCTGTCGTGCTCCGCCACCGAACCAGCCACACCCGCCCAGCGGCCGGCTGCAGCAGGATGCGAGGCGCAGTCGCCGTTGCACCAATGGCGCTGCGTCATGCCTCCAAACCAACATGAGCAGCGAGCAAGATGACCGCTGAACGCTGCATCGCATCCCCATCCGATGCACCGCGGCCGGCCGTGAGACCAGACGCTCAAAGTCTCTGATGGGACGGTGGCACAGCTCGCGCGATGCTTTCGACGGCCCTCTTTTGTGCCTCAGCCATCCCTAGACGCGGTTCAAATAACGTCAGAGTCCAAACGAACATGCGGCATCCAACACCTTTTATCCTCTCCGACTCGTTGATGCGGGCACGAGGGCCCATTCCTCCGTCTGAATCTTTCGCTCAACGCTGAACTGGGCCCCGAGAGCTTCGTCGAGAGCGCCTACGCCCAGAGACTAACTAGAGCTGCACCAAGCCGAGCACCATGAGCCAGCGTCCCGTCACCACGTTGGTGATACCAACGCAATCGTCGTTGCCCAACAGCCAGCCGACCACTCCCAATGGGCGCCCTTCGGCATGGTCCTGGTCTGCGCAGCGGAAAATGGCCCGGCTCTATCTGTATACCACGCTTCCGGCTGAAAAGATTCGAGCCATTATCAACGCTCATTCTCCGGACAAGACCATAAAGTAGGTTCACATATCCAGCTTGGCTGCCTTGTATCCTTGGATGCGAGTAAACTTGGTTTGGCCCGTACATGCTAATTAGATGACAGGCAAAGCTCCGCGAACAAAAAGCTCCAGTCCTTCTTTGATAAGGAACCGCGATGGCTCCATCCTCATGACAACAAAGACATGGGGCGGCGCATCACCGAGCTGGCCAATTCGCCAACCCAGCTCCAAAAGGCTTGGGAGGTGCAGCTCTCGTCGGCTCATTTGAGCCCCCAGGACCAGTCTTCGCTGTATGCAAGAAGCGACTTTCTTGGCATCGGCGCATCACCAAGCGACGCTTGCTCGGAATCCATTTACGGCAGCGATGCTTTCTCGGAATCGCAAATGTCGCTTTCTTACGCCGTGCCCGATGCTCCAGGAGAAAGTCCGGGCGAAAGCCGTGGAAGCCGAGACCATTCTGTGGACGATGGCCAGGATTTCAGCCCATTTATCCCGTTTCTTCAGCGAACTACCGGCATGACGGAGTCAAGCGCAAGGACTACGGGCACTTTTAGAGATCATCTCCAGGGATACACAGAGCCTTATATCAAGGTGGTCAAGCGTCTTGTCAAGAGATTCACTTCGCCGGCACTCGAACAGTTGAGCGCATCCTCGCAGCACGACAAGCGCGTGGATCCTAGCCATGATTGGATTGGCGAGCTGGCTGAAAGAATGTCTCACACCCACGAGCATTCCTTGATCTTGCCTGGAGCTTTTGTCAGTTTCGAAAGTCTCGATTTTGCAAATGGCTCAGGAGTGCTAGCGGCCTGGAGGCACTGGTGTGGCTGCATCCAAAACCGAGGCAAGATCTGCTGGTTGATGCCCGATGGACTGACAGATCTTGCTACAGCCGTCTTGAATCTGCAATCTACACAGTTTGATGATATGCCATGTGATTGCTTTTCAAACACAGCACTGCATTTCCTGGGGGCTTGCGCCACTCCCGAAGTGTTATGTCGGGCTCTCATGGAGGGCGAGTGTTCTCGCATCATCAACGCTCAAAACACTGCTGGACAGACGTTTATGCATCTTCTCACTCCCTCAAATGGATGGAATCATCAATCGGTTCTTGGGTTGATCAGTATTGCGCAGCACAAGGGATTCAACATGTCCGCGCGAGACTGCCTTGGCCAATCCAGTCTCCATGTGCTCAAAAAGCTAAACTTGCTGCCATACGGATGGAGTGATATGAGTCTTTACGAGTTTCACGTGCGAGATGCCTTTGGGTGTATTCCGGTTAATCACGAAGTGAGCCGCGAAGTGAATCCAAGCCACACGCAAGCGTTTCAGCATGAAAACGTTGAAAACGGAAGCGAGAGCGTTCCGATACCCGACCCTGCACTCAATCCCGGAGAGAGTAACAATCCCGAAATATCGCAGGAGAGCCAGCTTTTGCAAAACATCAGAATGTCCTTTACCAGTCCGCATTGGGAAGACGAATATGGGCACAATGGCCTGCACTGTCTTGCCATGGCAACGCTGAGTTTGGAAAGCTTGGCGGAAAAGCACGACATGAAAGAGGAGGCGGAACAGGTCCTTGCTCCGGAGAGTTTCCACCACTTGAGCGACTCGTCTACAGAAAGACTGCAGCTTCGTCTCTCGATACTGGAAAGCTTGCTCGCTGCCGGACAGGACCCCAACCACCGAGACAAGTTTGGCCAGACCCCTTTGATGGCTTTCGTTGCGGCGCTTCCGGAGGATGGCGGATACAAGATTGGGCCTACCATCTTGAAGTGTCTCATTTCAAAGGGCGCTGATGTCAATGCGCGGAACAGGGCCGGAGAAACCGCCTTGCACGTTGCCGTGCGTTTTCACAGGAAGCTCGCCATCAGGGTATTGACTGAGGCGGGGGCCAATGTCCATGTCACGGATGCTTGTGGTCGAAGCTTGCTTGCTGTGTGTGACGATGAGCTGGCAAAGTACAGCCATCCGGCAGAGTATGGCAAGTACTTGGCTTGCAGGGCGTTCTTGAGTGGGCAGGCTGGCGCGGTGCAGGATCCGTTCTTTTTGCAGCAGTGGATGGTGGGGAGTTGAAGGGAGAGAGGTGTTTGAGAGGTGGTCTTTTTTTTCTTTTTTCTTTTTTTCTTTTTTTTTTTTCTTCCCAGTGTTGATATCCTTTTTTATAACAATATTTCAGGCGTTTATTACTGGACTTGGATTTGTTTGAAGCGTTATGAGCATTAGACGCGATGCAGGGCTCGCGCCTTATAACCTTATGTCATTGGATGTTCGAATGAAGAATGAGTATGATGATGGCAGCGAATGGGGCACGTTATAATATACTACTGGATAGTTATTGGAATAAATGCTTGAATGATTGAGTTTTTCTCATTGGGTGATGATGTTCCGTAAGAGGTTTTGAAGAAGTATGATGATGGAGATAGTAGGACGTACTATAGGTAACTAACCACAAGATAGTCCTCAGATCAATGCTATAATGATTGGTCTTGTCTCACTGAATGGCCTTTTGTTATGTGAATGGACTTTCGAAAGGCAAGAGTTATAGAAGAAATAGGCATCTGAAATGTGAGTCCCTTGACAAATCTCAATATCAAGAGGGGCGGTAATACTGCGATTATCCTGTTGACTCATGTTACGATGGTCATATGCAGTTGGGTGGTGGGAAGGACTGTCAGTTGCAGCCACGGTGCCTCTCTGAGATGTTCTCCCCTTTCCCCCTCTTATTTTTTTAAGCCTTCAGTATTAGGTAAAACAATAATGGTCACCTAGAGCTTTTCTCAGGGCATAGCCGCGGCTCTTATCAAGTGCTTTGCGATTTTGTAGTCGTGCTGTGGGAAGGAATGCATAGCATGTGATGTATGCGTTGTGCGACTCAGCTATACTTATTTGGGGGGTTTGGCACAACATACGGTGATTGCCAAAGGCCAAAGAATACCTGCCAGGGAACTATTGAGGTATTAAGGTCAAATACTACTGCCAAGCTGTTACAATGGTACCTTGGGGAATCTATATGTTAGTATGCGAATCCCCTCGGAAGTGGTCACCGTGCCTTTATCTCTATTGAGAGTACTGATAGTGGATAGAAGGAATTAATAGCTCTAATTGATTCTGCAAATCAGTCGCCTGAAGTTTTCTCTAGGCTTTATGAGGCTCAGATGTGCTTCATGAAAGTTCAAGTTGAAACATACATACAAGCCACTACGTTTCCAGATCGCCTTGGCGAAATGGCCCTCGTAGAAGTGTGGCTTCGGGGTATTGACCATGGCCTATCACCTATTGAACGATTTTCTACAAATTTTTTTACCTTTTCTTTTTATGTTCCCCTCTTCAAGTTGGAATTGAGAAGCACTTCATCGGCTCGGACAGCGCAAAAAATGGCTCCCTGGTCTGTATTGAGCACGGATCAGCTGTTCAAAGGTGGCTGTGTTTTCCTAGTTGGGCAGCGACGGGCCCTCTGATTGGCTTGAACAAAGAGACGCTTTCGCTTGATAGTCAAGTGGAACGAACCTAGTGCCAGTCGTCTGTGCCTTGTCTTGGAGGTCTGAGAATGATCTGTCTGTTTGGGCGCAGGAGAAGAGAAATTTTTTGAGATTTCTCAAAACGCAAGCATGGCGAGGCTGCTGTGTGTATGCTCCATGATTGTTGGGCCTTGAGGCTGAGAAACCTGGCTTGACCTATTTTGGATCGCTAGGGCAATTGCCATATCCTGGAAGAAATGTAGATGATGAACAAACTCGTGGATGTAGTCGGATGACTACTTCTTAGGCAATGATGCAATATAAGGCAGGGACGCGTCTGATGCTTCATCAGAGCACTGCCCGGGGGCTCCAGATCAGCCGGAAAACTCTGCCCTTGCGGCTCTGCGGCAAAAAGGCCCCCATCTCTTCCTCCATCCAAGCACTCAACAACAGACGAAATTTGGTCCTAGCGCTTGAAGGATTCCCTGAACCGTATCCCTGGGACCAATGGATGAGAGGCCGATAACCCCCTTCTCCACACCCCAGTCAGTAAGTTGTCTTCGTATATGTAGAACTGAATCATGTGCTAATATAGATGGTGGAGGACGATGGCATTGTAGGTGGTCTTTGCTGCTCAACGGGTTACATCCGGACATTGCCGACGTCTTGTCAGCATGCCAATCCGTCATACCAGCCTCCCATTTCCCTTGCTCAAGACCGAACTTTTGACACACTATTGAGAGTCTCGATAAGACTAAGCAACAGTCCAATCAGTTATAGCAACTCTGTGATTGGCTAATTCTCACTTATCCATTAATAACAGAGACCGCAGCGTCATGCGTGTCGGCCTGATAGCAACCACCAAATGCCGTAACCAAAGGGTTGGTTGTGAAAATAGCAAGGAACCAGACTCATTCTCACCGGCGATGTTACGTCCCTAACTGTAACCGGGTGCGTCACATTAGGTAGTTCAAAAGGAGGCATTAGACTAGAGCGAACAAAGACGTGGCAGCCGGCCAGTCATTCAGAATGTTGCTTATGCGCCGCTTAGTTATATATATAATGCCGCAAGGCGGAGTGCTCAAACTGAGGCGTAAAAAGAAGAAAGCCTTGAGGAATAGACTTCAAAAAGTAATGGCGATTGCGTAATCTGGGAATCGAACCCAGGGCTCCCCGACGTTGCGGATGGCAACGGAGAATTTTACCACTAAACCAATTACGCGCTTCAGTGATTGATGAATGTGGGTGTTTATTTTTGATATATGAAGTCAAATGTCCGTAAAAGAGCTGCATCCTACTCTATCTTGAAATCTAGTTATAGCTTAGGTAGAGATGGGCTTTATTTAGATCAATCCATCCGACTACTCAGGGAGTTGAACCAATTAGACAGAAGCTGCTCACTGCTTACACCACCTATGTCCCGTAAAACAAGCGCGGAGAATCCCATATCCAGAATAAACTCGTATTCAAGTGCTTCTCATCTTTTCGTGTTCCTGCTAATTAATGTATATTTGGCCATGATCATTCCTTACACTCAGAATTTTTGGGGGTCCCTGGATACTCGCGTTCTCTGTTATCCATGCCTGCCATGGATCACGACTCCTCCTCACACCATCTGAGGGTCAAAAGGCCCCTCCAAATCAACCACTCAACCCACCAGCATCAATCAATTATACTTTTTGTTATTGGTGACCATTCGGAGTGTACCATTCGGACACTCCGAAGAGCATCCAGATCCTGAAAGCAACAACTTCGCACTAAACCTTTTCAGATCGTGGAGTCGTGCGGCTACTGGGTCCAGCGCTACAGGGTCATACTACAGCCTCGTTTCCAAAACGCCTATTATTGGGTATCAAAACTTTTTTTTTAAATCGGGTGTGCTCAATCTGTTTTGAAGATCGGCAATGTATGAGTAGCGCACTACTGCTTCGGCGGCCTGCTAGAGCGTCTGAACTGCGTATCAAACTGCTGTAAAAATGCAGAGGCTCTGGCTTGTCTTGCGGCTATGGCTCTCCTTTCCATCTCTGCACGCCCTGAACTGGATGATTGATGTTGCGGGGGGCTGGCAACTTGCCCGCTGCGGCCCACGAATTGATCAATGGCATAGGTTGGATCGTTGGGGACCTTTCGAAGTGCGGAGTTTTTGCTGCTGGAACTTGCTTTGTCTCTGTATAAGCTTATAAGCATGTATAAATTGAGCGAGTTGGGGCAAAGTCGAGCTTTGACAAGAAGAACGTATGCTATTATGAGAAAGTGACGTGGCAGAGGGGAAAAGTAAGAATATACAATATTTAGGGCTGGGCTTACTTGGACTTGCCGTAATAAACGGTGTTGTGAGAAGACATGGCTGCTTATAAGATGTCGCGAGGCAGATGCCGCTGGTGAGCTGTGTAAGCTGTATGGTGACGATGGAGACACTGCGTTCGACAGAAATCTAGCGGCAGGTATTGTGAGTGAGGATAATTGTTGAATAAAAATTGGATAAGAGGCTTTTTATATGTTTTAATCTCGCCTTTGTAACCACCCTCTCGATACTGTAGAATCTACATATATGTTCCAAAAGAAGGGGGAATCACCATCTTGGCAAGCCACACTCTTAGGTTGGCACTCTGTGCCGGCGGACTTGCTCGATCGGGCAACATCCTTGTTCAACGGTGGATTTTGATATTTTGGTAACGCTCGTGATTGAATAGTTGCACCTAGAGCTACTATTTGTTGTGCGACTATCCGCCGACACAATTTGATCCTAAATGTATAACCCACGCGTTCGCCGGAAAAGTGCCGAGGAATGCAACACTACATCTGGTGTAGACAGTTTTAAAAAAGCAATCGGGTCAGTCGGTGAGGCTGTTTGCGTTTATAGAATGACGCGCAGAGCGATTTTGTGCGGCAATCCTGGCGATCTTTGCTGTCCAAATGTTAGGCATCACCATTTCAAATACTTGGAGCCACGATCCCAAACCGTTAGATGAAACATGGCACAAGTCAGAACGTACCAGCCTGTTACAACAAATATTGTTAGCAGTAGCATTTGCATTTGAAGGGCGCGAATTGAAGGGTAGAGGGCGCAAATTTTTCATTTGAGCCCTTTTATTAGGTACATGTATTCTTCTATTGTTATTGTTGTGGCAGGGCGAAATTTTACGGACCAGTACTACCTTTAGATTGCTGTATCTCTGCCATAGACTTTAGAGAGATTCTAGTGCTAACAGCCTCGTTAGTGTGACTCTGACGGCCTTGTTTTTTTTTTCCTTCTGCCATACTATATCCGCCACCCATGAAAAGCCGATTAAAATCAGAGTATAATATACAAGACGTTAATTGGCTGGCCTGTCGTGAACTGCATTTTTAGACATTTTTTTGTGTGGGCGTTGTGATGTAATAGGTATAGATGTGCCTGCGGCAAAAGTCAGGATCGCTGTAAATACATGTAATGATCTGCAAACATTCAGCCCATTACCCCCATCCTGGAAACTTTTGAGACCGTTTCCTAAATATAGGTAGACGACAAGAATATGCCACACAGGCAAGGAGATGATACTCAATCGGTCACCGGTAATTAATAAGGGCAACAGCATACATAAGTAGGTGTTGGATCCTTCGTCCACAACATGAAATAGGAGCCGATTTAACAATACATCTAGACGCTGGATTAGAGGGTGGCTCCCACAAGTTTCAGGCTGGAATAGGCAGCACAATTAAATAAAGTAGAAATCTCCGAGAAAACAGGCAGCTACAATACTTGCATGTTCTGGATGCACTTGAGCCAATCGATGGCACGAAGGAGTTTTTTTTTTTTCTCTTCGGGATCTTTTTATCTGCTACTACCTGGACGCCGAAGACTTGCATAATGGGAAGTACATGTATGTGGTACTCCCCCTGTCAATTGCCCGGTTTCCAGAAAACCGGGGTGTCGGCATCGCAGTAGATTCGGCCGACGAGAGCAAGGAGCACCATGCAGTGGTACAGCGCCGCAGTGTGACAGTGGCTGACCAGATTCTATGGGAGAGAAGATGGCGATGGAAGAGCCAGACGCGTCATCGGATAGGCCGAGCTTGCACAGAACTTCTACATTCCTTGTAAGCCGCTTTTCTGGAACTGTCCTCGACCACACGGCTTGTCTACCCGTGAACACGTATGCAGGGGGGCACTTTTGACATGGAAGTCAAAGGATTGGAGAAAGAAAAACTGCTTGCTAGTGCCGGATCGACTACTCCATGCCATAGGACGGCCGAATCTTAGACAAATCGTCAGCCGTGTGTGATGGGGAATGCCTGATGGGTGTCAAATCCTACGGCTCAGAAATAGAGTTAAAGACGCGTAATATGAGTCGCCATTATTGGAAAATGAACGAATCAAACCTGTAAATAAGCTGTTACAATGCGATTGCCTGTTATGCAGGGAGCTAAAACCACTGCTGGTCTACCACTATAGAGGTGTAAGTGATGGGCGGTGGTGATTTTTTGTTCCCCTCCTGCCTTTTAGGGCCTATGCCTTTCTTGATAACTAATACGAATGATTAAGTATTGATTGGAATAGATCTCGCGCCATGGGGGACCAACTTCAGGCTTATACTGAAGTGAATGTCCAAAATGATTACAATTTAATCTAACTTTTAGGGTCTGAGTACCACTTGGATATAATTTATATGAGAGTATTGTTATTTCACAACAATGTTGTGTACTTTTGTATACGACGTCGCTGAATCGAGGCCTGGCCTGGCAATGTCTCGGACAAGGACGCCCGTACGATGTGATGTTGAGAGAAGAAGAAACACCTACAGGTAGGTGGAAGCTGTTCTACGGCTGATACCATCATAAGTCGGTACACGCACTATTGCAGTCTTCTGCCAGGTCGATACCACCTCAGAAATGGGTAATGGTATGTTATCTTTCGCAAGGCGATCAAATATATTATTCGCTCATCACAGCGCAACCTACATGTACGTATGCGTGCATTCGGAATGTTTAGGCAAAATGGCCTCATGTATCGTAATAGGAAACGAGTCATGTAATGCGTAAGCGGATTTCTCTTCTCTTGAACTGGCCCAAGCATCAATCGGTACGGCCTCTTATGAATTAATGAGGCTTCATACGTGCTTCACTGTCACGTTATTTCAAGAATGCCTTGCCAGTTGGGCTTCGGTGATAACAATGTTGTCAGCTGGGTCGGAACAATTTCTCTTGAAAGCTTTATGAGGAAGCGGCCAGCGGCAAAACGCTTGTATTGATTACATGTATGAGTAGTGACCAGTAGGGTGGTTGCATTCAATGTTCTAGACCTGCAAGGCGTTTTATTACCTCCTCACGTTCAAATAATCCCGCTTTCTTCCGCTGTTCATGTCAAACTGGCTTCTGCCTGGGAATTTACTGCGCCTCTCAATACATATCGCATTGCATATGACATATTAAAAAACCTATCGCCTGCATGTGATTCGAATTTGCTATTTATCACGAGACTCTACCTTCTAGTGAGATCATTACCGAGGGATGACCGGGACAAAAACAAGGCTGGCGCGGCTAAATTTGCGGCTGAGGAATCAAAGGATAGTGAGGAGACGATTATAACAAGAGTGGCCCCTACAAATAGCTAAATAGTATTATGAGAGAATAAAAACAAAAGAAAAGTCTGTTGATGCGGGGTATCTGCCAAATTTATCACTAAATGCTGGAGTTATCGCAGTTCGCTCATTGGGAAGATGTAAGTATCTCCAAACTACTTATCAGCCCTTTTGGCGGGGTATGAGGGGTTTCTTTCTCTTCTCTGGTTATGTTTCTTGCATACATATTTCTCGCTCTTCTACGAAAAATCATCTTTGCCTTTGCCAATACGCTATTTTCCTTGTTTCTCTTCTTGGTCGTGGTCCACTTACAAAGAAGGGCCCTCTTGTTGTGGCGCCGATACTGAAGCTATGCAGGCAAGAAACGACCAAATTATTTGCTAAATGACATACGACAAGCAATCGAAAAGTGACAGAAAGCCAATAGGCAGAAAGATAGGAGGGCGTGAGCGATACAGAGACAACTTTCCAAGGCGGATTGCGGTTGTCTGATGCAACGGGGTATGCATTGAGCTCAGTACGCCTTATGAAGAGCCTATCGTTTCGCGAGGACCATCATCTGCAACTTTCGACCAGTAGTCCCCGCCATCATTCCGACTGCTACGATGCGACCTTTTGACGAAATCTACGCAAGTTGCCTTTCCTTAGTACAAACGACCGCATGCCCCGTAAATAAGGCAAATCTGCTATGCGTTGGCATGCCTGCCTCGGACGCCTTATTAATGTCAACAACCTCGAGTCGAGAACCCCGATGAGAACACTACGGTCCTCGAATGAGACGTGAGCCTCAAACGTTCAAGGAGAGCTATCACAACAAGGCAACAAGGCAACACGACAAGCGTTGAACGCATCTACCGCGCTGGTAATATGGCGCATGGCAAGGGGTGCCGAAAATCACTCGAAGCTTGGCACGGTATTGTGCCTCTCACCCTTTTGCTTGCTATCCTTTGCGATTTGGAGTATTGTTTCCAAAACTGGGGAGAAGAAACGAGCGAATAAGCTGTGAACGGGCTGTGGAATCATTCGTCGTGGATTTCTTCAACCGCATCTTTCGCAGTAAGATAGCCAAGCAAACTCCTCCCGCTACGCTGCTCTGCACCTTTCAAGATGCGATGATGAACCTATACTATGAAGGGATGAAGAAAATGTGAAGGTGTTGTTAATTGGAGTGGCGCAACTGGTTACCACTTCAGGCAAGACTGAAAGCGGTATGAGTCGGGTGGCAAATACCTACTAGTACCTATCTAGTCGATGCTAATAAGTATAAGGACTAGGTATATGAACATGCGGCTCTGCTCTCGTTTAGCCTAGCCAGTGCGACGACCTTGGAAGCGATTCGACGACAAACAGTGCGAGATCCACCAGTGCGATGCGCAGGCGAATAGCAGGAGTCAGAAAACGTATGGCGGAGAAGAACCATCTACACATCGAAAAGAACGTCACTAGGCCGCAGAGAATGAGGCCAAGGGCTTACAGGAGAAGAGAGAGTTCAGTTCTGTTGTTGACGTGGTCGCTGGTGATCCAACCAAAGCCCGGCAGGATCAGCCCCGTTGGCAAATATATGTGCTCAAGGCACTAGGAAGCAAGGTTATAGAGGCAGTTTTGGGGTTAACCGCCCAGGAATGGGTGTCACGACTCCACTGGCTCGTGACTCGTGCGACGGTGGCTGATATGCTGTGTGCGACGCCCAGTCTCTTGCGTGGGAAGTGATGCTGAAGGAAGAGGGGTATAAGGGGCGGCAAGGCGGAGTACGCCTTTTTATCTCGAGAAAGGCTGCTGCCTGGGCTCAGCAATGCCAGAGACGATGGGTTATCAGCGTTTGGCTTGGTTTAAAAGCACTTTCACGAGTCTTTCAAGATTTGGGAAAGCTATAATTACTTGCTAGTCTATGGGGATTGTCAAGCGGTGTAATATTTTCCAGAATAGCACAAGATAGACAACCATTGCGAGGGTGGGGAAGACACGGCACGTTTCGAAACTAGCCTAGAGAACATTGTACTTCGAAGCGGCAATGGCTTCTCCTCCTCGAGCTTTGAGCTCCGCACTTGTCCTTTCCGTTCCCACAAGCCCAGCTGCGAAAACCGCAGTGGATATTGTGAAGACGAGTCTCGAATCTAGCTACTAGATATTTACGACAGCGAATATTGGAAAGATGTAATGATATGAGTCGAGTATATTTAGCTGTCTGAATTCGACGTTGATCTCCTAGGCTGTGTGAACACCTTAAGGAGGCTACCCCACGTGGACATCCAAAAACTTCGTGTGACACCCTTAAATTGCGACCCTTGTGAATCAGATTTCAGTACGCTCTGACCCCCCTGAAATCTACACACACACTATTGAGGATGACTTTGTTCCGTGCGCTGGCCAATCTTGGTATCAAGCTCTTGCACCAACGCCTGGAGGCGATAAATCCTCTCCTCTAGGGTCTCCCGCCGGCTAGATTCATTGAGAAAGGTGTTCAACGTATGGGTTGGATCGTAAGGAAGTTGGGCAAGACTGCCTGGCGCAATTCCCCTGGGGGGAGGGCCATTGCCTCTGTCACAGCATACGTTAGGATCTAATGGCTGGCATTACACAACGATTTTTAGGTGGCAGCAGACGGTGTAACCATAGAGAAATAAAAAGGGTGTGACATGACAAAAGCTAGGGGCTGGGCGTGATCGTCCAAACATGGTTGATGATGTGGCAATACAATCTCTATTTTCGTGCAAAGAACAAGTCGTGCACTCAATTTTCGTACAACAGCAGGAAAGTCGAACTTGTGTCACACGTTACCTTTCCTCGTTATCGTCAGGAGCAGCGTTTGCAGCATTATCTGCCATTTTCGAGATGGAGGGTTGGACAGTGCCGAAGGTCCGGATGCTATGTATTGGGGGGCGAATAACCGAAGAACTGGGAGGCTTCGATGAAACTTCAAGATTTGAGGCGAGTGAGACTATTAAAGGATCACAATGAAGAGGGGGGGAAAGACTCTATTTTGGAAGAGACCACCTCAGATAAAGAAAGGGGGGAGGGGGGTGCTGTCTCTTCTTTAGCCTAGGCCAATTTTGCGTTGCCTCCTTCTTAGCTCTGCTGCGTAAGGCATTCATACACAATCATTGTATGCGTTGTTCCCTGTAAGCTGCAGTTCTAGCGCATCAAGAACATTAACCGTGATTGCCTCTGTCGGCGGGCGAAAATAGGACGAGATGGCTGTGGATGGCGTATCTGGCGTAGCTTCTCTGCACGTGTATTTTGCCGTTGCAGCATTTTTTGAGATGGATTGCAGGACAAAGTGTTAGATATGAGCTCTTTGCTGAGAATGATGATGGGGTTTCTTGATGGCAAATGGTCGTTGGAGACGTCAGTTTAGGTTCCCTGGAGTAGCACAAAACATTCTAGATGCTGTAGTGGCGGGTGGCAGCAGACACGCATTAGTGCTGCGCATAGAAAGACTCGATACCTTCTCTGCTCATACCTGCATATGCGCCTAGGTGTGGCACGGCAAGCTGTACCACCACTGCCGACAGACTTGATTCCGAGTGCCAAACCGCTTGGCCTCCTCGCAACCAAGTGAGGAGCAAGATGTGGATTAGGTGAGCGGCGTGGTAGACAGTAATGTGCAGAATTTCGCAGCTGCGCGACAATTGCGCCATTGAAACAGACTGGAGTTGCGAGGAAGAGCGGCAAAAGCACAAGAAATGCCGGAAAGCCCGAGTTTTTTTTTGGGGGAGCGGGAGCGCCTGGAGGCCCGTTGGACGGAGGAAAGATCTGGGGTGGAGAGTATTGCCGAAGGAGGTGCATGTACATGCCCAAGTACCCTTGTATTGCTACACATGTTTGTATAAGTGCCGGTTGCCTCGCTGCCTGGGGCAGGGCATGGGTAAGGCAGCGGACGCCTGAAAGCGCAGAAATCGCAACGTGCTTTGTCTTGCTTCTGGAGTTTGTCACTGACGCGTGTGGAAAGATTTGAGCTGTGAGCATGGCGATGGAGCTGGGTGCCTGGCCTGAATACGAGTTGAACATGGGGCCACACCACCTACCTTATCTGCCTACTAGTAGGTACCTAGTATTGGATATTTTCCTATACGATCGGAACGTACCGAGCACAGTCAAGCTACTAGCCGTTTGGCATTTATTTGACAGCGCCTAGAGAGGCGTAGCGTTTGTGTGATTGTCGAACTCATTCACTCAGCCGGCCCGGATTTTATGCTTGCATGCACACTAAATATCTTCAGTAGCTGTCATTTAGATTATGCAGGGTGCAATTCAGAAATAGATGCGGAGATTTATAGGTGCATATTACACTGCATCGGGTATTTAAGCTACAGGTCAGTGTGCAGCGCATAGCCGAAGCAAGGCTTAAGTGTGGCTTTCTTTTAATCTTAGTAGGATATAACATGTGTAACAATTCCATGGCCATTTATATATTGCTTTTATTTTGATATATGCTTTCTGAATCAGGTACGGCCAAATACTCCGATTGGCTAATGCCTCATCTTCCAATCATATAAAGTGTGACACATACTACTCTCCAGCACACTTTCATTGGGCTGAAATGGCCTCTGAGGTAAGGGATCTTGGTACTTGTGTACGCCATCTCTGTGCTCTGATAAGATGACGCTTATATGCACATACAAACATGTTCAATGCGACGTGACTCGCCCCGGCGGTCCGGTAGCCGAAATTCGGGTACCTGGTGAGCCATTTCCACGTGGTAGGCTGGTTCAATCTCCATACAATGCAAGGATCGTTTGCGCCCGCAATTATGCATGAGGATAACGATTAGAGAGCCTGAATCACCCTAGAGCTACCTATATAGGATTAGATCAGTTCAAGGCAAGAGGGGGTGAAAACGGGTCGCCGTTCCCCAGGACCCAGGAAAGGAGCAGCCAGTCTACTGTGAGTACTGAAGTTGCAGTAATCTGAAGAAATGTTTGTATCAGGCGGCCACTTGATGTAAAGACTCAAGTTGCGAGGGACTAAGACTTGATTGAAAGCAAGTCTGATTTAAGTTGTGATGATTTTCCGACTAGTACTAGTAGCAAACTAAATGAGTCCGCGGCAGAGTTATGAAGACTAGTGGCGATAGATCAACTCGATTGAGACTATCTGGATCCAATACAACCAGGCTCCATTAACTGTGCTATTCTCTTTACAGAATGTCTAAAGCATGACGGAGGTATGGCACGTTCGATTGGATGACTGTGTCACTAGCAACCAATGAGAGGGAATTGACAATCGAAACGTGAAGTCACCCTTGCGCAAACATCGAAGCCAGTCAGCGAGAAGATGCTTGAGTTTTATAGAATCTTTTAGCTAATAAAAATGATATCAATGCAGCTGTATAGAGCATTCCAGGGCAACATGACTTACCTACATTCCTTTCTCCCGCTTCCCCTTAATCGTCTTTCACATTTCTGGGTACATGCAGTAGGTCTGCAGCTGATAGCGTGGCTTAGCTTACTGACACAAAGATGTTTTCCCCCAAACAACTGTGCTCTCTAGGCACGCACGAAGCCTTTGCGAGAGCACAGCTCCAAGTGAAATGAAGCTCTCAGGCTTGTCCTATTGATTGAAGAAGCAGAAAACATATTGCTGCGACAGTCGAGAATTGTTGATGACTATTAATTTAATTAGAATAATTCCATCTGCGTGTATTTACTTCTCTTCATCACCTCTACACGTTATTGAGGCAAAAGCCATTGGCTTATCTTGTGACAACTCTCATGATGAGACGGAGAGGCGAAGATGAAGCTTGGCAGAAAACTTTTACACCGCCACAGCGTAAGACTAAAGGAGTTGTCTAACCCCTGAAATACACAAAGTAATATGTACCCTGCATCCCACTGCGGGGTATCCAACGGGTAGTGCATAACACATGTACCGTTGACATGGAAGCCGTCGATTGAGATGCACCACTCCCCTGGACGGGAAGAACTAACAGTAGACATAGACGTGTATGCCCTACCTATGAGTGATTCAATGCCAAACGAAAAGACTAAGAGAGAACATTTGGAGCGGCCACATTTACTAGATAACCCTATGTAGGCAAATATCTGAATAGGAGAAAAAAAGAAAGAAAAAAAAAAAAAAAAGAAGAAAAAGACAAACTGCCTAGAGACTGCAACTAGCTACACCCCGGTTATGTAAACAGGGAGACAGTGTGTATTATCTAAAAAAATGACGCAGTAACAGCATAGAGCCTTTCTTTACTGTGCCGACGAGTGATAGTGGGGTAGAAGTGGTTGTACTTTATAAATAAGCTTTAGAGTTAAGATGATTGGATTTGATGTTTATTTAATTACTAATACCTATGTACATGTAGTTGCTATGCTCCCTTTGTTGTCTATATGAAACACGAGGTAGTACTATCGACAAATCGCAACTCGCAGACTCTTGCCTGTTTATGGTAACGTAAGATCTTTGCAAAACAGCGAAGCAAGCTACGTACATGTGTAGTCATGTACAGCACTATAAAGTTTATCTGAAAAGTGATTTGATTCCACATCTGAGTCGGATCTAATTTCATGCGACTTTAACCTAGCTTTGTCGTTGGTTTTATAATGGTCAGCCTTTATGATGCCCTCTGCAGCCCAACACATGATACGCATAACGCGTAGTGTGCTCTCAATGCCGAGTCACAAGTGCTTGATTGGGCAAGGCAAACATACCAACGGTCTGATGTTATGTACTGATGCTCCCCGACCTTTTAAATGCAGCCATTCACTGACTCAGCGAGCCTAACTCAAGGACATGGTGATCGCTGACACGAACGTCACACACGATTTATCGAATGAGCAACATTGGCACCTGAACCAGAAAAAGATTGCATGTTATTGAGCTAACGCCTTGACCGACTGATTCCGTATCAGGCGAGCTGAAACTATCATTATCTTAGATACCCGGAGATTTCACCGCCAAATTGGAGAGTTGCATGTACCTAGTTGTCCGCTCTAGTCGCACTAATCTAATTTCTCGCAGGATTTTGGGTATTCAGATGCATAAGCTATGCTAAAAAGGACGAGGCTAGATATTTCCAGCGACAATGGCGGCACTTGAAAAATATCTGGAGCGCGTCGCGCGCATCCATTCTGGTTTCGATACTTGGGACAAATTCTGGTGGCAGTAAAGATGTTTGCTATCTTTATTATATAAGGTACACATTTAGGAAAGCTAATGTACCTTACTTGATAGTAAATACAAAGATAGAACAATCGAATCGCCAAACTATATTGATAAAAGATAAGCAGGTACAAGTATATGAAAGGCTATATAGACGTCTTTACTTACAAGGCCAGCGTCCCTTGATTCACACGTCCCAGAAGTTTACCTCTTTGGTCATCCGAATCTAGGCTAATGAGAAAAAAAAAAAAAGAGAGGAAAAAAAAAAAAAGAGAGAGAGAGAAAAAAAAGGAAAGAATTTCCCCGCACTAATTAAGCAGCCGCTCATCAAGAACTCGCGAGGTGCGTCTCTTAGTGGCAGCAAATAGAGAACATGGTGTGTCAGATGTGAGATGATGTCGGGAATATCAACGTGGCAAGTTGCCGCGCCGTCCGCCTAGGTCGTCTCCAAAGAGACTAAAAGTGCTTACCTGCATGATGGCATCGCTGGGTGTGGCCAAAAAGCGATTTATATTGCCACATGCCAAGGGTGATTGTCGATATGATCCTTCAGATAGGTATCTACTTACTCATTTCCTTTTGCAGCAAAAGCGAAGCGCTTACGGCGCTGAAAATATACATATACCCACATATACATGTTGTCATCGGACTATCGAGTCAAATAAAGGATGAGCTAGGATCTGTCCGTGATCTCATTGTGCTGTGTAACGTATCGTAGAGGCGCAAGAGCGATTCCCGTTTGCCGCCCACGTAGAACCCTATATGTGGTGCGAGCACAGCCTTCCGTCTAGCGTCATTCTAGCGTTTTTCCTAATGCGCGTTATAAAGCGCGCGCTGCGTGATTTTTTTTTTAATTGCCTTGGGCTCGTCCCATCTGGCCTCTGGCCTCTGTCCTGGCGCCTGGTTCGTTGAAATCGGCACACAACTTGGCATTGGAGCACGCGCCAACCTGTCTAGCTTCCTTAATCTTGACAAGTAATATTGAAGACTTCGTCAGGGCGGTACTCGTACGAAAAAAAAAAAAAAACCATTAAAAATACGAATCAATGGAGAGGCTGCACATCCAAGCGCGACAACGCCTAGTGAAGTTCTAATAGTAGAAAACAGCATCGGGTGAACAAAATGTAGTTCAACATTGGTTCTTCAAGTAAACTAGTATAAATATCTACCCTCCTCCCCGTCATTTCTCCTAGACTCTTCCAAAAAGTAGCCTCAATTGCTACATCTTGTCTTTCGCTTGTTTTATCGTCTGCAGCTTAGTGCATTTACTTGTTGTGGCTCGTTTTTGCTCGTCTTACGACATTCGCTTCCCAGAATGGCCAATGACAATAGTAAGACGTAAGTGCTATCTTTTATTTATTAGTCTGCTCCCCCGTGTTTTTATACTTGGCTTTGCAAATATTGTTGTTGCTACTACAAATACCGTCCAAGTACAAATCTCTAGTTCCACACTATTTGACTGTTCTCACCCTTGTGCAACTGGAGAAAGTAAACCAGAACTACAAGCGCTGCTCATTGAACAAGCTTAGACTTGACTCACCTATTTCTATACTAGCTACAATGAGGCCTCTTCCACAACCGTTCAGCGTTGTACGGAAGCCAATATCGCCCTCGTTCCTGAGGACCTAGACTTTTGCATCCGTCAAACTCTCTTGAATAAAGGGCAAATTATATCGGCCGGCATGAGGCAAGCACCAGGCGAAGCCGAAGCCGAAGCCGAAGCGAACATGTCTATACTTCTACATGCGTTTGATGCAAAATTCAGCACTTCTTTCATCAGCCACGGATCTAAACGTAAGTAGGCTCATCCTGATACCCGCTTCGCTGCTTATATCTAGATAGAAAACATGGAATAAATCAGCATAGTATGTGTACACGTGTCAAATAGCCATATATGTACATTAAGAATACAAGATACCCATAGATTTTGCGTCCGAAGCCCCCTTTCCCTCGTAGCATACGTGTATTAGAGCCGTGTGAAGAGCTCCAGGCTAACTTCGTAGGCCCTGAGTCAACAATTGAGGTTTTATGGAATCTGAAACGGGTATGGAGATAGAGCGCCCCGTAGATCTGATATCTGACAGTGATCTACGGAGTACCTTCGCCCCATTATAGCGCCTCAGCCGCGCTAGAGCAAGCTACATGTAAGCAGCGGATGACCCATTTCGCATGGAATCAATTCTACTTCGGCAAGCCGGAGCCTCTTCGCATTTCTCTTGTCAAATTCTTTGACACCAAATCATTATTCCCGTACTACTACTACTACGAGATACAAACGTAACATGAGACAGCGCGCCCTACCTAGAACCCATTGGCAATCTCCATAAGGCTGGAGCACAAGCTTTCTGCAGCATGGTCACCCTGGTATTCCGGTCTTGGTAATAAGCGAAAGCAACACCTCTCAATCTCCTTTGGCACACTTTGGCATCTGGAGCTAAAGCCTACTAATCTCCCGGCACGGCAAATCATCTAGAACTATTCGGTGCCGGCCTACCACTATAAAATTATAAGTGGTAGGCGGCGTTGGGTACTGGAATAGATCCTTTGCTATAGAGGTGCAGCCTTGTATTGTTGTTAAAGTGGATGCCCGCAAACGGGTGTCAATCCCGAGCTCTGAGTTTTACTTGAATCGAAATCGGGATATAGGAGTATAATATCTTGCAACAGTATTATATGCCATGCTGTATTAGAAATAAGCATTGCTATGCAGTTAAGTGAGGACTGAACCGTTCCCACAAGCTATTCCGCAAGGCAGAAAAGATATATTAGTCGCTTATTACAACTTAATGTACACGGCATAGACGTGGATTTATCTTGCCATGCTTGGGTACGACGGCCTTATCTGTTGTATTAGAGAACAACCATATCCCACACAAGCTAAATTCTTTTCATACTGACTGGCACAGCTCCCAGCCAGCATGCCCTAATGTTAATTAGTAAGGCTTTGCGCTTCCAAGTTGCCTTATCTTCTTTCATCCCATGCCGGGACGCCTTGGGAGGTGGACCCTATAGTAGCATTGCGGCTGAGTGGGCGGAAATTCCCTCAAAAGATCACGAGGAAGCGGGCAACTGGAAAATGTATGTATTAATTGTAGGCTGATCGCGATTTAGGCGTCTGTAAGGCTTTTTCTGCCTTCTGCTGCCTAATTAGTAGCCTTTTCGCCTCCCTTTGGTGTTGCTCTCGCTCGCTTTTTTTCTACATGTTTGCTGCACTGTCATGTTACGCGGCATACAACGGGCTGAAAACAGATTCGTTTGTATGCGTTTAGTTTGACACGAATTCGCGATAAGGCTTTCTCTCGCCACCAGACCGTTACCGACGCGAGAACAGCTATAACTTGTGACACCCACAATCAGGCTTTGATCTATTAATAGGAATGAGGCTGAAGTGTCTAGACAAAATAATAGAAAATACAATGACTATAACAAGAGCCATCCCAGCAGGATATTTATTAGTTCCGAATAAAAAAATCCAAATGTTTCTTTTTGCGAAGCATCTGGCGAATACTCTGAAAAAGGGAGTCATTGTAACCAGAAGAGGTAGTGCTCCTCTAGATTACCAGCCTTTAGGGTGGGGTCTATGAGGGGTATTCTTCTCTTCTCTTATTGCGCTCGCATACATATACATCGCCTTTTCTATAAAATTTGTTTTGCTGATGCGCTATTTTCTCTTCATGATCTTCGTCATGGTCCAATTACAAAGAGGCGTCCTCCCTGCTGTGGCGTCGATGCTGGGTTTACGCAAGAAAGAAACGACCGGCTGACTACCCGATGAATGATATATTACGGACGATGAAATATCAATACAGAGCCAGGGAGCGGAGACATATGAGAATCGAGCGGCACAGGGACCATCCTTGGAGGCAATCCGCGGTGGCGTCTGCATCTCTGTTACGCCTTACGAGAAGCCCATCTACCTTCGCGACAACATCCAACCTCGAACTTCGCCTAATAGGCACCAATACCCCTTTTACTACTGCCATGCGATCCTACGACACGAAGTTGACAAAGTTGCCTTTCCTTAATGCAGACTACTAGATGCTCTATGCATAAGATAGATGCCGCTACGGCTTGGACGCCTTGTTTTTCACATCAACGATCCCAGGTCGAGAACCTCAATAGGAGATCCACAATCTTCGATCAAGGTGTCAACTAAGAAATCTTGGGAGAGTTGCCTCGATAAGGCGCACGGGAAGCGCTGAACGCCTCCTTGAAAGTGCACATGGGGCAAGAGGGCACCGCGGACTATTCAAATGCTATCTCTGCCTTGCGCCCCCGCCCCCGGCCCTCCTGTATTCGATCCTTCGCGATGTGTATTCATAAAAAAAGAAAAGAAAGGAGAGAGAGAACTAGCTGTAAACAGGCGCTAGAATCGGTGCCACGATGTCGTCGATTTCCCAGAGAACATGATGGCATTTGTTTTGGCTAAAGGGATACGAGCTGCGATATGATGCCTGGTTCTTTTGCAACCCGCCATCGCTATCCAAAGCTGAAATAGCCGCTGGGTATGGAACGGCATCAAAGCAATCCTGGTAATGCCCTTTTTCGCGTTGCTCAGGTCGCTATGAGCACAAACGAACCGTCACATTGAGCATTCTGCGAAGCCGCCTTTACAGAATGGCCCATACTAGGCCTTGGCGGTCTCCTCTTCCCTTGTTCTCTTATTTCCATCTGGGACTGCCAAGACGTGTCAACGAGGGGGCCGAACAAACTGTAAAAGTCATGTTATTTGCGTAGCACGACATACGCGCTTGCTCCGACCAAGTCCGCCAGTAAAAACACAACGATTTGCTGCAGAAACAAGGCATTGTATTGGATAATGAGACTCGCCCTTCCAAAGGAATCGTTCCCGCTGGGCCGCATATTCAAAGGCCAAGGGCTAAGAAGACAAGGAATTCCAAAAAGCTCGACGTGGCAATAGATAATTGAGCCGTATGCCCAGTAAGATTGGCCCCGCAGACAATCTAAGCGCCAAAGGGGGTGGACGTTGAGTTATAGGGGACGCTGTTGGACATCGTGAGTCTTCCAGTCTTGATTGTGCGACTGTGATATGGGCTGCAGAGTGTGATAATGCAGAAAGAGGTGGTTGGTAGTCCAGATGGCGTGACCAGTGTTGCCAGCACTGGATGCCTTTTTGCCTTTTTCTGATGCCTGGATGTACAATTTATTGCCTTGGTTTAATGACATGCTCACGAACCCTTTCAGGTTAGCAATGACAAATGGTTTGGCGCCTCTCGATTAGGAACATGCTTTGTAAGTTGTGCATAACATATCAACATTGGATTATGAGAGACAAATGTGTATTCAGCGGCCTAAAATTGACTCCAATCTCCTTGGTTGACTCCGTATCTTGAACAGATAATACCCTTTTGATAACCCATCATTTTTTCGCCTGCTGCTTTTGCAATGCCTCTCTAATAAAAAAAAAAAAGGAAAAAAGCTCCAAATGCATAGTGACCACTTCGTGCCCCTCTCAGCTACCCTTGTTCAAGAAGAGTTCCTTTGGTTCGGGGAATTGAATCGGCAATCGAAATCTCGCAGCTCTGCCTGTATACGGGCTCCTACCGCCCCCTGAGTCTCCCCTGTTACAACGCCAGGCAAGGGGCTCTCGGAGAGGAAGCGATTCATGCTGTAACCTGGATCGGCAGGAGTCTGGGCGAGACGACGGGGATTGATCTCTGTGCCGGTACCTGTAGCCGTAGCTCCGTTGCTTCAAAATAATGTTAGGATAGGGAGCTGACACGCGCAGTGATTGTAGGACATGTGATACGTGTCATCAGTAAAAGAGAAAACGGGTATAACAAAAGCTGGAGTTGGGTGTAGTCATGGATACATAACGGCACACTGCTTGTTTTACATGAAGGGGAAGTGACGCCAAATAATATCACAAGATGATAACTGAAATATGTGAGCAACCATACTTTCGGGGATTTCCGCTAGGAGCGGCGTTGGTAGACGTAGTTGCCATCCTTGAGATGTAGGGTGTGACAATGCCAATATGGATGCAATGCCTTAAGAGAAGAAGACTGAACGGATAGAGAAGCCTAGGCAGGGCTACAAGACTCAAGACGAGCAGTAAAACAAAGGTTGTTACATTAGATAGGGACGAAAGTGAGAGAAATTTATAATTCTAGGACGCGTGCTTTGGAAATCAGGGTGGCCATGACCTCTTTAATATACTGTCTCGGCATTGAGCCACCGCTGCAGTTCCAGTAGCTTGGTCCTAGTATACTTTTTTGTTAGTGCAAGGCAGTTGCATGTTAGATGTAGTGTTTCACCAAAGGTGCCAAAGCTGCTGTAAGCTGCATTATGGTAGTTTAGTGGTCAAGAATATATGTATCAACTTGGTACATGAATGGATAAGAGGCGTATGGAGTGCCTGTTATGCTGCTACCGTGGCCCATCTGCCCTAACCGCTGTAACACAGCAATTGTTACGCAAGACACAAGACAAACACGTATTCTTTTTCACATGTAATTATGACAAGTTTTCCCGTGAATAGCCCGTTATTGGCGGCTTACTTGATCCCCAGCTCTCCAGGGCGATAAACACCATAAGCACACATGACTAACTACATCTCGCATGCCTCGGCCTTCTGCGCATATGCCTTCTTTCCTCTATGCCAGCGCATATGCTAGTTTTCTGCGCGATGCTTGCATTAATAACCACATTTGCGCTTACACTGCCAATAGATTACGCTGTACCGCAGTTGCCCAATGCCAGGAATTAAAGTGGCGGCCCAATTGCCAAGCGAAGTGAGGAGGCGTGGGCAAATTACTGCGGCGTGACGCGCAAACCTTTGCAGCTATGGAAGGCCTCAGCCATTCAGAGCTTCAGAGAAAGAAAGAGATACAGGAGATATTGGAATCCCAAAGTTTGGTGAATGTGTAAAAGGGTTCCGTAGCGGGGTCTCGGGGGGGTTTTGATAACATAGTCAGTTTCTCGGATCAGGGCCTAGACTTGAGAGCGCGCTTGCATGCATGAATGCCGGCGTATTGAATCCCCGGCTCTTCTTTTTTTACCATATTTAACACCCGTGGACGGGCCGCCTTTCTGCCTTGGTACTGGTAAGAAGCAACAACTCATGTGCTACTAGTACATCAGTTCTCTGTGCTATTTTTAGCGGTGCCAAGTTCAGAACATCGAGGCAGACAGAGACCCGCATAGATACAGGGATACAGGGGTGAAGGGATCGTTGGGTTTTGAAACTGCCTTGTTAGGCGTTCAAAATTCTTCACTGGCTAATATGTGAACCCAAGCAATCTTACAGATACTGCTATATCTGCGTTTTGGTTGAAGGGATGAAGTCGTCCCAAGCACCCGGTACTTGTATAATTGAGACTTGCTGCTTACCATATAGGTCGGAGCCAACCCTCCAACATATCCAGAGTAGACTAACTAGATGTAGAAAGTTGCAGCAACTGTAGTTGTTGAACTGATATTTGTCAAAGTATCTGGTTATCAACGTGCTCATAGTCGACTGCATGCCGCGTATCTGCGTCAACTGACACTTGGAATATGCAGCCCATTATTCATTGGAACACGTATTCCCTTACACACGCTACCTAATGCATGTGCTGCATAGTCACATCCCTATATGCATGTATATGCAGTGCGCAGCCGAAACACCCTTTTCATTCTTCGCAATTGTTCCACAGACAGCTCATTTACATACATGTGCAGTAGTGTGTTGTTGATATTTCTGTAGCTAAACATCGGAAAGATATTCCGATTGGTCAATTATTCGTTTTACGTACCACTAGTTTGAATTACGTTTCTACTGGGCTGGATCGGTATCCAAGGCGGCGGCTCTGTGCCCTTCCGTTATCCCTGTGTTCCGATTTGACGTCTATATAAGCATTGGTTTCATGCGATACTACTGGGGCCCCATGCACAGCATTTGAGTACCATCGTATGATCTTCAGCAGGTTCCCGCATGGCGGCTGGGCATGCTTCTCCATCAATGCAGGGATCTGATCCACGCGCATTAGCCCCTAGACGGCTTAAAGTGCGCCACGGCGATGTCGGATTAGATCAATAGAGGGCTGTAGGCGGTGTAAAGTGGTCGCTGTGTCCTATTGTCTATTCCAGGAGTATTCCGATTTTCATGTCGCTGCTATGGCGGCCTAAAGGAGTAGACACAGGTATATACGTATATATCATAGGTGGTATGCTTCATATAGGGGCATAAGCTGATATGGCCTATCATAAATAGAGATGAGAGTGCATGTTATGCAATGATGTCATTGGCTCCGCAACTTGAGATCAATATAGCCATATATACGTGTAACTTCTTAGAGTGACATAGCCAAACTGTATTTTTCTTCTGCTGCTGCTGATGCCGCCGAAGACTGTTTCCACATCCAAGGCGTGCATAGTCTCTTGATTTACTGACAAAGGTAGGTAGAAAAGCCTTACTCCGCCTATCAGAGCGTATAGGGTGATGTTAGTGCTGATAATACATCCCACACGCACTGCTATTAGGTACTAATGGACATGTCTTAGATGCATGTGTCCTTGCTACTAACTGTATAATAGGGCTTGCGACTCTTATTCCTTTGTCCTTACCTAGAGATTATACGTTTTATATAGGTGCGTAGTGGGTGGCAGCCAAAATGATTGAGGCTTTGTGGTCATGTTTCCACTCACTACCAAACATGCAAACGCTTGCAATTAATTGTACCAACGCGCACCTTTACAAGCCTCAAGAATCTAAAGTGCAACGAAACAGTTCGTAGATATGTATGGATTCTATAAAAGAGCGTATACTTGCATTTTTTTAACTACTATGCTAGCTAGGTCCTATTTCGCCCACGATCTGCAAATGCAGGCCTATAAGCGACATAAACATCGCTATTTCACCATGAACAAAAAGCAGATCGATCAATACTTGTACATACTTGAAATATCTTGCCGGCTTATTTCCTCGTACGTAATTTTTCTTCTTGCTTACATTCGGCTGTTGGGCACTTGTCGCCACCGCTAAATCGCATATCAAAAGCACGCAGAATTTTAGACATGCGGGCTTCTCTCTCGGCCTTGGCCTCATCTTGCGTTTGCATAGAGAAAAATTCGATGTGAAGTCGTTGATCTCGATCAGCTAAGAAGCGGCTGATGCTATCGCTGCGATGGAGATGTGCGCGCTGTGAGCCATCATTACTAGTAGCTGTGGTGAGCTTGCTAGCGCTGAACGACATCAACCTTTGGTTAGCATTATTGAGATGATTCCTTTATATGCATCTGCTTGACGGGAATGAAATATGAAGACAGTGTACGTGTGCCGCTATGCTATAGGCTATGAAGGTAGCAGACATTTCTTGTCGCAGCGAACGAAGGAAAATATTAGTATACTCACCTGCCATTACTGTTATGCATAGAGGTAGGCATGGAGGCTGAAGGCATTCTGCCGTCAAAAACTGAACAAATAGGCAGATTTATGTGAAACGGGGTCTATGAATAAGAGGAAGAGTAGTATTATGCTCTATCAACGAAAAGAAAAGAAAGACAGAGAAGAAGATTTAAGAAACTTAATTCGTACATTTGCTCCAAATGGGTAAACCTAGATACTGGACCGCCGTTTTCTCACTCCAGTATGCCTCACAATCAAAGAGCCCAAACGAGAAGCCTTAATGAGGAGATGTCTCAGTAAACCCCTCCTTTAAACTAATTGAGAGACGTTTCGACACCCTTCATTCAGTAGAGAAGCAAACATGCATGTATGTCTCGCCGCGTCACCTCGCAGAAAGGCCAATGAGAGCATCCCCTAGGATTTCTGCGAGCTCCATAAGGCTCAAGATACGAGAATGCCCAAAGGGCAGCCACAAAAGCTACAAAGTAGAAAAAGACAAAGTCATTGTGGCCATCCTGAATCATCCCCTTCCAACAGTCTCAGGCTATCTAGAAGCTTCAATCGGCATAAAATGAACATGGTAATCTAAAAAATTCTTTTCCAAGGCAATTGAAATGATGTAAAACGAAGTCTTCCCTCCCACCGTCCTCCTCTCGCGCTGGTAGACGATAGCGGGATGAAGGTAGCTGCATGTGAGCATGGCTCGTAAGATACGAGTTTGGAACTGGTATAATTACGTAGGCAGTGGGCCTTGATAGTTATTATACTTGCTTTATTGGCTATTATGCTGCGTCCCATTTTGACATGAGACATTAGACAGCCTATTCACTTTGACGTGACAGTCCGGACCGACCTTTACTTTGCTTGGCAGTTTAGCAGCTCCAAAAGCGAGACAAAGAAGATGAGCCATAGGGAGCTGATGAGGCATTTATTCATAGTTGATAAAATTCTACGAGCCGTATGCTAATGGCTTGAAGCTGTACACGTAAAGTACATGTGATAATGGCTGTGCTTGGAAGCTTTCCTGCGCGGGTGCTGCTCATCCACACGCTTTCTTAGTCTGTGATTCGTAAATTTTCATTGGCCATATACTGACTGATATGAAGGCAAGACTTCCACATGTGCCATCTTCCAACACCAAAGCCTCCACCGTCACACCGTCTGGGGAGTGGTTTCCCGGTTATGGAAGTCATCTGGAAAGCCTTCGGTGCCTTGCCTTTAATAATAAGCTCGTCTGACCTCTTTCTTAAACATGCTAGGCATATACGTGAATTTAGCGGGGATGAAATAGGTAGAGAGGGGCACACCGTTTGCCTAGGTCCTGTGAGCGAGGGGCCGAATAATCTACACTTTCGTCTTGTTTATGAAGCAAGTAGTCAAATGTTAACTAGAAATGTCATTTGTGTTGCCATTTAGAGTTGTCTCTTCGAGTATGATTATAAAGATGGTAGTTTATTACATAACATACATATACATATATTGCTTTTGCGACACGCGGAATATTTCTGCGGCGCTAAGCGGCTTATAAGATGCTCAGTCCAAGAGGGAGATACGTTAGAATCTGATTGGAGTCCTATGGACTACTCCATACCCACAACGGAACGACGCGATGATTGCCGCCAACTCTGGGAAGGAGTCTAGTGTTGCGAATGGGGCTCTTGTTGTGCATCGGCCTGGCGCATGGGGGTAGAGCCCGCAAGAGGGCCTCCGTCATCGTATCTCACCTCTTCATTGCCATGTCTTGTAGGGGCACGAGAATCGGTGAGTCCATTTATGCGATGACTCTTGAGCCACTGTAATGCAACTTGATAGGTGCCAGCACTCGGTGTTGTGAGCATGAGCCCGTCGATTTGGCTCAAGCTACGGATACACGTACGGAGCCGGACTACGGTAAGTGAAGAAACTGGCACATGGGTGGCATGCAAGCATCAATGGTCTGGTACTACCGTACATAGGTACTTGTACATAGAACTTGTATCTGTGGTGGTACCATCCTGCAACGGGGCCTGCGGGCTTCAGCACCGATGGTTGCACTTGGGCTCGCGCTCACATCACTGCTCTGTCGCCGGCCGCTAGATGGGTTCGTGCATTGGCCTTGTGCCACCACTCGTACTAGCAGGTATAGCTTCTTGGCTTTGTGAACTAACAGAGGATTGACGTAGCATGCATTGGCTCGGGGTTGCAGCGGGTTGCAGTGGCGGGTCGCCGCCTTGTCCAGAGAGTGTGGCCCATAGGCAGGATTCAACGGTCCAAGATGCCTTGGCCAGTCCCAAGCCAAGACAAATGCCGCTGGAGACAAAGGTCTTGGCAAATCTGGATTGCACTTGCTTCCTGTGGCAGAGCTACCGCCTGTGGTCTGGTGGCTCCAGCAGATTCGTTCACCCGCGTTCGAGGAGGGGACTCCGATCCAGCCATACCGGGTACCTAGGTAAGCATGACCGCCGGGATTGCTGGTACATGGCGTCGTCCATCAAACCGAGATGTAGTCCGCGGGACCACAGGTACATGTACGCAGCGGTCCATACTAGCGCTCATACATCTCAAGGTACCTTGGCTGGACTATTTGGCCAATTATATCACTGTCTCGGCCTGCTCAAGCTGAGTATTTCGCGGGAATCACGCACGAGTGGGACTCACTGGAGATGCTCCCCAGCGCAGCGAGCCTGGCTGACAGCATTGAGAGAACAAAAATCTGGCTGCAATCTTGTTCTTGGGCCTACCTATTTAATCATTGCCACTTCCCTCCCTTCTCTCCGTCCGGTTTCTCTTGATTCTTCTGCCATGCAAACTGATTGCGTCGCCGACTTATCTCTTATTCTTGGCTGTTGTATGCACCGCGCTGTTTAGCCTATCCGTTACACTTTGGCCTTTATTCGCTTGTCTCAGAGTGTTTTGCTTTCAAAATGGCTAGTAACGCTGCCTATAATAATAATAATACGTAAGTGCGCTCTCTTTCTAATTTATTTGTCACTTCTCTGTATAAGACGTGACAAGCGTTACCGACGCAGTAGCACAGTCAACACTCATTCTTTACATTTGTGGTGTATCCTAATGTAGGCTTTCAACTCAAGGCCAGTGGCCAACGTCTTCTGATTGGCCAATCACCGTCTTCTTTAAAGATTCCGCTGCACACATGCTTTTTCTTAAGTCGGGCTAACCAAAGTCCGTCCCAGCTCCAACACCGCCTCTCCCGCTACTACTTCCGCAGCCACTTCCGCAGCCACCACGGGCTGCACCCAAGCCGCCGTTGCTCTCGTCCCTGCGGATGCCACCTTCATCGTCCGCCGCTTTGTCTCCGACCCAGACCAACATCCGCCTCTCGGCTTGAAGCGATCACCAAGCGAGGCCGAAGCAGAATCGAAAATGCTTGCGCAGCTGCGCGCATTCGATGAGAAATTCGGCAGTCCCTCCGCAGGCAGCTAAGCAGATGCGCAATGTCCACGCAGTGTGGTTCTGCTCTTTAAGCAGTATTGTATGAAATGGATTTGGTGCAAATTATATGCAAATTATACTCTTACACATGGATATATGTACATTGCGAATAAACTATAATCCGAGAGTTTTTGAATTTTCCATCATCATCACATATCAGTGCCATGGTTGCCTTACATACATAGGTACATGCAAGTACGGCTGAACAAAGGCATCTAAAATTTTTCCTGGGCACACAGCTGTGCTGTCATGCGATGGAGACGATGCCGAAGATACACTTGGAGCCTAGCCCATACGATGCCACAGATCGAGCAACCTTATCCCAGTAGTGGATGTATAGCGGTACAAAAGGCCTTGTTATTCTGTTGAGATGAAGGGTGCTTATCAGTAGATTGAGATTGGCGTGAAGCAGGTTCCACGTCACACCTTGCATCGAAAACACCTAGAACATTGGGCCTGACAATGGCACCCGTTTGGGACTGCTCTTGTCTGCTCAACTACCCCCCACGGCAGCGCACATCGCCACCAGCGGCCGCTCCACCGCATCTCGGTCTCCCTGCAATCGCCCTACCAAACGCCGTAGGACAGAAGAGTGCCGTCTGACCGCAGGAATGGCGCGACCTGGCAGGGACCTCAGTTGACGGCGCCAGGCCAAATTTCCATAAGCAGTGCTTCGTTCCACCATGCACGTAGCCACGTATAGGTCTGGTCTTGTAAACTACAAATAGGTTCAACACTATGACAACAGATGAGAACATTCCTGCGGTTGGCGATACTAGCGCATACGTACACCGGCCAATCTATGCACGCAACACCCCGAGGGTGGGTATCCTGTCCAAAGGCTACAGATATAGGTAGGTACATATATATATATTTATTGCCACAGGAACGTAAAACTCTTCCCTCCGCCACAGTTCCCTATTGCAGATGTCTGGTACTAACAACCTCTTCTCAGCAGCAGCTTATTTTTGCGTAGATGCAGATTTGGCCTCCGGAGACTTATTGCCAAATTCAAACTGCATATGAAAAGCGTCAAGATTGGCGGCCGCGCGGGCTTCACCTGCGCCCACGGCCTCATTTTCTGTCTGCACAGGGCCAAGGCCAATTGGGGGGGTTTGGACCTGATCGGCGAGGAAGCGATTCACGTTACCGGCGTAGTGGAGACGGACGCGTTGGAAGTCGCCGTTTTTAGCGGCCGGGGTGGTGGGGTTGCTTGCCCTATGAAAAGAATTGTAGGTACCTTAGTTAGCATTGTTGCTTGGGTAATGATCATGAAGTATAAGAGAATATGAGACATATGAGTTCATGGCTTGAATTTCTGAGCTCGACTTGGAGTATGTACAAGTAATGAAGCTCAATGTACGTATACGAATGCTCTATCATCAAAAGAACAAAGATAATGAAGGGTGGGTCTATTTTCATATTCATGTAGCAAGTACCTACATGTTACAGGCGTTGCCCATGATACAAGTGGATGTTGAAGGCATTGTAGCGTCAAAACTCGAACGCTCAGGTAGAAGCTCAAGCAAAAAAGTATTTCGCATTCAAATTAAATGGATGAAATGAGATTGAACTGATATTGACCAAGATTCATTGTGATGCATGGAAATGAAGAGGGCATAGTGGCGATATATATACAGCTGTTCATCTCAGCGAGAGAAAAGGCTGCAAGAAGACTAAAATATAGACTGATGGAGAAATGTGGGCTCTACAGGCGCGACAAACCCCAAGAAGGCACCGAAAGCATCGGACATAGTGGCATTCTTGCAGCCATTTGAGTTGTGACCTTGCTTTTACATAGGATAAAAAGGGTGGTTGCCTTTTTTTCTTTTTAACCCGAGAAACCTTTTTTGCCCCCCGATGAAAAAAAGAGTATTCGTTACCTACTAGTATTTTTTCCCAGACGGCATGGGACACCAAATTAAGGTACAAGAGCTCCACTAGTGCGGGCGTGTACAAAGCAGGAACAAGGACGAAAATCAATGCCACGCAGAGACAGAACACATTCGATTCCAACCCGGCCTGATGGCGATTAGATGGCAACGGTAGCAGCACAGACGGAGCGTCGCCGAGCGCCAGAACCAAACGCCCCCCAGCCAGGCGAGCCTAGCAATCGGCACGCGTGGGGAAACAACTGCAGCTGTCACGGCCTCATGTTGTTTAACGTGGTCCGCGCCCCTCGGGATGTACAATCCGGATGGGATTGATATCAGGCGAGACCAGCACCAGCACCGGCACCAGCACCGGCACCAGCACTAGCACCAGCACTAGCACTAGCGATCAGAGACCGCCCTTTTTAGCTCGCCGATCGAGTTGTGACGCCGATGGATGGCGATAGTGCCCTATTCCCTGTAGCCTTCCCTGTACAGTATACTGCCTTATTGAGATGACGCCAATGCTACACCTCCTTGTCGAAGGCTTAATGTGCTTAGCCTGAATTTTTTCTTGCTAATAGGAACATACGATCCAGGAATTCCCACGTAAAACAAGCATCAATCCTGATATTTCACCATGGGCACATACCACAGTAACTATCAAGCCTTCAGCTTGTAGTTTCCATGCATCTTAATAGTGCTTGCAGTAGCCAATTGTTCAGCAAATAGGTAGGCCTGTATTATCGTGCTATCATTGACCGCACGTATCAAATGATGTATAAACAGCACAATTGCTAAAGAAACGGCACTGAGATGTAACGGGGTGTTTCCCCCGTGCTGAGAGGTGACAACGGGGTAGAGATGGCCATACCTTGTAGATGGCCAGCGGTAGTCTCGCACGCAACATCGTGCCGTGCTCAACTAGCCCTGTCTCGGCAAGTGCATGAACTTTTCACATTAGGCAACATTGCAAGGATGGATGCGACAAAAAGAAGGCAAAGCTGAACACGACACCACAGTACACGCAGAGACCCGCAACCACAAAGGTAGTAGGTGTTATAGGATCTTTCGAGAAGTACCTTGCAGTACTGATTTAATCTAACCTTATGCTGCTTCTCCCCTGCTAGGCCTCCGATCCCAAATGACCTATCATTATAATGCTTTCTGCAGCTTGGCCGAGACACGAGTACATCCAGAAGTTTGCAGTTTATCATTTTGGACGTTAGTAGTATATTACCTCAGTACTTACTGGCTTCTGGGAGTTATCCCTTTTTACCTTTTAGGACTACTCGCACAATTACCCGACTTGCACAATTCCCCGATTGCACGAGTCGCATCTAGAGCTCCCAACAATCATGCCGTGCTGCCCCGGAACCTAAAGCACGGAATATTTATTGCTAGAGGTGGGCGTTTATAGATAGGTTTCTGCTATTTTGTGCCAAACTGTTAGCATCCATATCCAAAAGCTAGGTACCAATGCTAAACGTTTGACGCTGCATATTCTCAGAGATAATGGCGGCATTTGCGAACTCTTTGCAGTGCGTCGCGGGTACATCATTCCTATTACTAGCTAGCATCTGTAATAAAACCTGAGAGCAAAGCACACGATAATGCGACGGGGCAGGGCGTGTCTTGACCTGACTTGAGCCGTGTTGAGAAACCATGGAGGGTGGTGAACCGCACGGATAGCGCGAGGTACATGTAGCTCTTTCAAGGAGGATGACAAAGGCAAGAAGGGGGGAGGGGCTGCTGTGGAAAAGCTCGGATACGGCCAAATCCTCCATATCAAGACTTGCCGATGACGACGGCGCGACCGGCAACCCAAATGAGTTGAGCCCGGCCTCTTTTGAAGTTGTCCGATGCTTGGCTTAGCGCTTGGTCTAATCTAGTGTCCGTTCTAGCGTCCGAAATTAGCGGCAGTTTAGCCCTTCTAGCGCCACGTCTAATACCGTACTAAACATCTTGAACCCCGAAATGCCCAAGATAAATTCCAATTGTTGACGGGCGTCTAAGCTATGCTGGGATTAGGTTAGTTTTCGTACCAATTTTCTCAAGGTAAGAGCATCTACTTCCGCTTCATCTTCCCGAGATACCTACCTTCTTACCTTTCTTCCAACTTTTACTATCGCTACTATAGCAGCCTGCTTACCTTACTAACACTGCCTTGCTTACTGCAGGGCGCCTACTTTTTTAAATCTTTTTCTCAACTGCCGCGGCTTTCAGCACGTGAACATAACTCGAGTGTATTTGCAATTTTAACATAACAGCCGGTTATCCTTTTTCCTTATGTAAAGAAGAAGATGAGCTAGAAGTACCTTTACATAGTAAAATGCAGCCAAGTTAACCCAGGCCGGATATTGTCTACTAACTACCTAGTCATCCGTGGGTAATTGGAATTTGTTCGTGGGCATTTGGGGCGTGGACAGAGAAGGCGGGTAGCCAAGCGTGCTAGTGTTGCGAGCGCTACAGCGCAGCGAGTGGACCACGAAATGGCGCCCAGTAATGCGCAGTGCTGTATACTCGGCAGATTCTGCTTACTCGGGGCCGGCAATGGCCCAGATTGCGTGATGGGTCTAAACATCTCGATTGTCGAAACGGCATCCCATGTTCAAATAGGGGGGTAGGCACCATGAAAGTGGAGACCGCGACTGGATTTTAATCTTGGATCTGTTCTTTTGTTGGATCTGTTTATTTGGCCCTTATCCTTGCCGCTGGCTTTGTCGTTCCAACTCTCCTCTAGCTTGCCGCCTTGTACCTGTAGAGTTCGAGGGTACGACGTGACGCAATATGTCTATGCTTCAACCAATCGGATTTTATGTATACATATAGCGAATAAGAGGACATGTCCCATGATTTCACAATGTCTATTTCTTATCATAGCATACGAAGTCATGCCTTCTAATCAGCTAACAAGCTGCCTCACGGACAAGAAGCACAAGGCCGCTATAAAAAAGGGCCCCAAAAGAGTACTACTAAGTTCCAGGGGGATCCGGTTCGTATGTATCCGTACATGGCCCACAGATCTAAATTCAATCTTCAAAGCTGCGACTTGAAAACATTCCACGCCCTCACCAGCCCACGAATATCGGCTCCAATAGGTTCCCTGGCCTATACCGACACATTGTTTCTTTTTACTTATATTTACTCCATATGATATAAAACCTGCATTGGTATTCTGTATAATAGTCTGGCTTCATAGATAAAAAAGCGCGTCTGTATCTGTCTGTATCTACCGAGACGCTGCAGGTACCTCGTAGCTTAGCACACACGTCGTGTTGGTAATAGGGATTTACGACGGCGCGCCTCTCATTCAACCCGGATATCTCATGCACTTGTCGTGTTCTTCTCTTGAGCTATTTCTTTTTTCATCTGTTCTTCTTAAAGGCTGCGCCCCACAGAAAAAGGACCAGCCGCAAACCCTATGCGCAACTCCGCGATGTGGAAATACGAATGCGAAAGCCACCAACGGTGAGGTTGGAACGAGAAAGAAGAAGGCGAAAGAACTATCACGGATGATGATATGATTCCTTGGTCTCGGAGATAGGCAGATGGCAGTACCCCTTAATCTCAATTGCCGGTACCTGAGTGTCATGATACGACGTATGTTCTTCTTGAAGGCCTTTTGGGTTGTATAGTCGCTTGCTTGATAGGGATGGGCTAGCTAGTAAGAGTGTCTCCGATGGGGATTATGCGTCCAGGGTGGAAAACAGCAGAGCCTCAACTAGGGCGATGCTCTGCTCCCGGATATGCAAGGGGAACATGCGAATAATCGGATCGTGCGGAATTTGAGCTTTAATTCCGCACAGCCGTCTTGATGCTTTGCCTTGTGCTGGTACGTAGTTCAAGACTGTACATGTACCTATGTTTGCATATTAGCACCTCTGGGAGACGGATTGTCCTTGACAGAAGTAAACGCCAGAGCATCAGAGAGCTAGAGTCGCAGGATGGATTTCATACCAACATCCAAGTGTGGCTCTGTCTCTTCTGTGATGGACGGCGTTACCGGTCGCTTAATGCCGCTCCAGATGGGCTTCCCACGGCATCCAGCTCAGCCCGCCCCATGGCCGGATTTTGGTGGGGCCGTCGGCACGGTGTCTGTACCCGTGGACTTGGAGGTGCCCGACTTGTACCAATCAACAATAGACCAAGGCTCAGCGCCCAATATCCCCACTACTGTGTATTTTATAGACCATGTAAGCGGCTTGTAGTTGGAGGGGTATTCCAGATGGAAGACATAGGCAGATTTCTGGAAAAGAGTGGAGTGAGATGAAGAACAAGGCGTTTTTACAGAGTACCCATATTCTGTTGTAATACAAGACTCAGTAGCGATGTATCAACCAGCGTGTAGGTAGACTGAACACTTGCTTTACAAGAAATGTTTTTTTTTTGTTGGTAACACGGCCCTAATGATACTAGTACTAAATGCATTTACTTGATATACCAAGGTACCTAAGGTATAAGACGATGAGGGTGGGTATCCCCCAAAGGCTGCGCGCATAAATACATCCACGTATTCATCGCCAGACTAGCAGCAACCATCGTGCGCCACCCTGTTTTCTAGTGACGTCTTTTTTCCCTCGTAAGACGGTGTTGGAATTTTCCTTCTGTCTCCGTAAGCCTCTTAGAGGCATGAAAAGGCTCATCAGAGGATTCACCCAGAGACACTTCCTTGTAGAAGCTGCTACCAGAAACTCCCTGGCGCGCAATGGTAATAACTGTCCCTTCGCTCCCTTTAGATAGTATATAGAGCATCTACAACATCACTGCGCTATATCTATATATTGCAGGTGTATCAATACCATTTCCCAGCAGCTACTTTATTTTTGCGTACATTCAGACTGAGTCTCCGGCGATGTATTGCCACAGCCAAACTGCGCTTTAAAAGCACGAATGCTTGCGGACGCGCGAGCTTTACCCGCAGCCTTAGCCTCATCTTCTGTCTGCAGAGGGCCGAGGCCAACTGGAGGAGTATGGTGCTGATCAGCGAGGAAACGGCGGATGCCGTCATTGTCGCAGAGACGGGAGCGTTGGCAGTCGCCCTTGTGAGTGGCCAAGGTGGGGTTTCTTGCACTGCGCAAAGTGGTTGTAAGCATGGCTGCTTTAGTAAATCACCACCAGGTATAAAAGGATGTGCGGCATCTGAGTTGATGGTGTTCCAAGGTAGATAGGTGGTATGTACATGTAATGAAGCTCAATGTACGTATACGAATACTCTATCATCTAAAGAACAGACCTTCTTTTGTCTAAAGGAAGAAGGATAGACATAATGAAACATCTCTGTTTGGTAATAATACCTACCTGTCACAGCTATTGCTCGTGGTATGAGTAGAAATTGAAGGCATCTTGGTGTTAAACTTGAACGCTGAAGTAGAAGTAGAAGCCAGAGAAAAGAGGATATATGTTAATTGAGACAAATAAAGGATAACCGAATTGATGTTGGCCGCTGTTCATACTGTAATGCACAGGCATAAAGGGGGATCAAGGGAGATTTATAGCTCTGGCGGTCTTGTAGTAAGAAGATACTATGTCCCGTCACCGCACGCACATACATGAAATATCAAGCCTTGACGTTTTAAGGCTAGTAGAGCCTGAAGACTTTGGTGCAGCCAATTGTAGATAGTAAAACTGTGGGATTATCTCCGTGTCGGAATAGAAAACCAATATGAGGATAGTAGCCTCGTTCAGTAAGAGCGTGGCCCGTTTCTTATTGCAAAATACGCAACCTCGGAGAAAAGCGCTCAGGGCGTCGCGCTCCATCCAGCAAGGCAACCATATATAATAATTAATGTACATGGTTCGCGGCCACTGGGAGAAGCGCAGGACCTTTTGTGAGAAGGCAACATTCCATTGATAAAAGGCAATATTAAGCAAGCTACCACGGTACATGTAGGTACATGTAGTTATACAGTCAGTAGGCTTTGTACGACCTGTTTGAGAAGTAGTGGTTAGTACTAGGCTTATTTAATGATTTCATGCTGCTCCTCCCCTGACTTGTCTCTGATCCAGATGACCTAAGTCTCAGGGAGACACGAGTAGGTACCTGATGTAAAGCGATTACTACTAGTAATATACATGTACCTTAATACGTGTTTTTAAGGGGCTATTCCTTTTTCATCTTTTATTGAGCACTAATTGGGCTTTTCCTCGGCTTAACTAGTAGGTAGTTGGATTTCCCCAGAGCCCTCGAGCCTTACCGACAGTCCCCAAGAATTACTCCAAGACCTACCTAAAGCGCGGAGCATTCATGGCTAAATTTGGACAGTTGTATGTAGCTTGAGATTTCAACTAATTCGGGCCAAACTTTTGGGATGCTGATATAGGAGCTACCTTTGTTGAAAGCTGGAAGTTGTATATTTTTAGCAACAATCGCGGCTCCTGGAAACCCTCTCTAGTGTGTCGGGAGTCTGTCATGTCTGTGATAAGTCCTTGATTTTACTATTTGTCATAGAATCTGAGCAAGAAACATCAATGTCCCTTGAATGACCAGCCACATCTGCCTACCTACCTATGTAACTGCCACGTTACCTAGACCACTCTGGTTGGTAATAAATGATGAGATACAACAGTCTGCTGCCGGCTTACTACCAAAGAATTTACCGCTGTTTTCTACCAATAGCCCTTTGTATGAAAAAAAAAAAACATGTGAAAATGAACATTACATTGCATGTGATAGGCGACCCGATGCCTCTGTTTATCATACGACCGAAAGACGGACAGCCAGTAATTAATCCGCATACAGGCTTGGCCGTTCCGGCTCAATGAAAGCCTGGTTAAGAGCCTAGCTGGGCAAAGCACACGATAATACGACGGGGCAGGGCGTGCCTTAACCCGGCTTATGCCGTGAGAAGCCATGAAGTGTGGTGAAGCGTGCGGATAGCGCGAGGCAGCTTTTCACACCGAGGAAACAAAGCGAGGCACTGCGGGAGGGCCTGGAAACGGCTAATCCTTCATGATTCATATCAAGGCTGTGTCGATGACGATGGCGGATTTTGGAATTGCCCGATCTAGCTCAGCGTCTGGGTTAACCTTAGCGTCCGCTCTAGCGTCCGAAATTTGGGGACGGCAATCTATGGAGCCCTTTTAGCATAACGTCTAGCGTTTTTACCTGGGATTGTGTTAGTGGAACAACGAAAAGAAAAGGAAAAGAAAAAGGAAAGAAAAGCAAAACAAACAAAGGGGCCAAGGGGAGGGCCCGTTTTCCTGCCATTGTACGCCAGATACCGGGTTCAGCTGAGACCTGGCGTCGGTTAGCTCATCCTTGGTTCAGGCGGCAAAGACAAACATACGTGCTACTATATGATTTGCTAGGTATCGTGGGGGCTGTACGCCTAGAGGGTGTTATAAGTGCCAGCATGCACTTCGGCGAAAGAAGTACCTAACTAAGTTACATCCATCACTTTGACCCGGTGGTTAGGTACCTAGTTCAACAGATTGATCAGATGGCATCCCATTACCAACTGGGCGGCACCCTAAAAGTGGAGAAAGTGACCTTTTCTTCTTTCCCGGGGTACCTATGAGGACAAGGGGAATACTTTATTTCGAGCCTGTTCTTATTGGGATGGTTCTTAGGATTTTCGGCGATACGTTGCCCGCTTATTTGGCCGGTCCTATTAGCTGGCCCTGTTGTCCCAGCTGTCGCCTAGCCAGCTGTCTAGCTTGAAATCCCAGCCAGCATAGAAGTCAGCGTTGGAAGCACATGTCAACCTGTTTGGCTCCCCTTTGGTCCGGACAAACGGTTAGATTTTGACACAGACGGTACGAAAGGATGGGGCACGAAGCGCAAAGAGACCAGTACATTACCCCAACGGGTAAGTAACTGGGACGCCTCCAGAGACGGGCTCGAAGTCTGGCGGTTACGTGACCCACCACAGATCTACAAGTTACTTCAACCCTTGTTGCGACTTTGAACTGCTGTACGTTCCGCGTTCTCACCGACCGGTAACCATTGGCTCTAGTAGTTAATTTAGGTCATACCGACATATTGTTTCTTTTTTATTTACCCCGTACGGAAAATACATAATGGACTAGCACTCTGTATGTCACTCTGGCTTTGGAGAAAAAGTAGCCTGGCTGTAACTGTAGAATCGATGCAGGTGGTAGCTCAGCACACACGTCATGTCGGCAGTAGGGATTTACCACGGCGCGCCTCTCATTCAATTCGACTGTCTCGTATGCGTCTTGAGGTGTTTCTTTTCTTTGTTCCTCTTTTGCGCCTCGCAAAAACAAAAACTAGCCATAAGCCTAGGCCGCTAATTGTGGCTCTCTCTATAGGTATGGAAATACGAATGTGATCCAGGGCGCCCAAGGTTGAAACGCGGAAAAAAAAAAAAAAAAAAAAAAGAAATTCCTTAGCCTCGGATGTAAGCAGATGATGGTACCCCTTAATATCCATTTTCGGTACCTGAGGGTGATGATGCGCTGTGTGTTCTTCAAAGGCTTTTTGGGCTGCATGGTCACCTGAGCGGGATGTGCTGGCTAGTAATATTGTCTCCGATGAGGATTGTGCGGGAAGGAGAAAAGCAGAGCCTCAACCACCGCGGTGCGCTGCTACTGGATATACCAGGGCAATATACAAACAGCTACCTTACAAGCACAGCCGTCTTGATGCTTTGCCTTCTGCTAGTTAGTACCCAGGTACTTGATGATTGTGTGTTTTGCATTCAACAGCTCTTGGGTACTACCTAAGTAGGAAGTTACATTGCAGATACTAAAGCGGCGCTACCGACTGCGCAAATGTCCGTTATCCACACTTCCTCATATAGGCGGCGGAGATAACAATCCATTTATTCGGGACGTTTTGTGGTCTCAGTGCAGAAGAATGGCTCTGTACCTGTACTCACTCCTGTCTGCCAGTCTTGCTCAGGTGACAGATGCCCTGCCGACTGGAGTCGGGATTTTAGAACCGCCCAATGGGTCGTGAGCGTGGCGGCGCTTTCAGTGAACTCGCGTGTACTGGTACAATGATGCGGTGTGCACAGCTGGCTTTGGATTTCGGACCGGATTGTGCAGAGGCATCACACACAGTTCTTGCTTTTTCGGCAATCGGCGCGCAGCGGCCGCCGTTTGTCGTCCGCCGCCATTGTAGTTTCAATTGTATTTTGTCTACTTTCTGGAGAGGGCGGTGTATCTTGTCTGCTACGGCGGCCAGCTCTGGACTGCCTCTCACATGGAACAGCCCTCGGTCGCTTCCTCCGCCGCGTGCTGCTCTATACATGTAGCCCTCCTCGACAGAAGATAGATGTCGCTGTTTAACTAGTTGCCTGACGGTCCTGCAATTGATGTCCATTTGGTGTCCTTCTTCTCATGGCTATAAGTACTGGCCCTGGCCCTCTTCTCGTTCTCTCCCAGAGCTGCTCCAGCATCGTTCGTGGCCATAGCTTGGTAGACGTAGCTGAACTTTGTACAAGTGCCATTCACCCTCCAGTCTTCCCTCATGCCTCCTTCATCTACAGGCGCGACTTGTGGCGATGGCGCTGTGTAAGTACAATCTGGAAGCTGGACTTCTGCTTTAGCTTTTCTGTTTCCTCTTGTTTCTCTGCTTCCCTCTGCCCCCTCTACATCGGATATTTTCTTTCTGGGTTCTCATGTGGGCCATTCGACCACATAAGATCCTGGATCGAGCTTGACAATGGATCGAAAGTTACAGCTCACCTCCCCCACATTCTCCCACCCGTTCCTCGCTTGAGCTTGGTATCCGTGCAAGTAGTGCGCGCTAACGCTGAACCATCGCACAGCGCCAACGAAGCCACTGACAGCGCTACACAAGCCGCTGCCCGCCCCTGCGTTCCCGCTCCCAACGATCCCAAATACAGCCTCAGTCATTTTCAGGATGAAAGCAAAGAGACAGGTCCCAGCTGTCAACGTCCACCGCCGGGCTTTGGCAAGATGCAGGGCGACGCCGAAGCAGTGGCTGAGGCGGAAGCACGCATGCGCAAAGAGCTGCGCGCTTTTGACGCGAAATTCTTGGGTGGAACCTCCGCTGGGAAATAAAGCGCATTGATGATGGACCTTTTTTTTTCTCTAAAGTTTTTCCCCTTCTTTTTTTTCTTGATGAGAGTACGCGTAAAGTGTGAGTTCATTTCGACTAGTGCCCATGATGACCGCTGGGGTTTTGGTACATGTAGTTGGCTCCGCTAACTGGCTTACAGAACAGGATATTCCACTTGGATAGATGGAAAATGGTATAAAGACTGATTCAACGGCCTGGAATATGGGATAGTATAATTGCGACATTCATATTGTTTGTATTTACATGTCTTTTAGAAATTTTAACCCGCTTGCACACTCGATAATAGCATCCCCATTCGTTGCGGTGCGGTCTAATTTCCTCGAGGGTGTAATAGCCCGCATTCTCTAATTTTGCAGTTTCCGCTGCTGACGTTGAAGTGCTGTCGCCCCAAAAAAAAACTTGCAAGGCGTTCCCGATATTTACCTGCGTACTGCCGTCGACTTGCTGGATGCTCTGGCTAAGGAACTGAAGTCATGCTAACAATATCCTTGACTTGCCTCTAGGACAGCATTCCACCAGCATTCAGACCGTAGAGAGCAATGACCTTTGAACAAGGCGTCGCATTTTGTAAAAAATCGAGATGTCAAGACGCTAGCGTGGACAGAGATGACTAGAAACATGGTCCATACAAACTAGAAAAAGACATTGTTGGAGCGTTTTCTAGTTCGGCTGGGGATACCTATGGCTCGTGGCTCGTGGTTCGTGGCCCACAGCACTGCCTTTTCCCCCTTGGGAACATGGACCTGGCGATGATGGCGGCTTACTCCGTGTTCCGCGGTGGAAATTATGGAACATCTGTCATGTCTGTATACCATTCACTCCTGAGTATCGACGTTGAAATAAACAGTATAGTGGTGGCCATGCCTTTCAGCCGAGGAAGATGGTGGTTACCTATAAGAGGTGTGGTATTTAACTGCCGTGTGTTTTAGTGATGCTAATTCAGCTCGGCTGTCAACACATTGAGTACATGTATTGCAAGGTCCGTTCGCAACTCAGCGAAGACGCTCCCAGCTCAGCCTACTACCACCTAATTCTATGTATAGACAGATATGGTATCTACCGCTTCGCCTGTTTCGTAGCCTACTGCGGCATCAACCCTGTAACTGGGCATCCTATCGCCGATCCAAAGCTTTGTATCACCACTCACAGCCTTGCAATTGGCTACAGGCTGCATCCTTCAGCATCCTGTTCCTGCCAAATTATCTCTTGGCGCCTCATCGGGCTGTGAAAGCTGGCTAGTGGAACGATGCTACACGAACCTCGCGCAGATTTGAGAGGAGCAAGGGAGCCACTCACAGGCTGAATTGACCCGAAGGAGCTCTGCCAATTGGCAGGTTTTCCTGCGTCATGCGACGCCGTGTCTCAAATCCTCCTTTGTCAATCTCTTCTTCCTTCTCTCTCCTTCCTCTCGTGTGCTACTTTGTCTTGTCTTTCCCTCTACCTGGCGACGACGAGGAACTCCAGGCGCCCCCATTGATGCCCATGAGATCGCGCTTCGCCGAGGCCACAGGGCCTGAAGTTTTGCCAGAGGTGGATGTTACGAGAAATGGCGACGAAGCACCAGAGCCTTTCCGTGGATACGATGGATTGGAAGTGGTCGACACCGATTTGCCTGGCTCAAGCGTCAGGACAAAGCCCGAGAATGTGGCTGCACCAGCAATCGAAAGCACAACGCAGCAGAAAAACGCGAGAAGAAGAAGGATAATATGGATTGCGGTTGCAGCGATGATTCTGGTGGTGGTGATAGTGGCGGCTGTGGTTGGCGGTGTTCTTGGGTCGCGACATCACAACTCCGCAGCGTCCTCGAGGACTTCGAGCGCTCCTTCGTCCCCTTCTACGACTCCTTCGTCATCGTCGCCCAACGCCATCGCCTCCAACTCAAGTCTTGCGGTAACTGGTTGGTGGGAGACCACCAGCCAATACAACATCCGCCTATTCTACCAGGAAAGGATGGCCAATTGCGCATGACCGGCTACAGCTCCAGTGATGGCAAATGGTCAACGGTAGCAACATATCAAACGGACCCGCCACTTAGGCCGGGTTCTCCGCTTGCAGCTGGCTGTTATAATTCCACATTCTACTTCAAAAATGAAGTGAACTCCACTAGTGTAAGTCTTGCTTCTCGCTCTCTTTGGTCGCTGTATCCTCCCATCTAATGCGCCAATCCTTATCACATAGAATTATACGCAAATCCATGTATTCTATCAGGGAATACAGGGTTATATCAACGATTGGACGATCCAAGAAGAAGTGGCCCCCGTACGAACAACGACCAATAAAAAGGGAACCCTCTCTGCGAGCGCCCTAAGAGCAGGCATGAGCACGAGGCTTGCAGCACACTGGCCAAGCGTTGTCTTTCAGAACGAGGTAAATGGATTAGAAGAAGCCTACTATTCAGTACAAAACCATTGGGCCCACAAAATCTTGAACCTCTCGGCCGTCAATCATTCGGCACTGGTAGAAGTCCCATGGTGGGGATCAAGGACCGGCAGCGCCAATTTCATCTATCAACGAGATGATCATACGCTTTTTGCGGAGATGAGGCATAACGCCACCGCAGACGCAGTTGCGGGTGAGATTTGACAAACCGAGTTTTTGTTTTCGGGGCGCTTTACTTATATTTGACATGTATTTGCAGATGACCCAGCACCCAACGTCTCCATCCCGCTGCAAGCAGCCATCGGCGCGTTTGCTATCCCCAAGACTGCTAGAAACCTGGACAGCCTGATGAATTTCTATGTTTTATGGAGGAATGGCACTGTTCTCCAAATGACCAAGAATGACGACAACAACGGGTGGCAAACCTCATCGACGCCAGATGCCCTTGGAAGTCCCGACGACGGAACCGATATTACGTGCCTTACTGCAACCGACTATGTTATAACTCCTATACAATCCAAATACGACATGGCCCGCTGTTATTACATGGTAGATGGAAAAGTAAGGGAGGTAAAGTACGATGGATCAACTTGGTCTGTTGTTGGATATGTGCCATTGGATTGATACCACATTCTGGATTTTCGTTTATTCCCTATTCAAGCATTAGCGGAGTTACATTAATGAGTAGACTAACTTACCAATCATATGTTCTTCAGCAATTGACTAGACAACTAAGAAGCAAAATATGTTTTAATTGAAAAATATACAACAACCGCGATTCACCGCGGCCGCCAACCGCTCAACTACATGTTGTCTACGGATCAGGAAGCGGGGTCTCACCAGCTTTTCAGGAGCTTTCAGATGATCAAAACTATATGTATACTCACCGTAGCCCTTCTGCTCCACACAAACAGCCTCTTAAGACGATATGTGGTTTGCTCTATGGAATAGATGAGGTCTCACTATTTGACAACGAGCTGGATGAGATTGTCATAAAGACCACATTAGGCAGTGAACATCCGATGGCCAATGTTGTTCCAATCACAGCACTGGCAGATGGTCGATATGCTGGCGGAAGCCATATCAATCTATCGTCATCCCACATAACCCACTCTGAATCCTCGCTAAGGCCAATGCCTCGGCGGGATATAGTGGCGTCGCCAACAGACGGAGACAGCGAGTTTCTTCCTGAATCTTCTGATATCATTGTTCCTGTTCGGGTTTATCTTTATGTCAACAGTGTCTGTGTATTATACCGATCCTGAGAAACACGTACCGTTTAATATATAATCACCCGCATTTGTCGAGAGACAGAATCCCACTTCGTCAAAAGAAATGTAACCCGCTGCGGAACGAGTGAAATCGACTGTAGCTAGACACATACCAGTTGAGATGTTCCAGAACTCCAGAGCTGGATGGTCTCTGTAACTGTACGCTCCCTCTCGCGGCCGTGATGCTATTGATGCCAGCAACGCAGAGCTGTGTGAAAAGGCGATTCCACGCACCGATTCTTGGCTTGATCCCGGAAGTATTATTTGGCATTTCCCCGTACAGATATCCCAAATCTTGATACTTCCATCGTCTATTCCTGATGCAAGCATGTTGTAGTCGTGGGAGAATGCAATTGATTTATGACTTGGATCACTTTGACCCTCAAGCGTTGCTGTGCAGATAGCAGTGCGAATATTCCAGATCTTAACCGTGCGATCACCAGACGATGATACTAGAACATCTGATTGTGGGAGGAAAAAGAGTTGACTGACCCAGCTGGAATGGCCTGTGAGTGTGGCTATACAAGCATTTGAGCCAATGTCCCACACCTTGATAATTCCATCCACTGCCGATGCTGATGCAAGCAACTGAGAGTCTTGTGAGAATGTGATTGCACTGATGACAGAGTAACTGTCTGCCCGCTGGCGGTACGTATCCTCGCTTGGGCGCCAGACTTTGATACACCGAATGCCGTCAATTTCAATGATCGAAGGCATTAAATCAATATTAGTATCATGCCGTTGCTCGGCTGACAAGATTGAATTATTGTGGCCCTCTATCGTAGCTATGTTTGCGCCCGTCGCGATATTCCAGAGCTCAATTTGACCATTTGAGATTGAAGTTGTTGCGAGTAGCTTGGCATTATGTGCAACTGCGATCGAGTAAGGCCAGGCCGAGCCTCCAGTAAGCGTTGCTGTGTGAGAAACTGTTGTCACATCCCATAGCTGGATTGTTCTTTCTGATGATTCTGATTCTGATTCTGAAATCAGTGTCTTCGTCCCCTTTATGAGCTTGATGCCATAGATAGAGTCTCCATTCACGGTAGATAGTGGTATTTGGTTGACATCAACCTCAAGATCCCATAATTTTATAGTAGCGTTATCGAATGCTGCCGATGCAAGTAGCTTAGAATCATGTGAGAAATGGAGTGAAAAAATTACCCGGCTGTGATCTTTTAACGTTGCGATACATGTGCTTGTTGCAATATCCCAGAGTTTGATGTCATTCTGACTAGATGCAGATGCAAGCATTTTGGAATCGTGCGAGAAACAGAGTGAACCAACTGTCTTGCTGTGGACGTGTAACGTTGCTATACATTCGGCATCAGCGGTATTCCAAAGCATGATACAACTGTCGTCTTGCTGCCATGCTGCAAGTATCCTGGCATCGTGGGAGAAGGCGGTGATACCAACAGCATCACTGTTGATTTTAATCGTTGTTTTACAACCACCGGTAGTAGCATCCCATAGCTTAATGAAAGCGCCGCGTGAGACTGATACAAGCGTTGTAGAATCATGCGAGAAGGCGATCGAACAAACCCCTTCGCTGTGACCGTTGAGTGAAGAAATACATATCCCGCTTGCTACATCCCAGAGTTTGACAGTAAAGTCTTGGGATGTTGATGCAAGCATTCTAGAATCATGTGAAAAAGCGATGCAATAGCCCCCTGTGATATGGTCTATAAGAACTGAAGTACAAATGCCATTTGCAGCATCCCAGAGTCGAATATCGCTTTCTGACGCTGAGGCAAGAACCTTTGAATTATGCGAGAACGCAACTGATCTAACCCTTGAGTCGTGTCCTTTAAGCGTTGAGATACAGATACCAGTTATAACGTCCCATATCCTGATCGTCTTGTCGTACGATGCCGATGCAAGTATTTTCGAATCATGCGAGAATGCAGTTGAAGTAATGGCATGTCTGTGTCCCTCGAGCGTCTGTAGACATGTGTCCCACTTAGAAGCAACTGGCGGCGATACAGTTAACCAAACAGGTAGTTCGCTTCGAAACTTAATTTTGACGATGCTTTGTTCAGGCGCGAACACTATGGCTGAAAAGTAAACTTGCAGAGGCGAAATGTCTATGATAGCACAATTGCTAAGGATGATTCGTCGAATATCTCGAAGGAAAGCTGAGGTCAGCACTCCCTTTTCTGGCTATTCAGATTCGTGTTAGCTTAACCATAGACTCAATATCGAGCAAGAAAAGGAGGGTATCGTACATCAACCAGGCTCAGCAGGTCATTTATCATTCTGATGCACTCCGAAATATGTCCAATCAAGCCGAGAGTTTCGAGCCAATGCAACAAGTGGCTGTTCAAAAAGCGATCGATAAGCCCGCCATCTTCAACCCTGCACTCGCTATTTTTCCAGTGTAATACCCAATATAGACAAGCGTATTGAACCTCGGATGGTAAAGCGGCGTCGATGGTCCGCTGGTCAATCTCAGATCGAGGAGCGCCTGGCGTATTCAGGCCACAAATGTTTCTCTTAAGAGTGCCCTCTGCTAATAGCAGCTCCAAACAATGTGTTGCTAGCTGTTGGTGAACTTTTCGCTCGTCAATCCAGAACGGATATCTTTCTATCAAGTTGGACTTCTCCTGATCAACAAGGAAATCGCGAAAAGACAGATGAAGTAGACGCACGGGACTCTGCGGATCAGTGGGAATGTAAAGGACAGAGTGCAGGAAGTCCAGTTGATCTTCAATGACGTCTAGAGGTACATTTAAGAGGCGGGCGAGGGACGGTACGCAGAGAGGGCTTGCCAGAGTGACTATAGAGCCGACGATGTGCTTGAACCGCTCGCAAACATGACGCTTTTCGGTAGCTGAAAGCCCAGCCATCAGTCCATTTACTATTGGCAAGTAGGTGGCGTCCAGGTTAGATGTCAATCCATGGCTCGTTTGCTGCTCCAAGATCTTCATCAGTTGCTCCTTGGGCCCACCAATTCTTCGGTCCCGGACAAAACGGCAAGCTGTTGCAGCAAAGATGAATAAGGGCACAGACATGGAAACCAACTGTTGGAATTCCTCGTTACCGGGCCAAGACAGGGGCAGCCGCCTGTTTGAAGATACAGACTTGTTGTAGTCCTGAAGAATAACATTGAATTCATGTTGCAGGAACAGAGCAATGTCGTGCTTAACAATGATTGAAGGCACTTGATGAAGAATCAGATCTTCGTAATTGCCGCCAATATCTGCAAAACCAAGTCGAATAGCTAGCTCTGGTCTACTGGTAACGAGGAATTTCAAGCAGACAGATGCGGAATGTCTCGCTTGGGAGAGGAGGTGGATGACCAATCTCACATGCTCGACGTTATCGCACTCATCAAGTGCATCGGCGACAATCACTATTGTCGGCAGCTGGGAAGCCTCTGACGCCAACTTAACGGGTTCTGCAATGAGCCTATCGAACTGCTCCTTAATTGACCTTTCATGAATAGTAGGGTCGGCCTCGATTGCCGCTCGGACATGTGGCGCAATCTGAGGGAACATTTGGACAAGCTGAGACGCTATCGTGGGAAAGAAAAGCGCCATACTACCACGGTCAGCTTCTCCATATTTGAAGAAGAAACTAGCACCGAGCATCCCCTTGTCCATAAACGATTGCGCAACGGTCCGAGATATCGTCGACTTGCCAGTACCGGCTCCGCCATTCAGCCAGAAGATGCACTGGCCATCTTGTTTGGTACTCCAAGTTTGTATACGTTCCAGAATGCCTTCTCTCGTCCCGGGGTAGCATCTAGAGCTGTTAACATGGCTGGGAGAGTCAAATGCTGCTCCTTTGGCAGATTTGAGCTTTGCCAAAATGGCTTCCTGGTGAACATTGAGTAGCAATGCGCTGTTGGCAAATTGTGAGCAATCTTGCGAGTTAGAAAAGCAGAGAAAAGAGAAAAATTGGCATACATACGTCTGATCAACCTGTAAATCCAAGGCAATTGCGGCTCTATATTTCTCCAGTCGGCCTATTATGCCGGCAACTTCTTCTTTCCTCATCGGCCACGTTATCTTTTGCAATTTAGTCCCTCGCTCGAGTTTGGCCGTCAGATCTTGAAGTTGCAGGCGAGACTCCTCCACTATGCCGATAATATTCTGCAAAGACGAAAGCTTCTTGCTATGGGAACTGTTAATAAGCAGTTTCTCTAGGCCCTTGAGTGTTGCCGTGAATCTGTCGGCCTCGTTCAAGATTAGACGAACATCGCGAGGGGCGTTTTTGAGGCCTGAGCAGTATACGGAACACTGCACGCCGACTTTGATGAAGAGGTCAGCTACCGCGATTACGTTAGAAACAGGCCCAAGAGTGTCTGCCATTGCGGTTGATCAGGCGCGCATAAAAAGGCAATTGATGCTCCTATGTCAAGACGATGCTGGTTTAGTCAGAATCCAGACATCTAAATGAGCCCGATGTAAGCTATATCTTCATAGATATGGTGCAGAGTGCAGATGATCCGAAATAATAAGATGTGGGGGACATTGCTCTAAAGCGCATTATTCTATTATGAAGACAAACAGCCTGATTAGCCTTGTATAATATATAGTTGTCACTTACTCTCTGTTTTCACTTGGTAAATAATGCCTCGAAGAATCGCATAATTGAATCAATCTGATATTATAGGCTAGAGGAATATAGTACTACCTACATGTATCGAGTATCAACTGGTAACTTGTTGAAGGCGGGGAACCTAACCTATTGTCTCATACCTAAATACTAGGTATTTTACAAAGTAGGTCGCAATTTTGTCAAGCCAAGCAGATGACTGAATTCTTTCATCTTTTTTTATATGTTTGAGAGATATGTGTGGACGCTGAATTATATCATGCGTAAGCACTTCGCAGTCGTTACAAGGACCATGAGGCTCTATACAGGTAGGTAGCACATGTAGCCACGTAGGTAGGCTTATAGTGGAATAAGCGCTGTAATATTCATGTCCGTATCACGCTGATCCCATAATAACATCTTCACCTCCTAAATCGCCTCATATATTAGCTTTTTCTAACATATGCTACTCGCATCGTTCAACTACCTATTCATCCGAGGATCAAGTCAATATCTTGACGCTTCTGGGCCTCCCACAACCTCCTTTCCACTCGTCCCAATGCTTTTCGATATGCAGCACCGTCTATCCACTCAACCCACAAAACATAGTAGTACTCATACATGTTGTTGTCTTTTGGCCTCTCTTCATGGTCCCATTCATCCAAGACCTGGTGGTGTTGGAGCCTTTGGCGAGCATCGTTTGGGACACGACCCAAGGCAACTTCTACTAGCTCGATTTCTTGGCCTACTAAGCTTCTGCCATTGTCTGGAGATTTTTCCTGTAGCCGCATAGCGCCGATCCAAGCTGATGTCTTGTCTCTAAGTGAAATGACTGTAGTGCCTCTTATATACCGCGGCGTGATGGCTTCACTACCACGCAAAAAGGCTCTCTTTGTCCGACACGAGATGAATGGTGCGGCGACATGGCTCTTAGGGATCTGCGATGGATCAGGTATGGGAACAGGGTACCAAAACTCTGATTCGGGCTCTGAATTATGCTTGTAAAAAAACTTTGGCGAGTCGTCGAGCTCTGGTGGCGGAAAAGTGAGCCTCCCTGGATGTGTTTCAGTATCGACACTATGTCTGGTCCAACCAGAGGGGCATGGACTCTGTTGTGTTTCAACGGCATACTTCTGCCTATACTCGTACCAGGTATTCCCGATCGGGATCCCAGGAGTCTTCAAGCTCTCTTTCCAATGCCACTGGACAAGGGGCGTAACTCTGTCAAAGTACCTTGCGCCCTCCCTGGACGCTCTAACTTTGACAAAGTCCAATGATGGGTGCATTACGGTTGACATAAGCGTGCCTTTCCAACCTATCCAGCTCCAACTAGGAAGACAAACATTCCCACCAGAGCCCTTTGCTCTTCGACGAGTGAGTGGATCGCGAGTGTGCCACAGAATGGCTATATAAAACATGGCGGCAGGCAGACCAGAGATGAAGCCACCAAAGAAGCTTCTTCCAAAGGAGTTGAGTATACCGGCGAACCCACTAAGTGCATCTTCGGGATACGTCAAGTCTCTCATATTATACGAACCGATCATGTTCCACCACACATATGGATCCGGGATAGGACTCGACAGTGCCGCATTCATGCTGCTGACACTACCAACTTGTCCGTCAACTTGTGCACCATGCTTCTCGCCCACCTCAGCCCATTTGTCACTCTGGCAGACCCAACGAACCCAGCCACCCTCGAAGAAAATCTGTCGCCGAGAAAACAATTCCTCTTGGTACGTCCATCCTCGCGTTCTCCACTTTGTACTCTTTGGTTCCACGAGGCACTCGACAATTTGAATGCCCGGCCGTAATGTATGGACAACCTGGATCGCTGACCTTGGTTCAGTGAGGCCACCAAGTCCTGGGAGGCCGCTATCGGCATCAATGCCATCGGAAGCTGTAATTGTTATAAATGCATTGGAATATATAGACACCATCTTGTTGATCTCTGCCTCTTTGTGTACTGGATCATCTTGGACGATGCATAATGAATCTACCCAAAGATATCGTTCACCAAGTCTTTCAACGCAACTCATTGCATCGCGGATCGTCTTCGGTATGGGCACGCTTGTCCTTCCTTGAGAGAATGCTGATGGCTTTAGTAACTGAGCAATATTGTCCATTCGAGCCATCAATGTGGGAGCCCCTCCCCAAACATAGCTCAGAGCTATGTATCGATCATGCTGCGATGGGCGCACGAGACATTTGCGCCAAACATCAATGAGCCACGTAGGTCGAGCGTCGTCATTATTAGACGATTGTGCCTGCGTTGAGCTACAAGTTTCGCCATGAGAAGAAAGACATTTTTCTTTCCACTGCTTGAGGAGGCTGTGGTCAATCCAGAGAGGATTTACAAGTCGTGCACTGCCATCTTGTCGGGACTTTGGATCTTTTCGAAACAGGTAGATTTGACCTGATCTAAACTGTCTAGACTTTCCGGCGCTTTTGATATCAGCATGAACCTCGAGGTGGTCCCACCCGGTGAATGCTAGCACTCTGAGGGTAATCTCATCGGCAGCACTAGGCGTGAGATCTAGTTTTAAGATCGACGCAAGGAATTTTGGATGATGCGGACATTGTGATTCCACGACTTGCTTCCAGTTTCTGATCAGGACGTGATTCATGGCATCTCCTCGAGTCTCGACTGGGGCTTGGAGCAGCTTGAGCAACTTTTCACAGACCTCACATGGCTGGAGCTTTTTGTTAATACTGTGATCTCGAAAAAAAGGCCTGTATATTTTTACAAAATAATATACCTGTTCTTGTGGCGAGCCTGGCTTTAGCGATTGCAACTTGGTGGAGAGTCTCCGTGATGATGGAGCGACCGACATCTTTACTCTTCAGTATGTTCGTCCTTTTTCGTCTTGGTACCAGAGCTAATTGAGATCCATGTATGGCACTCCCTTGGCCTATAAATGGCGGTCAGTTCCTGTAGTCTTTACGCAGACATTACGGCGACGGGATAGAAAGCCGCACATGAAAGAGCGCAGATGCCATCACGGTCAATTGTAATCTGCGCGAATAATTGAGGGGGAGAGGTAGAACGATCACATGATGATTTAGTCTCGCTCCGTTTAACATGAATCTGGACTGCAAATCTCGGCGGGGCTTGTTGACAATACATGCATCAATTCCCAATTAGGTAGACTGCGCAGCCATCCAAAGAACCATGCAGAAAATAATACCATGGTGTAGCTCTGAGAAACGATTCGCTCAAGTAGAGGGCGGTATGTGCATTTTTATTTCTGTTTATCTGTAGCTCAGATACTAGTGCCTATTTGGCCCATGGGCTAATAATTTGAATGACAGACTCATGTTTCTAGTACCCGATGCCCGACCAAAGCCTGATTCAATGCGAGCTAACCACACATTCCAAGCCTGTATTTGACCAATTGTGTCAATTGGAGATGATGAGTTATCTACCAATCGCATAAATGGTGCAGTACCTAAAACTATCTAACTGAAATAAACTCGGCTTATTGCCCACACAAAGTATATATGCTATAGGAAGCTTTGGCCATAATTAAGCTTAAAGTTTGTTGTCCCAAAGTATAAACTCGTCACCATGCGCGTGTATATTTTTTTTGCCATTAGATTTACTTTTCTTCACACGTATATATAAATGCTGCCCCCTCGCCGCTATTATTTCTTCCTTCTTCTTTTCTCTTGCTTGATTGCTATCCCGTCTCTTTTTGCCACTCATTTTCGCCTCCTATCGTGTATGAATACGCTTGCTTCTGCCATCATTCACGAGGTAAACACAACTAACTTCACATATTTCTCAATATGCACATCATTAGCTGGGTATCTATGGTTTCTGTCCTCCCTCACCTCTGCAGTATTGTCGGACTCGTCTCTTCTCTTCTCTTCTTCTCGTTATCAGCCTAAATATGGCTCGGCTGATCCATGCCCAAGAGCGAGAATAAGCATGGTCGATTCGACTGGGGCCACTGAAAGGCAGCAGTGCTAGAGCAGTACAGGACTACATTCGCTAATTTGATTGATAGGGCTACATATCATTCAAACACACGTGACAACTTGGATGTCAAACATCGGCTCCGTAGCCGCCGTCTTCGTTGCCCTCGCCGCCTTCTCCTTCACCATGTACGTCCATCGCAAAAACAGGCGCCTCTCCTACCAGTTAGCGAGAGGGAATGGACAACAGTGAGGGATAGTGTGTCGTTGTTGATGAGGGAACGGCAGGGGCAGCAGGTGCAGGTGCAGGTAGATGTGGCCTTTGGAGGTGGAATAGGGATGTCGGATGTCGGATGCTCCTATTCCTGATTTCTCTCGCGTTGCCGATCAACGAGCACGACGGGGGCAAGATGGTGGTGGCGAAGCACAGTTGGCACTAGGGAAGCAGAATGACGACCTGTTCAAGGAGATGGCGACCTCACGAGAATAGGCCGCTGAACCTCTTGCTCCGGATCATGGCCCCTAGCGGCATTGTTTCTTCATTAAGGAGAGCGAAATGAAAGAGGTGAAGGTGCAGGTGGCGGTGTTGATGGAGGTCAGGCGAATGTGGGCGGCAGAGCTAGATTATGAGGACCATGTACCCCTGGCTCACTACAACACGATCAAGCACTCTAGCTGTAGCTCAACAAGTCTGATCGTCCACATATGAATATATCAAATTACTATATACACTCAAAAGCAGCAGCAGTAAAAGCGGCACAATCAGTAGCAGCAGTAGCAGCAGTAGTCAGAGTGCTAGATCTTTCGTTCATTTCTTCATTTGCCTGGTCTTTTTGTTTCTTGTCTTGAGAGGTTTTCAAATAGCGTAAAGAGCTGAAACAAAGTAGATATTAATAAAATCTCGGTTTTATCCCCCATTCACATCTGGAGCCGATGGGACTTTTCTTTCCCTTACTATTCCTTCATGATATGTAGCTCGCGTTATACTCAAAATTTCTTCATCTGCTCATTTAGTCAGGATCCATGCGAATATTTGACGAAGTTTTCTGGCTCAGAGGCTCTGATGAAAGATAGAGATCTTCCTTTTGTTACCCTGATTATTCACAAATCAATAACTCGAATGATGATGCTTTACGAATCTACATGATCATTCCTATTTATACTCTCGCTCTGATGCTCAACCTATTCAGAGCCCAAGTCGTAGGAATACAAGAGTTCTCCTTGAATAATTTTAAAAAATCTCACCATTGTGCTCATGCTGCCCAAAAAGCTCTCGGATACTTCCAGCATCGTGATAGACAACTTTAGTCCTTCGCACTATCGCCTCCCAATCCGGATCGTACACTGTTGCTTCCGGTCCCACATCTTGCCAAGCGCATACAACAGCTCGCTCTGGTGAGAATTGTATAGAGATATCTGTTCCACAAGCAGGACAGGAGGAAAAGATTGGAGTGTTTGGTGGTGCTGAGAAAGCCATGTTAAAAACCGTATCCAGATCTATCCCCATATTATTCCACCTGCAAAAGCCACCAAGAGAATGTAGATGAGGGCATATTTGTAAGAACTTTATAGATCGTGGTGATACCGGAGTTTCAGCTCCAAGGTAGGTTCGGACGGTGTGAAGTAAGTATCTTCCATCCACAACCTTGGGGTAAAATGAACTCTGTGCTAGGATGCCTTCGGCTACGGAGATACTGCGAGGGCTTTGAGTTTCAAAGTGATGCGGCGCGAGAAGTCTTTGAAGATGAGTCCGATGCTTCTTTTTTTTGCTTTTTAGCCGCGAGTACTTGAGTGTAAGTTCAATATGTCTGTGCGATGCCGAATATCCCACATTGGAGAGCGTTTGACATTCGCTGTCATGTGGAACATATGCTATTCCGTCTCTACATGCTGGAAGTTGGTAGGCCCCGCGATATACCGGTGTATCCCATTTGCAGGTCTGGTGAAGTTTGCAGCATTTGGCGCAAACCCACCGATCAGGCGTAGACCTGGCGAGGTGAGTGAGATAGCGCAGTTTGTCTTCCAGTGTGGCTAGCACATTTCCTTTCCCAGCAAGGAAATATTGGTGAACAAGTGTGCGTAGCGGTCGGCAGGCCTGGTAGACTAATAGTTGGCTGTAAGGAGGGAGGTATTCGAATATTTCTAGAAGGATTTCAACGGGTAGTTGGAGGATATAAGTCTGAGGTTTCGATTTGGCGCGCCGTAAGAGGCGGAGAGGGAATTTAAGGATATCCATGACAATATGTTTTATTATTGACGTTACTCTTTGCTGTAAGCTATCAGAGAAGAGCGAGAATCTGAATGGGGTTCGTGAGCTGCCTATTTATACGTTATAACATTCAGTCGTCGTCAGCTTGGCCCCATCTTCGAGCTTGGACACTTGGCCTTTATACACACTACCCCCATAATATGACCGAAACTTTCTTTATGCTACTATTGAAGTACTGTTTAGTATTGGAAGCAATAATATTAAGCGCCAGTGTGTGGAGCACAAAGTTTGAAGTGGCACAGCTAATACTCCTGAGGCTTTCTCGGTATAGCCACAATATTGCAGAGGGGGGCGATATACCCCCAGAAGCGTTGATAAGTTTTCTCAAACCATCAGTTTATACCAGAATATATGGAAAATAGTCTGCGAGTTGCTAACTTTATGTACCTCATGAGATTTGGGCAGCACCCAGCCTTACAATAGAAAAACATTACTTCATCGCCGGCTGAGATATCTTCTGATCAGAGCCATCGGGCTATTCTGCTCTTCAGAGCACACATCTCTCCATAGGACAATGACGCAGCATATGTCGGCAGTCTTTGTCGCCACCATCCCGCGGCCCTTACGCAAAATTGGGGAGCCGTTATTCCACAAAAGAACAGATCTGACAATTCGCGCTGCATTTGAGGCGCGCCATACGCCCTCTCTCTAGTTCACATGCCAAGCTGGTAGATTATTCGTGCGTTCATTGGGGCCATCAAAAAATGTCGAATTTTACGCTTGCTACATTTATGAGGCCCGTGAATTTGAACTACCTACTTCTTCCAAAGCGGGATTTGATAAACAAACAAATGCTCCTAGGTCCATACCGAGAGCTGGAGATGGATATCTACAATTCCACAGAGACAAGTATTTCTCGGCCAAATCTCTTTCATAACGTTATTTTTGTACGACATCACGCTCGTAGAAAACCCATGATTGTTAGGGAATTCATAAGACTGACTTATGGCACCATACGGGCTTTAGACTGGAGTTCATCATGTCATGAAAAGTTGGATCCGGGTGTCAGACCGAGCAAAGAGTAGAGTAGAATTATTGACAGCTAACAAAATTAAATATACCCCAACAAGGTTCCTGCACGCATCTGTAATTTACAAAAAGAAAATTCTCTGGCATATCACCTTAGTTAAAACCACGTCATATATAACGGGATCTTGAGAACTTACAAAGCTTAGCCAGATGACTGCGGCCAGAGCCGGTGCCCAGGGGCAGTGGTGTCATGGTGCCGGCAGCGGCAGGGCGTCAGAAGAAGAAGATGATGAGGAGGAGGATGAGCATGGTGAACATGATGGTTATGGCGCTGACGATGATGAAGAGGACGATCCTGTGGTCGATATCTAGGCTCGCAGCCAATTCAACGGGCTGGAGGAAGCGTATGGTGACCGTAAGGACCACGGAGAAGACAATAATAAGAAAAATTTCAAGATAAATCAAGCGAAGCGGAGTTTGTCGGACTTTGTTAGTGCCAGCGGGTTGCTGTCAGCTAATTTTGCGAATGGGGAACTGATTTGCTGTGCATGCACTTACGCATGGTGAGTGAAAAATCTTCTTTCTTTTTTTTTGAGAAGGAAAAATAATGAATCGCGGAGGGCAGCAAGCACTTATGCGGGCTTCTTAGAGATGGTCTTACGGAGAAGGCTTGAAGAAAAACAAACGGTAGACGGAAAACATAGAGAGGAAACCTTCTCGTCTATTTTGGTGCACATGACGGCAGAAGCAAGAGAGGGAAGGAGCTATTATACCGTTCAGATCTACAAAGAGAGTGAACCTAAATATTATTTCAGTAACAACTTCTACAAAAGAGCTCCCAAATATAGGCAAATCACATGAAACGTAAAAATTCATTACTACTGTTAGTGGTATTGTCCGCTGCCGCGCAAAACCAGCTATGGTCATATAGACGAGGTGTGCAGGGCGTCTATAGCATTTGGTGATCTCGTGCTCTATGTCAATGACCTAGATAAAGTGTACCAAAGTAAGAATATGTTTTTATTTGCGAGCAATATGCAAGGTTCAAGAGAATCAGTTCTTTGCGAAGTCTACCTAAGGCGCCAACATCATATGGCCTAGGCCACATAAACAAGAATACGCCCTGAGTTCCGGATTCTCAAATGAAGGGCTATTCCCCCTAGTTCTAGAAGCAAACTTTACCATCCTCACAGACATTGAGAGTAATACGCGTTTGAGACCTGGCAGCTGTATGGAGAGGCACAGACTGTGCATCCACTGTAGCCCATTCCGCCACATTGTGCCCAGTGAGCTGCAGTACAGCTGGGGCCTCCGCCGCCTCCCGTTGTGCTCGTGGGGCCTGAAGGCTGTGTAGAAGAACTTGTGGAAGTGCCGCCCAGAAGATCAAAGAAGTCGAGGACCTGTTATCAATGTTATTAAGCCTTCATATGAATGTAGATTAGGGTTCCGTTGTCAACTCAGTCGAACGCCACGACGAGGCAAAGCCACGAAAGCTTAGCGGTAACCATCCAAGAGATCTTGAGTTGTACTTACATCAGTTTCATGAAAAGGCACAAAGTGGCCTACGCCTGCAGCACTGTAGCCAACCAATCTTGTGCCGTCGCCGTAAACAATCTTCGTATAGCCTGACTGCGGCGTGTTGGTCTCGTTGTGTGAAAAGCTCAACCCCATGACGTTGCTCCACTGGTCCAACTGAGCTTGAAGATTCCCAATGGTCACTAGAGTATCGGCAGTCCCCTCCCAAACTTGCATCTTCGGGTACTGACCAGTGTATCCCGGATACTCGGCGCGTGCAATATCTCCCCATTGCTGCGCTGTAAAACCCTTCTGGGCGTGGGGGCAGCTCTGGTCTGGGGTGGATGGTGTAGAAGAGGTCGCGTTCTCGAAGCATCCAGCTGGAACTCCGCTAAAGCCTGCGCCTCCAGCAAAGACGTCGGGATAGGCAGCCATAAGGATCGGTGTCATCATAGCCCCAGACGAGGACCCCACAGAGAAAACCTTGGAGGCGTCGCCATTATACTTGCCAAGAGTATACGAAACCATGGCTGCAATGGCCTTTGAGTCGCTACCGCCATTGTGAGTGTTAGATGCAGAGCTGTAGCAATCCCAGCAATTTTGATCCTTAGTCGTCTGGGGATAGATGAGGATGAAGCCAAAGCTATCCGCGTACGAGGGTAGCCGGGTAAGACTAAAGTACTCTTGCGCAGAGCCCCCGCATGGATGAATCTGTTGAATCATGAGCTTTGACGAGTAGAACTGGCGATGAATCTCAGTCGTACCGCCACAATAACTGGAGGCTTAGTTGCCACCCGGTCAGGTACATAAATATACATGCTGACCCCGTTGACAGGATTACCCCAGTTAGAGACCTGGGTCAGAGATGCAGCAAACACCATTGATGGCATGCCTAGCATGGCCATGCCAGCTGCTCTTGCAAATGCAGACTTTCATACCATATTTACTGCTTGTGTAGTTGTGCGTTGTCAAATAGACTAGGCGCCTGGGGCTAATCAACCACCGGCCGGCATTTTACTTGGTTTACTTCCTTTTATAACTGTTTCTGTCTGATTCGCGGCAGCTTGCTTCACTATAGATCTTGTTGCATTCATGTTGGTAGGAAACTGAATATCACATTCATACTCAAAGGAAGCGAATCCTAAATGTCCATAACTGCCGCCTTTAGCCAAAATGCGGAATATACTACCGCACTAATAAGCAGAATGCAACGTACAGTCGGCTTCGATTTCGGCAATGATGAGTTATTCAACTTACATCTCAAAAGCGACCGCGATTGGTACGTTTAAAAAGTTGAACAAGGTAAAATTAAGGTGTTGTCATCATTCAACATCCCTGTTTCAAAGGGACTGCGAATACTTCATCGCAAATATACTGTCTCGGTGTCATGAGAATTAGCCTAAACAATTTTGAAATGCGGTAGTTCTAGTCGGCATCCGAACGCCAGAATCAAGGAGACACGGCACATAGATTCGGCATCTAGACGTCAGAAAGAAGGTTACATTTGGATACTAATTGACAACAGGAATCGGTTGCATATAAGCTGGTTTTAGCCCCAAACAGCATGACACTTGGAGAAGTATATTGTAATTTTTATAGTGTTTAATATATATCATTTTTCATAGAAGCCAAGTAGGTTAAGAGGTTTTAGGACATAATAAATTATACTAAACAACTATTTATTACTGAAAGTCTGTGCTGAGCTATGCTGAAATTGTATGGCTTCATATTTATCCTCCATAATGTAACGCACTTTCCCTCTTGTCTCTTGTTGTCCCAGTTTATAACACAGTGATAGAGATATTAGATCGGCACATTTGAGTATCAGGCCGGTTAGTTACTCTGATTTGGATAACCCCGATTCAACGTACTCCACGATATTCAACTTTCTCGTCCTCCATTGGTAATATCGCTGTGCCCACGGAAAGAAGAAAGTATTTTGTCCGCTTTCATTCAAATAATAAAAAGCAGGTCCATATTCCGGGCTAGTAGCCAGTTTATTGAGCTCCGGCTGCATGGATGTTGTCCAAGCTTCTTCTGCTTCACGGCGTGGTTCTATAGTATAACGTGGAAGCGTGACAGACTGTTGATAAATGCGTCGAATGATCTTGAGATTAAACGCTGCTTGCATCTCCAACCCTCGGATCAAACTTGACCAGGGCGTAGTAGTATTGGGGCCGTTCATGAAGATGAGGTTGGGAAACTTTGATGTCATAGTCCCTAATGTCAAAATTAAATTAGCGGCTTCCATATTAGACTGAAAGCTGTATATATACGTACCATATAAAGCATTAGGCGAACTCTTCCAATGATCGCTGAGAATTTGATCATCACGACCTGTTGTAGGCACTGCTCCGCCCCAGCCTTGCATTTTAAATCCAGTTCCCCATATGAGAACATCTGCTTTAATATGCAAATTCTGTGCTTTTGGCTGAGATTCTGAACTCTGACGGCTGACTGCGGCCGGATCGTCAATCTGCAAAACGACATCGTCTGTGTGTGGTCGCTTTGTAATAACACCGTATTCGTCCACCGCAATAATGGAATAATTAATCACTTCAACATTATCCTTCTGAAGCGTCTCAAAGAATCCCGAGAGAGACACCAGTGGCCTCTTAGACCCAAATCGCCCGACCGGTGTTAACTTTTGACGCAGAACATCATCAGGCACTTGTTTCTCCAAAGTGCGGCGACAATAGCGTTCCGTATTCTTCGCCATCCAAGATGCAGGTCGAAAGGCGAAATACGCCCATAGACCAAAAAGATTCCCAATCATGAAGGCGTATAAGGCAAGAAAGCCAGGGATCCAGCGGAATGCCCATTTAATCCAAGCTGGATATTTAAAGTTGCTGAACGGATGACAGTAAGTCATGCTTCGGCAAAATACACTGACCGACTTTGCTTGTGCTTGAATGTACGGCAGTACCTGGACAGATGTTGGGCCAGTTCCGACATACGCCACAGACTTGCCGGTGAAGTCGTACTTCGCCGGCCACTCTGAAGCATGCCACATGTTGCCCGTGAAACGGTCCATTCCCGGAATTTGTGGTGTGCTCGTCCGATTATACGTTCCGGCAGCCTGTATAAGAACACGGCAAGTCCAACGTTTGCATACTCCAGATTGGGCATCTTTAACGTCCACGACCCACAACGATCGCTCTTCAGACCAAGTGGCTTGTGTAACGTTCTGGCCAAAAGTTGTACAGTCGGTAATCTTGTAGTATTTGGCAAAGTTTTGGTAGTATTGGACGAGTTCTGAAGCCGTGGGGAAAAGATAGTTCCAGTCTGAGAATCACCAAAAGTCAGCTTGTGAGACTCTAATGGAAACAACGATGTTTGATGATATAACATACCTGGATTTCGATGCCAACTGACCTGGTAGGTGCAACTAAATACATCACAGGCAGCACCTGGATAAGTTGCAGCTTTCCAAACGCCCCCGTAATCGCTGTGTCGTTCGAGGATTTGTAAGTCTTGCGGCTGTAACACCTTCTTTCGTAGCAACTCCGCCGCCTGCACAAGACCACCCACACCAGCGCCAATGATAATGCAAAATTTGAAAGTTTCTGACTCAGAGTCCATGATGAAGGATAATAAATATATTAGCAGCTCGGTTGTTTGTCTTGTTTTGTTCTGCTGGAACTAGTTGCAGAAGACCTGGTTATTATATAGGTACACATGTTGATTACCTTGTTAGATGGTTTGGAATCATTGACTGACATCTTAACCGTAGATGCATGTTCCAATGACAATTCGGAGGGAGTGTGGGCACGGACTAACGTAGCCGTATCATGGGATTTTACGGAGAGCTGCTTTGTTTGGGATAAAGAACCCGAGTGCATATAATTGGCAGCCAAACTATGTCTTGCCGGTATGGAACATTGTATCTTAGAGCTCATTCTGCAAAGCGTTCCGTATTCGTATTCACACTTCTTACCAAAAACAGTCCATCGGGACGAATATCTGCGTGGGGAAGTGGCCTACACTTATTAGACGCGTATTTCCCTAGGTGTGTACGCAGCCGCCTGAGATGGGCGGTATTACTTTTTCAGGCCTTTTGATCCTGCGTTACTGAGCGCGTATGTTGCTAGCTCCTCATCTGTGACTTGATTCCAAATGATGGATACTGGAGTTGTACCTGTATGTGCGATGTATGACGGTTGTGAATACAGCCTTGCAAAAGCCTACATCGTGACTAACATTCTTGTTATTGCTCCTCTGTTGGCTTTGGCATTCGATTAAAAACTAGGTAGTTAATGGACTCCTATTTTTAGAAGTCATCATGAGACCCACCTGAAATAACTGCCTGTTTGGGAAGCTTACAGCGCTTGGCAAGCCATTCCAGCTCCCAAGACTCTCTTGTCTTTATGGTTCAATAAAACGCAAAAGAAAGCTACCATTTGGTCTTCAATCAATATGAGAGTCTTATAATTTAGTAAGCTGAAGTTTTCGATATTTCCTCCACATTTGAGGTACGCAATCATGGTGTTCTTTACCTCCTGCAATAGAAAGATGTAGGCCGGTGTATGCAACTTAGAGACCACATTGCTCAGCATTCCTTCGACTTTCAAAACTCGAAAAAGCTGCTTGGCGAGTCTATAGTCTTCAACATGTCTCCTTTTGAAAGCTGGGGCATCCAAAGTCTAGGCTGAAGCGGTTACCAAAATGACTGGTTAGCACCAGGATCGTGGCACAGCGGTGATACCTTTTTCTTCCGGGGGGCCAGATTATCCAATTGACTACAATTTCATAATATCAACTATTTCATGCAGAGTGCTAGACAATAGGATCGGGGCACTGGAGATATTATGAGTATATAGCCAATGCATCTAGCTGTGCTTGTAGCTGCATTCGCTCGCTACTTCATGTTTGATCTCTGAGAGAGTGGGTCCTGGGTTCGATCAACATCGCAAAATCCACATAACGAGATCTCAGCAGAAAGTTTCACTTATTAAAACGTCATGGACTGTTTCATATGGCAAACTGCACAGATCATACATTGCGCTACCGCGAGTCGTAAATGGATCTAGAGAAGCGTGGGGATGACGGGACGGTGGGGAAGGCAAATAAGCACAGCGTACTGGAGCCTTTTGTAAGCTCCAAAGCGTTGATCTTCGTGGAGGCCTAATTTGAGGGCTTCGCTAAAGAGCTACATTACTATTTGATCACTCAGGCACCCAGCGTGTAGCAGCTATCAGAATATAGCTGCTGGATACCCAAGTATTTTATACTTGCTGCTGGTTCACTGAGAGACAGTCTTCCCGTCCCAAGGCGCTAATACAACGCTCAGGGTCCGCATCTCCACACCAGCTCTTCTCCACTCGGGAAGACCCTGAAAATGGCATCGGCCTTTCTGTCTGCGTCACTGAATTGGATCGGGAACTTCCATCTCGTCAAGATACCCGTCTTTGCAGGCGGGGCAGAATCATTCTAGAGCATCTTCCTTCACGAATCTGTGTCAATTCTCAACCAGAAATGCCTCTTTCACACAAGCGTCGAGCGCCCATTCGCCAAAGCTTAGCACCCCGGTCCGAGGTCCGAGATACGGCAGATACTAACTCTGGTCTTGGAGTAGCTTCGTCGTCGGCCCACCAGATTGCTCAGGAACTAAACGCCCGGCTGGCCGGGGCTGCCGGGAGCTGGCCGAAGCGAAGCCATCACGTGCAGACGGACATGCAGCGGATCAGGAATCTGTTCCAATGCCGACTGTCTGCAAATACTTTGCACCTGCAATGCATTGGACGCCACCGCAGGCCCCTTGGTTGGGATCTCGTCGTTCTGCAGCATGCCCACGGCAACAGCTTCCAGCGGCGGGCGGCCGAAGCCCTTTTTCCCCAAGACAGATGCGGTCATCTTGTCGTCGAAGCATGAGCCCCCGCCAGCTCTGCCGCAGACCGTCTGGCCCATCTTCGATCCAGACAATCTCGATAAGCCAGTTGAGCCGTGGAATCCCGATGTAGAGAAAAACTATTATCCTTTGCCAGATGATGAATTTGCGCCGTCAAAGGCCCCTGATGAGCCGCTGTCCAACGATGGACGATATCTGCGCGGCTTTTTGGCGGAGAATGAGAGGCTCAGGTTGTCTATGCTCTGGTACTACACTCGCGATATCCTCAACGAGCCCGAGTTCCTCTCTGGGCTGCAGCAGAAGGCAAATCTGGCTCAGGAATCCAGTGGCTGGGATTTTGTCATCATTGGCATTCAAGACCTCAACTACTATATTCGTCTAGCAGCTGTTGGGCTTCCTTTGGCCATTCATCCACGCGGAGAATCTCTCTGTGCTCACACAATTACCCAGACTCACGTATGTTGATGATACTTGGTATGTAGACGCCTGCTAATTGTACATAGGATATTTTCCAGCTGCCGAATATGATGGAAGACTGGAGATTTAGAGACTGCCCGTATGCCAAGGCCGCTGGACTCCTTGCATATGCTGGAGCTCCAATTCGCTTGCAGATAGAAGCTGGGGAGCGCGTCAATGTTGGCAGTGTTACTGTGAGCTCTAAAACGGCCCGAGAGCCCTTGACCAAGCTCCAGCAGCAGACGCTTGCTCGGCTAGCTGACTGGGTCGCCGCCGATATCGTTCAGTCAGCGAGAGCAAGGCGCCAGCGAGAACGGCGCCGGATTTCAGAACTTCTCTCTGCAGCACAGAGCGAAGCAGACAAAACAGGATTAGAAGAACCGGTTCTGCGGATACTGAGGATCATATACCCAGATGCGACAATTACCGTGCAATCATGCAAAGACGCCCATGTCGAGATTGAGAATCATGAACCAGTGCCCTTATCTGAGCTTGAAGATGGCCTGTGGGAAGACACCATTTATTTGGATGATTTCATCCAAACTTCAAACCAGAAACCTTTCCCTTCAAACAATGTGGTGCGTGCAATTGCCGCTCCGTGCGAAACCTTGTCAGGATCCTCCCTACTTGTTGTAGCATCCAAAGACTTTCGACTAGTGTTTGACGATGTTGACTCTTGGTTTGTCCAATCGTGTGCAACCATGCTCTCTCAGATATGGCACAAGCGACTCCTAACGGAAGCAATGAAAGCAAAGGAAAAGTTCCTCCGAGGATTTTCTCACCAGCTTCGAACTCCGATTCACGGAATTCTCGGCTCTGCAGACCTACTGACAGAGGAGCTTGCGTCACAAAAGCATCGTGAGAGCAAAACGATGGAGCCATTGCCAGAGATCAAGCCGAGCGAACCTGAAGAATCAATTATTTATCTGGATACCATCAAGTCATCAGGGCGAGACTTGATTTCCATAGTCAACAACATGATTACGCTAAACAGATGGGCCGACATTGCCATGAAGGACCGGCAGTACGCTTTGCACACCGTGTACGAGCTCGAAACAGAACTGTCCAACGAGATGCGCAAAGCGATTTCCGACGATACCCGCTATAGGGCCTCTGTTTTCTTCAATCATGACTCCCAATTGGATTGCGTCAGCTTCCGAACCGACATCGGTCTACTTCGTGACAGCTTGCTTCAGCTCATCATCAACGCCATACAGAATACTTCGGAAGGCATTATCACGGTGACTATAACATTACAGCCAGATCGCCAACAGCTTGTTGTTGACGTCACGGATACTGGTCGCGGAATTCATCCAGATGACCAAAAACGTATATTCGAGCCTTATGAGAAAGTTGGAATGCACTCATCGGGCGCTGGCTTAGGCTTGACCCTCGCTTCCAATTTTGCAACACTGCTCCACGGATCTGTCAGTCTGGTGTGGTCAGAAATTAATCGCGGGTCACAGTTTACCGCCACCTTTCGGGAGATGGAGTGTGTTCCTTTACCACCATCGCAGTCGCTCGTTCAAAAACTCAAGGCCTTGCCTTCCACATTTTACAATATCACGTCCGGCTCAGACAGTGTATCATTATGCAGCAACTTCACTCTCTTTCTAAACAGGAATGGGTTTAAATCTTCGGATAGCTTGGATGACTCCTTTGTGGTTTTAGACTATGTGCCTGGGCCGGGAAAACACCATTCACATCTATCTCAGATTCCAACAGGAAAAATTGCCATCTGCCTCGTCCCAGCTTCAGAAGGGAATTTTTGCTTAGAACAACACCCTAAGAACATATTTTACGTCACCGCGCCGTTTTCAACTTCCTCGATGAGCTCGGCACTCGAAGACGCCAATGACTATCTCTCGGAAGTGAAAGCCTCACAAGCCTACATGTCTCAACTAACGATGCCCACTCCGCCAGAAGACAGAATTCCATCTTTCTTCGGTAGACAGAACACCAACTCACTTACTGGTAACAATGGTTTATTGACGCCACCATCTGATCGTAGCGGGAAAACTACTGCGAAAGCGGGCTCCGTCGCCTCGATTCCCCCGTCTATCGCTACTTCCAAGCCCATGGCACTACTTGTTGACGATAACAACATCAACCTCCGAATCTTACAGATGTATTGCACCAAACGAGGGCTTCCCTACTGCTCCGCGACTGACGGCCTGCAAGCTGTGGAAGCCTTTTCGAAGCAGCAGTCATTGGCTGCCAATGGCGAAGGGACATGGATCCAGCTGATCTTTATGGATCTCCAAATGCCGGTTTGCGATGGTTTCAAGGCGACCCAGCAGATACGGCAGCTGGAAAAAGAGAACAATTGGGGAGAAAGCATTGTCTTCATTGTGACTGGACAAGACAGCCAATCGGATAGAACGACGGCGGAGGAAGTTGGTGTTGATGAGTTCTTAGTAAAACCTGCTCCTGTCAAGGTCCTGGATCGTAACGTCGTTCGACACTTTCCATCGTTCAAAGTTGGCTGAAGTTACATATTTATGCGGCAGATGCACACCAACATACGCACGATGCGTTTTGCTGTTCCGCTGCATTTTGCATCTTTTACTCACTCATCAAAACGACACCCCATCCAGTCATTATACCAAGCGACGTTAACATACGTTAAACCCTTACAAGAGACTGATACTTAAGCAAGGCAAAGGTGCCGAAATCCTGCTCGGTGTCTTTCAACACAATCGCGCGAGACGAATTACGAGGCATGAGAATATGTTTCATCAAGGCTTACATACGTTTTACTCTCAGCCAAGATGACCTTTTGGGCACTTGGATAATATGCCTTTTAATGAGCTGGCACGAACCTAATTTGACGCTGAACTTGAGTTCAAACTAAATGTACGGAGTACTGAATCACTGTATGCAAGTAGGAGTTGCTACTTGGAGAATGGAGAGCTCTACTGGCCTTGTTCCTTGAAACTCAGTGCTCATCATGTTATGAAGAGAAATGTTATCCAGCATGCCATTTCTGTTGTTTAGCAATCTAGCTATAGCGTTGGCTGCTACCGCTACTCCTGCTACTGCCGCCATTTTAAATGTACTTGGCAGTTGTGTATATGTATTTTGATGTGTGGACTGGCTGCCTTGTAGCTGGGGCGTTGGAGATTGAAATTGGGGTGCTGGATAACCTTTTCCGTTATAAAAAGACTAACTATAAAGTAGAGACAGCGTATAATCAAATTACCGGGTACATGTATATCGAATCGCTCTTTCATTGTTAGGCAGCCACTATATAGAAGCAAGTCACATCTTAATCTTGGTCACGTAATTATATGTAACAGCGATTGTGAAGGATACTGACAATAATGCAAACCAAGGCATAAGTAACAGCTTTCTGCAATGCAACGGCGAATCTGCCCTGCCCAGTAGTCTCTGCACAGAGAGTCCTGCCTCGTAGCAGTACTCATACCGTACTAGGCAACGGAACGAAGCCGAAATGTCTACTATGCACATAGGCGAGATTGACCTGTGTCTACCCTTCCTTTACCTTGAAGCCAGGCCCACGAAAGGGATACACGAGAAAGAGGCCTACAGGCAACGAAATACAAGGTGGGTGGAAACATGTCGCTTTTACACTGGTTGCGGCCCAACTCACAACCGTCTCAAGAGAATGTATCCTCAGGAGAAGCAGCCGTGGAAACCAATCGGCCCAACTTGTATTCAAATTCTCCAAGCCAAGCCATCGGGTCCAAATCACTAATCTCAGAAGATTCCATCTCTTGCCGCCCTGAGGATCAAATAGCTGCGGCACTCAAGGTATCGCCTTCTACAAAAGCCGAAAGCGGTGGGAGCGCGGAAAAGGCTTTCTGAGCCAGGCAAACAGACTTCTCGCGCTTCGACCCTCAGAACTGGGCAAGGCGGAGCTTGAACGTGATGGCATGCAGAGACCACCAATTTAATCACCCAAACTTCCATCCTTATTAGCTTCGCGCAGCTGGGATTGGGCCTAAACAGCCGGACTTATTCTGCTCTATCAACTACGGTTCGACTGGCCTATGACTGTAGTTTGGATCAAGTTGACTGCGACGATGCGGCTGTTTCCACAACCGGGGCCGCCAATCTCGATTCTTCTAACCTTTGGATTAAGAGGAGCTCCGTCGCGCCTGGTGAGCTGTCGCTTATCTGGAGAATTTTATATGTGTGACCAAAGACAGGCTTCGCATGATCAACTGGGGTAAATGCAAGACGAAGCTCCCTTGTGACGATAAAGACTGGTTTAAAGGACGTCAACAATTGTCGATGTTTTTGCCAGCTTACGTCTACAATTTACGAGCGCCTCTTCCCATACCGCGCCACCTTTCCATCTTGGCATATCGAATTATTACTATGCATTTAGGTGCTCAGATGGTAGAGACAGCGTTAAATAGCGACGGCTTGTCCGAATCAGACAACTTTTCTCCATCATTGAAGAGTGCGCTACGTCTTGTAAACGAATATACCTATGGGGAGTAGCCAGAACAGCTATTCTAAACCAAAATCAGTCGGCATTAAGATGCTCAAAATTACCATTCACCAATTGCCCTCCATTTCAACTGTGTACAGTTCTTCGTTCCTGGCGCAAAAACACAAAGTCAAGCTGCACAACCTTTTTTGTCTAAAGCGGTTTGTCGTGTATAGCTGACCATGCCAAGCTGGTCTATAAACTCCTCCGTCTTCTTGGGCGGATAATCTTCATTTCACGCCCAAACGAGCGTGCACGACTTGTCGAGTGATGCTTTCTGCGGCGGCCTTTCTAGGCGGTCTTTCTATGGTTGGCTGGGCGGGCGGACAATCTTCAGGGGGCATTTCTAATCAGATGGAGGATATTCCCACTCTTACGGCGGCTACCATCCAATTAATTGCCACGCTAAAAATTTACGAGCTGCTGCCAACGATGGCGAAAAGAAGCTCAATGCCATGGATACTTCGAATCGGGGACGGCTTATTGTAGTAAGTAGCATCCAAAGGGCAGCGCTTATAGCATAAAATGATATAAGTACATATGCCCGTCAATGTACAGCATAACCTCAATACCTTAGTACTCAACCCATCTCAAACCATGCCAAAAGGTATAGCATGGTCCGCAATATAGTGCTCATCTGCTATAACATGGTGCTTGTCCACTGTAACATGTATGAATTAGTGGGTAATCGGTATTTTGTAGTCAATACTTGAAGCTATATCAGTATTTTTTGTTACATGAAATTGCCTAGAAATCCCCAGCAAAAATCCCACTTTTTGGTTGTTGTTAGTGCTACGTAGTAATCACTGAGTAACGGAGGCTTAATAATACAACTTTCAAATTAATATAAACCCGCCACTGACATTTAGTTTACTTCAACCTTGAGAAGAGCGATATCGCGAGTCTTGCTCATATCTCTTCCCGAATTGACCCAGCTATTTTTACGCAATGAGTACCGAGTCTCGGCCCACTGAGGCCGGCAATGGAAACCAGACGCAAAAGTCTGATCCAGCATCACGACCGCCATGGGATGAGGCCGCCTCGATCTTTGTCCAAACTCCCGAGCCCGGCTGGACATTCGGCTCTGGTGCCAACCACACGCAGGCACGAGCTTCGGCTTCTGCGGCGACTGCCAAACATGTTGCCATCGACCCTTTTGCGCCAGACCGCAAGGCAATGGACAACTACAGACTGCTCGTGAGCGGAGTCGTTCCGCGGCCCATTGCCCTCATCTCGACGCGGTCTCCCGATGGCTCAGTCGAGAACTTGGCGCCGATGAGCTTCTTCCAGATGGTCAACATAGACCCGCCAATCCTGGCAGTCGGACTGACGAGCTCGTTGAAAGAAGCCAAAGATACGTTGCTCAACCTCATCCAGGCGAGGGAGTGCGTCGTAAACGTCGTCAGCGAAGGCTTCGTCGAGGCTGTAAACGCCACAAGCATCAATGCTCCCTATGGCGTCTCTGAATGGGATATTGCTGGCTTGACTCCGGTGCACGACTGCCACACTGTGTCGTGCGCACGAGTCAAGGAGTCCATCTTTAGTATCGAGGCTCGTCTTGAGAGCGTTCGCGAGTTCACCAGCCGGAGTTATCCTGGGAAGAAATCGGGCTGCCTTGTGTTGCTTGAGGTCACGTACTTTTGGGCGAGAGAAGATGCCATCAATGAAGAAAAGAACCATCTGGATCTAACGGTTTGTCTCACTGTCTGCCGCCTTGCCTGCTTGTTTAGTCTTTCACTTGCAATTTTTATTCCGTTCTATCCATTAGATAAAATGATTTATTACAAAGACTAGGTTTACTAACTATTTGACCAGGTGTTGCGTCCGATGAGCAGATTAGGTGGTGACATGTACGGCAGAACTACACAAGTTATGGAACTGAAGCGCCCGGACTTTGAACGGGACTTGAATGGGTTCGAAGGCTTGGAAAAGCTCAAAGAGAACAAAGAAAAGCAGTAACGAAAGGTGCACGACAATCTTGAAGTAGATGGTAAGCTGGGCTTCTGTGCAACAAATCGGAATGCAAAATGATTACAACGCGCATAAACGAAGCGAGGCATAGCCTAACATATGATGTCAAATAGAATAGCGATATTTATTTCCAAAATGCCAAAGCATTGAACATTTATGGAACAGGCCAAGTTTTTTCCAACTAGATTTGAATCAAATTGGACTATAACATGCGCGCCTCTGGCTGTAGATGCTATCAGCCATGAAATAGGTAAAATTGAATGCCTTGCTATTTATGTAAATAGGAGCCAGAGTCATCTATGCATCTCTCGCATGAAGCTGTTAATTTGCAAGCGATTGTAGACATGTCCATTAAGAGTTATCTTTTCAAAGCAAACAAACTATCCTAATTCTCCATACAATCTGAAATGGAAAAGTGCTTTTCTCTCAACTTCATTCAACCTTATACGCCTTCAAAGTATCCTCCAAGCGACTCTTTGACTTCTTTTCTCCTGCCTCAGCAGCCCAATCAGTCAAGAGGAGAGGGCACTCAAACTCAGAAAGCCCAGACGAGAAGCCGCCATCGTGCACCATCAATGGCTCAGTTGTGTCTGATGCTTTCAGCGCCTGATAAAGATTCTCTCCGGGGCCGTGTGTCGCCATCGCCCCGTTGAGAAAAGCCGCCACAGGGCCGGATTCAGGTTCAAGGCGGTGAAGCGGAGAATCTTCACCTTGGTCGTTACTGATGCCGAAAACGAACTCTTGCATTGTGTTGCGATGGTACCATGGAGCTGGAAAAGTGTTTTGCGCCACTTGTCAGCGAGTTCCAACGCACGCAAAGTCAACGACATCAGTGCCAGAGGCTTTTCCAAATGAAAAAGCCATCAACACAACAAACACTGAAGAATCGGCAAGCCATAACGCATATTGGCGATGGTATCCAAGTGAGTCAGATCATATTTGTATGCATAGAGTGTACCTTGCCAGCCAACGACGTCGAAAGGAGTCGTGGATTAGGAACAGGCCCAAAGTTTGATGTTTAGGCGTGAGATGACGGTCCAATTGCCAGATCCGTTGTTGGCGACGGCAACCTGCTCTCCATTTGACCCCTATTCAGCACCAGCTTAAAAAAATGCCTTTGGGATCTGAAAGTCCAAAGAGTTGGCTAGGCCAGTCGTTCCAATGATGCGAAGCTCAGGGAGTCGGAAATGGCCCTGATAGAGTTCGCAGATATACCCTCGGCATGGCTTCCCTTCCAGCAACGTCACACGGTATTTGATACCACGTGGAATTACCACTATCTCGTTCTGCTTCACCAATATCTCGCCAGGTTCAGCCGTGATATCGAGGGCTTTGATCTGTGGAACAATGAAAGCTTCGCCATCCAGGCTGTTAAAGACTGTTTGCTCATCCATATCTTTGTGTACATTAAACAGCCAGATGTCGAGGCCTGTTTTCTGTTGTGGGTCGTCATTGCATTCAACCAGGCGCTGGTCCAACCAATCTCCCTTGGTCTGCCACGGGAAGGATGCCCAAGTGATAGGATTCGGGTCAAGGTTGGCCGTCGGCGGTGGATTGCCGTATTCGAGATTGTGATTCCACGCGGTAAATTCCCGGTGGATGTAAGAGGCTTGGATTCGATACATGTATGTATATAGGTTATGTACCCGTGGGCCTAACATGTTGTGCCAGACATTTTTTCTGTACGCATCCCAGAGGAGGATGTTGTGGTGGGCATTTGGTACTGGAACTGCACTGGGAACTGCTTCGGACCTATGATAGAAGGGTCAGACTTCCTGTCTTTTCTCGCTGCCCGACTGATATCAAACTCACCTAAAATGATTTCCGAGAACTTCATGGTAAGTATACTTGTCCTTCAAAGCGAAATCTATCAATAGATGCATTGTTAGATCTTTGAAGATGACTAATATTGTTTATGAGTAAATTGTCGGAAGTCGAGGCTATACTTGAGACTATATGTTGATAGGCTCAAGCCGGGCAGAATATTGATGTCAATTCTGCGCGTATCATCCATTTTATAGTAAGTCTTGAGACAATAGAAGGGGGATTCTCATTACGACGTGAGCATCCGCCAGATCCGACCGTTTGCTCCATCATAACGAAGCCGCTACAGCATATACTTTCGCCTGTCTGTATGACATTCCAGCCCTTTGGATTAGTTACTATTGATACCGGTTTCACCACCAGATGATAGGCCGCTGAATCAAGCTCCAGGTGCACCACTCCCGCGATATACCTAGATCCGCCGCCAGGACAAGAAGATCCGCCGCCACCAATTTCGACGACAGTTCTGTTCAAATGAAATGTTAGCGAAGAGAGCATAAGTAAGGGACTATAAAAGAGAAGGGAGTGTATAGAATACTAGAATGATACATCTCCTCTATGTAACTTATGATCGTAGTGTCCAAGTCAGTCAGCTAATCCAGCATGTAGAAATCTGTATCAAGCGGTCAAAAGGGAGCAAAACTCACCGATGGAACGCATCATGGGCAATCTTAAGTTGCCTTGGCATTGTGCCCCATCATCCACCCCAAAGGCACCCGCACAAGCATTAGCATCCTGACTCTGCTGCGTATCACAACTATTTAAAGTAGCCAGACATCTACAGCTCCCAAAGAAGAGGTACAAGGGCGGCACAAGAGCCTGAAGAGCTCTGTTACAGGCACTTCTACGGGTCACTGCAAGTTGCCCAATTAGCGTTACATCGGCATCCAATAAAGTTCTCTGGACACTATGATTTGCCATTTTTGAGATCAAAAGCACCTCCGTATCTACCTAGACCGTAGTTTTGAGGCGCACTGCCCCAGAATGCGCCGTCGAGAGCTGAGTCTGCAAAGGGCAAAAGTCTCGACTATATTCCATCTCGGGTGCGCTTGAATGCTATAGTGGCACTTTAATCTCTGGTCCATTGATATATATAACCAACGCAGCACTAATAGGCCATTTAAATCACTCTGCGGATCTTTCATGGAACGCAAATACCCCGAATCGTTCCGTACATCATGTCAACATTTTGGAAAGTATTTTCCGTTACCATTCAATTCTCGCCAGCAATGGCTTGAAAGCGGAAGAGTTGGTCTTACATCTAACCTAATGTCAGTTCACCTACGCGCTCTCTGTATAAAGAAACCTAGAGAAAAGCTATCCAGCACCCCAATTCCGTTATCCAGCATTCCAGCTATTGCGTGAGCTACTGCTGCTACTGATGCTACTGATGCCACTGATAGAGCACAATCACATGTAAGTTGCGCACTGATCAGGTACAGCGCGCTGAGTCATATCTGATCCAAGCGCTTGGTAACGGACGAAGCTGATTGCCTATTTAGGAAAGCGAGGAAAAGGAAGACTCGGAGCATTAGCACGGACTCCCACTCAGAACCGTCTAGGCGGTAGCTCGGTCAGTTTCTCGTCTCCAATCAGAGGCCGTATAAGCGTCGCACTCCGATTGGCAGAGCCACAAGTTGATGACTATGGAGTAGATAGCCCGTAGATAGCTGTAGATAGCAAAGTAATGCCTAGCTTTACAACCGTATCTTCACTAACGCTTGGGCCTCCTTTACTAGGTATCTGGGGAAGCCCACCTGGTAGTACACACTTGCTTGAATCATGGACCACTTGACTTTCTTCCCCGAATCACTATGGATCACGAAACAGATTAGTGAGTCAGATTTCCACATCTCCGGAATACTGTATCCGTGATCCATGAGCGATAATGCCCCGAATTAGGACCATTCTCAGGATCATCGACCCCATAAAGAGCCCCAGGCAGCAAGGCTAACTACTGGAGGAACCAGGCTCACAAAAGTCCCTTCCTCATTCAGCTAGATTGGCCCATTGACTCACACACCGACGGCGAACTCTTTACGGGCTGTGGCACTGGATGGTCCCGCTATTACGCCTTTATTCCCGACTTATCAATTCGTTTTCTGGTTTAAACATGCCAATGCCAAGCCATTCTTGTTGCCAACTGCAGTGAATAGTCTTTGCAAATCGCAAGTCTGCGCGGCAGCCAACTAGGTGCGCGATGGGATCGCTTTACCAGCCAGACTATGTGGCCTCGGGCTTGGCGATTTTGATTGCGCTGCTGTCTATTCCCTTTGTTCGAAAGCTTGTAGCTGGCAACCGGAACGCCAAGAATCTGAACCAAGATGGCATCACGTACGAAGACGTCGACGGAGTCGCGAGCGAAGAATCAGCGGCCAAATTTTCGAACAAGCGCCAGTTCATCGCAATTTTCATCATCACTCTGTTAGCAATCGCAGTTTCGGGCGCAGATGCAATTTTCACCGCTGTCCAGCAAGGATTCGACTTTTCACGTTCAGCTGTGCCCCTTTTGGGGATATCCTTACTGGTGCCTGCCTGGGTAAGTCGCAGCTCGCAGCAATTTTTATTTTGAGCTTGAAGCTGATACTCTCTAGATACTTTTACTTTTGCAATTCACAGTCGCTTCTAGAGAAGTTGCACCAGTGGCGAGGTTCAACACTGCTGTCGCAAGTCTGTATACATGCGTCTCGGTTACTGCTATAGCATCAGTGAATCTTTATGAAATCAACGGCCTCAACTATGGCTACCGCGATGGGCTTTTTGTTACTGCAATTTTAACGGGAATCCAGATTGTCGCATCGCTGGCGTTGTTTGCAACGGTCTGGTTAATCCGAAGACGCCCAGATGTTTTCAGCCCAAATGGAAAAATTGTCGACTCGTTGTTCACAGGCACTCTCTGGGAGCGATATAGCTTCAGCTGGAGCTTGGGGATGCTCGACGCCGCTGGCACAGAAAAGTTTGAGAACTCAGACATGCCGTCCATGGATCACGTCACGAGATCGGAAAACTCGACAGCAGACTTTAAGCGGATGATTTTCCGGGAGGATAAGCTTCCTCTGTGGGCGCACATTACCTGGAAGTATCGATGGATTTTCCTCTACCAGTGGTCCATGATTCTCTTTACAAACTTTTTCGATGTCGCTCCCGCCTTTGCGAATTTACAGCTGCTTCGATACCTCGAGACGCGCAGCGACAATGGGGTTATTGACCCTGTTGCGTGGAAATGGGTAGCTGCAATTGTCATCGCTACGATTAGTTCGCGTTTAGTCGACTCCAGAGTCATGTGGTCGGAGATGGCTGGTATGAGATTTTCCCAGTCTTTTCTACCGATTTTAGAGAGCTGCTAATAACCTTTGCTTAGATACGGTTATTCCTCTGAGATCAACTTTGACCGGCCTGATGTACGAAAAGCTGATGAGAATAGAGGACTCACTTCATGTTCCCAAAAAGGTAAGATAGAATCCCGTCATCTAACAAAGCACGGCACATACGAGGAAACATTACTTTCCTCGGCATCCTAAACCAAGCTAATCATTTGTCCTAGGAGTCTGCGGATTCAAGCGCCGAGGAGTCCGATGATACAGAGGAACAAGACGGCCAGCCAGCTTCAAAATCCCAGCAAGATATTGTCAACATGTTTTCGGTCGACTGCGATGCCATCGCGAGATTCGGATCCCAAAGCGCACAATACGTCAATTGCGCAGGACAGTTCATCATCATCGTTGCGTTTCTACTCCATCTTGTTGGTTGGCAAAGTCTGCTTGCAGGAATGCTGGGAATCCTAATCCTCTTCCCTATCAACAAAGCCCTCGCAGCGGTCTACGGCAAAAATCAGAAAGTTCTCATGAAACTCCGTGATGAGAGAGCCGCTGTTACCACAGAAGCTCTAAGCGGAATCCGGCAGATCAAGTTTTCTGCGATTGAAACCCAATGGACGGAGAAAATCGAGAATGTGCGTGAAAAGGAGCTTTCAGTGCTTTGGAAGACGCGACTCGACAACATTTACATGGCCTTTGCTTCAGAGCTCACGCCTATTGTCATCACTGCACTTTCTTTGGCGACGTACTCCTACATCAACGGAAACCTGTTGCCTTCCGTTGCCTTTACGGCGATTACGCTATTCAGAATCCTTGAGGGCATCGTGGAGCATATCCCGCTGTTGCTGGTTACGGCTATCAACGCCAAAGTCAGCTGCGACAGAATCGACAAATTCTTCCGCATGCCTGACAAAGCCGACAATGTTCACCCAGGCGCTGCGATATCGTTCAGCAACGCTACCATCACCTTTCCCTTTGGCTCGGATGGTCCATCGGAGGACCAATTTGCTCTGCGAAAGCTCAACCTGGATTTCCCCAGCAGTGGCCTGAGCGTGATTTCAGGACCTACTGGATCTGGAAAGTCCCTGCTCTTGGCTGCGATTCTCGGCGAAGCTGAAGTCCTCGGTGGTTACATACAAGTTCCAAAAGCGCCTCCTCCAGAGCAACGATTCGACAGTAAAGCGACTCCCGCCAACTGGATCATCCCTGACGCAATCTGCTTCATCTCCCAAACTCCATGGATTGAAAATGCCACCATCAAGAACAATGTACTTTTCGGGCTTCCATTTGACCCTGTTAGATACCAAAAGGTTCTTGAAGCTTGCGCCCTTGCTCAGGACCTCTCCCTATTCGAAGACGGCGATGAAACCGAAGTTGGAGCTCAAGGAATCACACTAAGTGGCGGACAAAAATGGCGATTGACATTGGCACGAGCTTTGTACTCGAGAGCAGGCATCATGGTCATCGACGATGTGTTTAGTGCTCTCGACGCGCACGTTGGAAAGGACGTCTTTGCGAATGCACTCTTGGGTGATCTTGCAAAAGGAAGGACTCGAATCCTGGTTACTCACCACACTTCGCTCTGCCTACCGCGTGCGGATTACGCTGTCCATCTCTCAGCCTCGGGAATTGTCGAACATGCAGGATTAGTGGAGGAACTGCGACGCACCAAGGTCTTGAACCAAATAATCGAAGCCGATGACGCCGCCGCGGAGCCCGAAGACGGACAGGAAGATATCGATTCAGCAATAGTAAAAACCAATGGTCAAGCTTCGCAGACTCCTGCGCCCAAGGCTAAGAAGGCACCCAAGAAGCTTGTCGAGGACGAGAAACGAGAGACTGGAAGAGTCAAGACCGCCGTCTATGTTGGATACCTCAAATCGTTCAGCGGATACACCCTTGGCGCTTTTCTCGTGCTGCTATATGCCTTGGCTCAAGGTTTCACGCTTGGCCGCACATATTGGATCAAAGTCTGGGCTGGTGATCACGAAGAAGCCGCTACTACTGCCTTTTCGCCCCGTGTGACATACCATTACCAGGACAGACTAGAGACGCAGCTTTTTGCTCGGCCAGCAAGCTACTTCAACTCAACAGATGCGGCGGCAGGCATTCAATCAGAGGCCCAAGTCAGAAGCCTTTGGTTCTATCTGGGCATCTACTGCGCCATATCACTCGTCTCGGTGATTGTGTCGGTTAGCCGTCTGTACTGCGTCTATCTCGGCTCCCTCCGTGCGTCACGAAGGATATTCCAGGGCATATTGCGCAGTGTGCTCCGAGCACCACTTCGATGGCTAGATACTGTGCCTACGGGCAGAATCTTGAACAGATTCACGGGAGACTTTACCAGCATGGACGCTTCATTGGCCACCAACTTTTACTATTTTGCAAACGTAATGTGGGACATTGTCGGTGTTTTGGTAGCTGGTGTCTTTGTCTCGTCATACATGATCATTATTGCCATTATTCTTCTGGCCATCTGCACAGTCTATGCTAAAAAATACATGGCTGCAGCACGGACGATCAAGAGACTCGAGTCCACCAACAAGTCCCCAGTCATTTCGCATTTCGCATCGTCTCTCAGCGGTCTGTCGACCATCCGGGCCTTTTCCAAATCGTCCGAATTCACCGGCAGGATGTTTACTCTCATCGACGACTGGGCAGCCTGCACCTGGTACATCTCGGCTTTCCGAATGTGGCTCATGATTCGCATCGGCATTACAGCTTCCATGTTTTCTGCTGTCGTTGGTATTTTCGTTGTTACGACGCCATCGATTGATGCTAGTTTGGCCGGTTTTGTTCTCTCCTTTGCGCTGTCATTTGGCCACTACATCAACTGGGGTATCTCCGTTTCCACCCAAACAGAGCTTGACATGAACGCAACCGAGCGAATTTTTGAGTACACAAATCTGGAAATTGAAGAGCAGGGCGGTGAGGAGGTGCGGGCAAGTTGGCCTGAAGAGGGAAGGATAGAGGTCGAGAAGCTGGAGGTCGGATATGCCGAAGGTTTGCCCTCTGTTCTCAAGGGGCTGAGCTTTACCGCCGAAAGGAACCAAAGGATCGGAATCGTCGGTAGAACAGGAGGAGGTAAGTCTTATTTATATGCATCCCACCGAAGCAAGTAACCCGCGCTGACATGAACCAGGAAAATCCACCTTGTCGCTCGCCCTTTTCCGCTTCCTTCACACTCGATCAGGCAGCATTACCATCGACGGCGTTGATATTTCCAAGATCAAGCTCTCCGACTTGCGCACGCGTCTGGCCATTATCCCACAAGATCCTTTCCTCTTCTCGGGCACCATTCGCTCGAACCTCGACCCTTTCAACCAATTCACCGATTATGAACTCCAGAAAGCCTTGGTGCGATCCCACCTCGTTTCTTCAAGCCCTGGCACACCAGTTGGCGAATCAAATGTTGAGGATGCCATTCCATCTTCCAGTGCCACCATCAGTTCAGACACGAATTCTTCTCTGACACTGTCATCTCCCATTGCATCCGGCGGTTCCAACCTTTCACACGGCCAGAAGCAGCTGCTTTGCATTGCACGTGCAATCCTTTCACGCCCAAAGGTCTTGCTGCTGGATGAGGCGACTTCGGCTGTGGATATGGAGACTGATAGACTGATTCAGCAGTCGATACGTCAAGAATTTTCCGATTCGACGCTATTAGTTATTGCGCATCGCTTGAGCACAGTGGTGGATTTTGACCGGATACTGGTGATCAAGGACGGAGTCGATGCGGAATTCGGCAGTCCGAAAGAACTACTGGAAATAGAGGGTGGGATCTTTAAGGAAATGGTCTCCCACAGTGGTGAAAAGGATGAATTAGTAAGATTGATTATGGAAAAGGAGATTTAGAACAACTATAATAAGATTGACAATATTGGGGAGGTCGGCGATACTAAAGGCCAATAAGGCGTTATATAAGAAAGACAGTATTAATAAGAAAGAAAATTCCTAATCTATTACTTCTACTACTTCTACTACTTCTACTACTTCTACTACTTCTACTACTTCTACTACTTCTACTACTTCTACTACTTCTACTACTTCTACTACTTCTACTACTTCTACTACTTCTACTACTTTTATCTGCGTTTAACTAGTTCAATTACAGTGGTTTACTTTTAAGGATTTATTGGCTTAACGCCTATGCTCATAATATATTTTATCCGAGCTATAAATTGCCGTGTCTCGCAAAGTGTTACACGCTGTATGCTGCCACATCGACAGTATGCAATTTGCAGCTCTTTCCATCTGATAAATCCCATGCTATCCAAAATTACATGAGTATAGAACATCAAGACCTTCTAGCTTTAATCCAAAGAGAAAAAAGAAAGCGCTAAATACAAGTATGTAAGAGTTCTGAGTTGGCCAATTATATCATCAAGACTGCTGCTGCGAGACGTCATTCAACATATCCATTCAATGTACTGCCGAGCCTCTCGTTCCTCAACGTCTACATATTGTTGGTCCCAGTTTCTATTGTTTTGTTGTAGCTGCTGCAAGCTCTGCAAGCATTTCTCAATATCCACAAAGCGAGTAGAAGGCCCAATCATCTGGTCATACGGCATTATATCTCGCCACTGGGGAAAAGAGTAATCCGGATCCCAAGAGGCAATTGGGTTGGGCTGCAAACCAAACACCCTGGTTTCGCGGGCCTCCAGTTCCGTCACAAAAGTAATAGCAGTCTCCAATGTTGTCTTGACCGCCGTTTCCCCAATATATTCGTCAATCTTATCAACAATGGACTCAAACGTGATAGGCGAGCTTAGCCCAGTTTCCACTCCAGTGCGCGCCATAGTAACAGGAAGCCTTCCTATTAAAGTCGAATCCTCTCCTTTCCAATTTCCGGGATCAATGACAAGAACCAGAGCTTCAAATAGTGGCTGGAGGACATAGTTCTGATGGTCCTTGACAATATGATGATTGTCCGCTCCCGAGGCAATCACTGCCGCGTATTCTTTACGTTGTTGATGAATATTTGTGCAGATGGCTTTATGTAGAGCGATGAAGCTTCCTATAGAGGCCGTTATTGGGTGAGAACGATTTTCTGCATTTTTGGGAGCAATATATTTAGTCAAAAAACGTCCGTGTTCAATCTCGCTCCGAAAAGGCTTGAACCATTGGCGATATATATAGTTGCATAGTGTGCCGGCAAATCGCCATTGACCATTTAAAAAATAGATTGGAACGGATTTGTTACAGAAATCAGGAAATTCGAATTGGTTTATAGGAGGCAAAGGTTGGTCGATGGGAGGCTCGTAAGTACGCCAAGCAGACGAGAAAAACACTTGGCCGCGATGGTCTATTTCTAAATTGCGGCGAAGGTATAGTAGTTTCTCGTCTCGGGCGATATCGCTATAGGGACGATCAAAAGCCCTGGCTAGGGCTATCTGGCTGTTGTTTAGCTCCATTGTCAGATGGATAGCGAGCAGTAGGTTTCGAATAGTCTAATTAATATGTTGGAGCAGCGTAATGTTCTAGCCAAATCAGATGGAAGATTGGTGTAAAATAATAGAGGAAGGAAGGAAGGATTTTTTGCAAGGAGAGGGAGGTTTTAATAAGAGTTTTCAGCCTACGCTTTTCGTATCAACATGCCGTATTTGATGCAGTTGGGGTAATGTGTAACTTTACAACATTACAGCCACCGTGTCACCTTTCTAGTGAGTCACCAGCATAGAACCTCCAACCTCTAATAAGAAGACTTATATTCTACTTCTAGAAGAAACCTTACGAGAAACTACTATCAGTAATAAGTTACTATACTCTAAATAATTACTCCCAGGTTTTTGGTAAGGGTTCAAATTCTGATAAGGGCAATAGTAAGGGTACTTATTTCTGGTAAGGGCTCTGGTCATAGTTTTTTACCTCTATTATCAGTGCCCAGTATGTGTAACTTTACAAGCAGTCCGCAAACGTTCTTTACCACAGTATAAGATTTTTACAGCCACCGTGTCACCTTTCTAGTCAAGTCACCGGCGTGGAACTTCCAACCTCTGATAAGAAGGCCTGTAGTCTACTTCTAGAAGAAACCTTAGTAGCAAGTTACTATACTCCAAACAACTATATCGCCCCCCCGATTCCAACTCTCAAAGGCGCTACCGCATAGCGCCCTGCCCGTACCGCCGGCCCGGTAACCTTTGTGACTAAGCACTCGTTTAATTTCCCGCGTTCGGGCAATAGGAACAAATTCACTTGCCAAATGTGGCAATTCCTCGAAAGAAACGCGAGACAAAAAAGACTTTCGGCACGGGATGAGTACACGTATACGGGCAATTAGCATGTACAGCACTAATAGGTATTTTAAATCAGATGCACAGCAAGAATTGATCAAGAAAGCTCAACAGATTGAAATGACACGCGTATGCCTCGCGGCGCGCTTACACGGACTGAAATAAACCCAGAAGCCACTAGTATATCGCAGATCATAATCGTACCCCTATTCCTCCCTGCATAACCAAAAAAACCAACCGATACAAAATTAACAATAACAGAGACAAAACAACTCGCTAAAGAACAAAACTGTCTCGCGTTATTATAGATAGATGAAGAGTGTAAATAAATAAGAAAAAATAAAAGCCCCGTTTAACATTCCCTTTATATAAAAACTCAGATGATATCATTCTCAAAAAAACAAACAAAAAAAATTATTTCCAACTTTCTCACGCCTTTATTTAATGATACCGATACCGCAACAAAAAGATGTTTCCAAAAAAAAACAGAAGAAAAGGGCATTCAAAAAAAAAAAGAGAAAATTATTTGGAAAAAGAAATAAACTTTTTTGCCTTTTTTTTTTTTCTTTCCCAGAGTTTTATTGCCTTGACCTTGTCCGTATGCCCGTCATGGAAGACGAGCTTCTAATAGAGCTCGTGGCGGTAAGCATGGCCGGCGTACCGCCCTCCATCCTCTGCCGATTATCAAAGTCCTTCAAGAAGGCGTAGACGCTGCCCAGCGGCAGATATTCCAGCAGCGGGCGCAGTTCGTCGGGGAACATTTCGGCGCCATTGTCGCGAATCTCCTCGTTGGCGCGGTTGAGGCGCAGGATTTGCATCCAGGACACAATGTCGTCGCCCAGCAAAAAGGCCGGGAAGCGCGCCTTGGACATGTCGTCGAGGATCCAAGAGTTGCGAAAGTAGGGTCGGTTGAGGAATCCAGAGATGGCCACGTAGGCCGGCACGTCGCGAGGGTCTTTGATGCCCTCGGGGATGTCGCTTAGGTGCGCCACGGGGGCCATCCACTTCATAAAGGGGGCATAATTCTCGGGATGGGCCTCGCGGTCGCCCGGCTCGCCAAAGGTGCGCGGCATCACCTTGTCCCAGGCCTTGATGATCTCGACGGCGAGATCAGACGTCGCGTCCTTTTCGCCCAGCCAGCCGACGACCATCTTGGCGTGGTGGTAGGCCCGCGCCATGTGAGCCCGCCGCTCGGCCTCCTCGCGCGCGTCGCGCGGGTTGATGCAGAGCAGATCGAGCCAGATGCGCAGAGGCGGTGAGCCCTTGGGCACGCCTGGCTCGGCGAGCATCTGGCGAACGCCCTTCAGCAGCGACCGCAGCCAGCCAGGGGCCTTCTTGGGCGGCGTGGGCAGCGGCGGCGGTGGCATCGACGCCGGGCCCGGCAGGTCAGTGGTCGAGGCATCGGGCGTGGGCAGCGACGCGGCCAGGAACACGACTCGCATGTACTGCAGCGCCTGGGCGAGGTGGCTCGGGATGGTGATGCTGGCGCCGTTGAGCAGGATCGTCTCGGTGGCGGTGATGTCGCCGTACAGCGCCGAGAGGCCGATGAAGTTGGAGGCATCGCTTAGCTTCTCGTGCACCAGGCGGCACACGACGCGCTCGCTGATGTCGTTGGTCGTCGGCGGCTGCAGCTCGAGCAGGCGCACCTCGTTTCCGGACCGATCCAGTGGGCGGTACCGAATCGTCGTCGCAGCTTCGGGCGGGGCCATGATTGACATGCGAAGGATGCTTGAGAACTTCAAAAAGGTTACTTCGCACGGGATGGAAGGTCAGCAACCCAATTTTTTTTGGTAATCTCGATTGCAGCGGCACTTATAACAGCCATGGAAGGGGCCGTGTCATTTCCGCGGTAACATTGCACATTGGGCTTGGACATGAGCCCTTGCAGCGCTTCCCCATGCCGGGGGTCAGCTGTGCGGCAGCTGCATTGGCAACTCAACTCCAAATGCCGTCCAGGCCAACAGGCCAATGGCACGGTCCGCCGCTAGCCCGAGCGGCCATGCCAACGCGGAGCAGCTTAGCCTTTGGCCAGAGCGTGCGGCACGTCTCAACGGTGAAGATTTCGACGTTCGCCATGAGGCCGTCGCGACGAGCACTCGGCACGCTGCCCTCGCTCTGCGGCTATCCTCGATGCGTGTACAGCCGTAGTCGCTTTCCACAGCGAATACGGGTCACTGCAACCGAGTCTCTTGCTTCTCTCCACAATTGCCTTTTAGTCTTTTAGCGAAGGCTTGTCTGCTGGCTGGTCCAAATGCCGCGAAACGCGGCACGATGCGGTATTGCCTCTGCACCTGTGGCTTGATTCAGCCGCGGCACGGCCGCTTTGGGTTCGCGTCGGGGTTGACTACCCACCTCAGGTAGGCCGGCCCTGTAGTAAATGTAGCAAACGCTGAATAACGTCCAATCAGATCCCGGCCTCGACCAGAAACGCCCTGTCACTCGTCCAGCCAGGCGCACATGGCAGGGAAGAGGTGCTCTAATCATGTCATTGGCCGGGGTGCAAGTGGCATTGCCCGAGTTTTATATGGTCAAGCTCTCTGAAATGCCCCATCTTGATAGATACGACGGCTGCTTCTCTCTTATTCTCTCACATGTCACAACTTGTCTGTTGTACACCACTACTGTGCAAGAAAACTCCCTCTGAATCCCGGCAACCAGCAAGGTTCAAGCATCCGCGCAACAGATTGCCGGCTGGTCGTCGTACAGCTCCTACGAACCGTAAGCATCAGCCCCAGCTCAACTGCTGCATTCAGCAATAAAAAATGCAATGCATTGGAGAGGATTCCGATGTATCGTGCAGGTGATCTTCCAGCATACCGAGCCTGCCACGCGGCTGACGACCCATCGCCAATGTTACATCTCTACCTTGTAAGCGGGCGTGGGCGATGTAAAGCCCCGCCTCCGAAATCTCGCATTGTTCCTCTCAGCACCTGATATCGCCACCAGCCGGTGTTGTTTCCAAACTCCAGGTAACACAACTGCAAAGCCACGACTAGAAAAAAAAATATATCTTCTCACCGCTTCCTCGCCGTAGACAGCACATGCATGCGACTATCCCAAAGTCAGAAAGTGGCGACATGAGAAAACATGGATGGACCAACAGCATCTGATATCATTGTGGAGAGAGGCTGCATAATCGGACTGCAGGGGGCCCCTCATGTTCCTGTCCTGTCCTGTGGGGAGGGTTGCGCGAAAAGTATGTACGAATGTGTAAACTTCTTCATGCTCAACCTTGCAGTAGGTTGCAGCGCCAAGTCATGTACGGACTGCCTCATGGTCCAACAATGGCACTACCCTTATCCTCTGCTAGTGTCTGCGCCAATCGACAGCGGCAAGGACCGAGACGTTAACCGAGCGATTCTCCCGTCGTGGCCTTTGTCAACCTGGCCCTTCTGACTCCATTGTTCCCCCTCGTACTCTACCTTGTCTGCCTCGTTGCCCTGTAGGGTTCCTATGATGTGATGCAGTGCTCGCACTTCCCAAAGAGTATGTATAAACATCAGCTGACCCGGGGTTCGTTCTTCAGCTGGCCAGGCTGGGAGTTTGCTTCCTTCCTCGTGTTGTCCAAGTATCCTAGTTTTTCTCAGGTGGAAAATGACATGTAGTGTGCTGTTGGTTCACCCCAGACCGAAAGAGTCTCCATCGCAGTGCATACGGCCGTGGAACTGCATGCGGGCTTTTCAAATGCACACCTAGGCCGCGAAAAAAGGGCCACCTGAAGTGCCCGCTTGGAGAGTGCCCGCATACTTGGTAGACTGCCCGCAAGTCGAAAACCCAGATAGTAGTAGGTAGTTATATAAGAAGGCGGAGGAATCCGGTGCTGGAGTTCGTAATGCAACCAGTAGACCATCAGTCCAAGTTGAAAACCCAGCATCAACCATCATGGTCTTCTCTTTATGTCATTTCGAGCCTCACCGGAGCTACTGGAGCGACTTTGATCTCAAAGGAATCAAGATCAAAGTCAAGTCACTCAAGAAAGGCACTTTCCAGGACGGATCAGATCAAATCCCACGATATTTCTGGGCCAAAGGCTTCAGAAATCGAGTAAGAAGAGTCCTGGGCCGCAAGCCAAGAAAGCATTCTTTTCCCATCCATCCCGGCTATTCCGAAGCAAGAGCTTTGGTCGGCCATGGTACTGTCCCAGAACTAGCAGCCCTCTCTGACCAAGCCCGGGGCCTCGTCGCTGAAATCTTTGGAGACATTGGGGATCTGCCTGAAAACTCGTCTCTGGACGAAAAACAATCTTTGTCCTCTTTCGAGTCAGGACCGCGGGTGGTTCAGTTGAAGCTAGCCACCGACCTCCAGAACTGGAAAGATGGTCAGCATGCAGCCGGTAATATTTTGCCACCCAAAGGTACTGGACTGAGTGCAGCTTCGGACGTTGCCCTCAAGAAGCTGGGAGCCTCAGACTGGCCTGACGCACTAAAGACGAACAATGCCTTGTTCGGCTGCGGTATTGCCGCCCTGCTCATGGGTGCTGCTGATGCGCGAACCATGTTCTCCAACTATGTGACTGACATGGCCTTTTACTATGAGCACGGTTACAACTACGTCTTTCCGACGTTGGAACCGCTTCTTCAGAGAGGTCTGGAAGATCCGCATGCGCTGCGCACTCCAGGAGGGCGCGAGCGTCGAGACGCCGTCTCGCTCGGCAAGCAATACATCCAAGGAAAGATTGCGCTGGAGAAGCGCCACATAAAGAACTTGACGTATCGCTCGGCACGAGTAGATCGACGTACTGCACAGATCATCTCTCTGTCAGAGAGCAGCTTGCTAGGCATGGCGGCCGAGTCGATAGCGCGAGGCTTCGACCCGGGTGCCGTCATGGCTGACCTCGTCTTCAGCTCTCCAGGCACTGACGTTGTCGACGTTGGATGCGACCTGGTGAATTCCGAGGTCATGAACTCCTTCCTGAATGTGACGGACATTACAGAGACGGGCGTCGTAAGCGAACAAGTGCTGCGCAAGATATACGACGCCTACGCCGCAACAAGCGCCAGGATGCTGACCCAGAGATGGCATGAGCCAGTTGCCAGAATGTGTGCTGCCCTGTATACATGGCACATTCAAAACGACCGTCACCTGTTCTTCCGTCGTGCCCTTCTAGGCTGGTCCAAAGCACGAAAGACTCCCGCTCAGCCCCAGTTCGAGGCGGATTTCGACGAAGTATTTGATAAGCAGTACCGTACAACCGGCTTCAGCAGGCCTCTTGATCCCAAGTACGCGTGCAACGGCCAAGATACATGCGACCACGTCGACCATTTCCTCCATCGCAACCAGGACAAGCCAGTGCTGCGGGAACTCTGGGAGTTCCTCGTCACGGGTCCCCTAGAGTATGTTAGGGCAGGCCAGGTCGATGAGCAGCGTGAATACGAACTGGTTGAGGGCTCGCGATTGCGAATGGCCGAGCTCTTCTCTCGCGGCCAGGTGCTCGAGATGGTCTGGATCATTGCTCACGCAAACCACCACGCCTGGCAGGTCAACTACCTGTTTGAGGCCGCCATGTTTGGCAGCATCCTTGACGGAGGCAAGCTGGTCGGCAAGCTGGACAGGGCAGAAGAGAAGTAGGATTTGGAGTGGAAGTTGGTGTCTCGAAGACGAGACCCGAGGAATGAAGTTGAAGCCCAAAGGTACAAAGTACCAGCGGGGGTCTGTGTCATGTGTCGGGTCTTCCATCCCTGCATTTGTATACATTTCCCTGCTTTTGGCGTCTTCCTGCTTTTGGCATTTTCCTGCTTTTGGTGGCGGGGCATAACACGACGGAGGCTTTCTCGATTTTCCTGTTAGAAACGCAACATCAACGCGCATATGCAATGTATGAGATATGAATTAAGCTAGAATGATTTATGTTAATGGATAATGGACGGAATATGTTATCAATTCTTTTGCGCATTCGAGACCGGCCAGTGAGAATCGTGCTGGCTACGAAAACGCGTATCAAATCTTGCATTAAGAATAGCAAGTACAAGACGTAATTGGACGTTTTCATTGCGCACATTGATCACGTCTTCCAATTCACCCAAGTCTTCACCGTTTCTTTTCATGTCTTCTTCTCTCTCAACGCCAATTCAATAGTTGCGGCTTGGACCCGTGCAGGGCCACTCTCGTGAAGCATCTCAAAGGTCAAATGTTCAATCTGATTTGTTAGGCTCAACTTATACCTTGCCTCAGCGATGGACTCCATCCACTCTCGCGCCCGTTTATATGAGCGGGTCCCCTTGTCATGTATTTTCTGCATATAAATACTCTCGCGAGGGCTTGGCAGAGCTATCTTTTCCAGGACGAGAAGCATTGTTACGCCCAGAGCCCATATATCACCTGGGAAACCACGAATTCCCCTACGTAGAGTATCAGGGGGGACGAACCAGGGAGTTCCGCCATGCGGTTCCTTGATAGTCGCGACCGAGTCGGCCATGCCAAAATCCATAAGCACAGCACCTCGATCAGGAGAATACGCAATATTTGCCGGTTTAATATCATAGTGTATAACTTCCTGTTTCGATAGATATGCGAGAGCAGATGATATATCGCGGAGTATCGTCTTTACATCAGACGGGTCCAGTGGCGACTCGCGCACAGCATTCAGCGAGGGGGGTAGATGTTCCAAGTAGAGTGCAAAAGCTCGGCCATCAAAAGCTTTTAAAGACACAATATTTCTCTGTAGATGGTTAGAAATAATTTTCTCGTACACGTTGACTGCTTACATGGTGCAAATTGCTCAACGCCTTTTTCTCTTGCTTCCAGCTTCTTGAAATGCCGACCAAACTATAGATTGAGTCGCCACTGTAGCGAAGGACTTTTGCTACTACATCTCCGGCCATTTTCGAATGCTGACAAGTAAAAACACTTGTGGCTTGAAGCTTGACGACATTTTTAATTCGCTGTAAATGGTATTCGTCTTCTGTGTCCGCTGAATCAGCGGTCGAGACTTCCACAACGGCTACCTCTCCGTCTGTAAGGTCTAGGATTGGAGAGATATTGTGGTTGTAAATCTCTCGAGCTGTGTGGTTATGCAGAAAAGAATTCTCATTATTTTTATCAATCAAGTCTGAACTGTCGACAGCGATTTTGCTCTTGCCATCATTTAGTCTTTGTCGTTTAGCCATTCCGTCGTCGCCTTCAATAGTTCGTTTGGATCGTAGCGAAAAGTTTTCCCTATAGATTGAAATGTTGAATCTTTTTTGAAGTATCAAGATTGCAAGAACAGGGTGATACCCGTAAGAACTTTGACCCTTTACAGAAATCATCCACATGCCTGGATGTAGGACGTGCGATCCGAGAATCTCGATTCGCCTGAGGGGAGAATCAGGCATGGTCAAGAATACGTCCCAACCAAATGAGCGATTGATGAGGAGGCAGTTGTCACTTGTTGGGTCCTATATGATGGAAAACTCGATCTTTGGAGGCCGCCTGAGAAGAGAATTTTCAAGAGGCGGGTAGCGATAAAGGGGTGTCTCAAATATAAAATCTGCATGATTTCTACTTTGGATGACGCCATATATATGTTCATAGACATCTTTCGCCGGAGGATAAGTGAGGGAGTAGTTTTTGGCTCCAGTTGCACAGTTGGAATAGAGAGATCTGATGACGAGTCGAGCCTCTGGCATTAGGTTTGAGGCCTTTTCAAGAGCTTCCGCTATGTCGTCTAGGGACTTATCATCCTTTTTCACAACGACACGTTTCAAATGTGGTTGAACTGAAGAGACCTCTTGTGATGAGGTAGCAGTGATAGCAGCGGTAGATTGCTTTTTTGGCTCTTTGAACACGTTTTCTATCCTTTGAGACGAGGAAACGGATTGCAATGAAGAGGCCAGCTGTGTTGACTCTTCAACATAATTGTTGTGCGCTGGCCTTGTTTCTACAGCGGGCGACTCGATTCTTATTTTTGGAGGGGACCCCTCCAGCGAGGAGGCCAGCTGAGTTGATTCTTCAACGTAATTAAGGTTGTCAGCCGGCTTTGAGTCTACGGTGGGTGACTCGATTCTTGTTTTTGGAGAGGAAGACTGTAATGATGAAGCCAGCTGGGTTGACTCTTGGCCGTCATTTTCGCCCACAGCTCTCTCAATTTTCGTTTCAGGACAGGAGCCAGATTGCAATGAAGAAGCCAGCTGGGTAGATTCTTCAGCCTTGTTTTGATCCGCAGGGCTGTCCCCTGCTTTCGCGACAGGTGGCTCAGATTCTACTTTGGGGGGCGAATCGGACTGGGACGCAGGTTGGGTCGATTCGTATAATTCGTTACCATCCACATGGACATATCCCATTTTCGTGGTATGTGGCTTGGCCTGTGTCTCAGAAGACGAAGTCTCAGCCTGCAGCTTTTTTGGCTTTTGCTGTACTGAAGACATGCTGCCAGCAAAGAACCCAAAGAACCTGACTACATGGAGGCACATGCCAATCCTCTCATTATCGCTTCTAATACCTAGACTATGGATTCTATATATTGCTGGGAGCGACAATGAGCTGCTTTGTTGGTGGGAGGAACACCCCGCTTCGTGTATCTTTTAACGGTCCTGCAATGTGACGCTGTCGCGACATTCTCGCGAAAGCCGTGTCGTGCTTTAATAGGTTCACGGCCCTCTCTGCCAGGGGGCGGTAACGCGTCTATCCCGCGAGTGCGTCCATGATTGGCCTGATACCATTCAGCCCGCAAAAGTCAGCAAAATGGAGGGAACAGCATGCGTGCATATATACTTGTTCAATGGAAGACAGAGCAAAGAAATCTGCCATCTGTAAGTTCTAAACCGCTTAAAGACGCATGTGCATACATGTATTCAGGGTTAGGTGCATGTACCCAGGCTGCAGTTTATTTCTAGGCGGCTTCGCCCGCTAAAGAGCCTGATAAGGTGCCGCTAGCTAATCGAGTAATCCGGCAATTTGGCGGCTGTCAAGGTCTCACCTTCATACGTGTCGCGAATTCACAGCACATACAATTAATTTCATGAGGCAGCGACCGCGGCTCGCACAACTGCAATGCCTCTTTTCACACCACCAACGCCTACTAATAGACAGGTACGTACGTGGAATCAGCTTGTCGGATCTTGGGGAGATAATGAGCGGTGGCATGGATTCGAATACCGTCTATCAGACCCAAGAGTTCTCTGGAGAGCTTATTGGGAGCGCTTCAATATGATCCAAATCCCCATCTTGCCACGGGATGAATTCTTCGAAATCGCAATAGGAGTAGCGAAAGTCGCTAAAAATAATGACGATTTTAAAAAAATCTTTGAAGAAAGGAATAAAGAGCGGCTAGCAGAGCTAGAGGCTTTCTTGTCTGAAGGCGAAAGCCGGAGTGAGCGCGACATGAAACATTTTCCATGCCACGATGCGTTCGTTCGAACGGTTCTAGCCTGCTGTGATCCTAATTTCTCCAACTTGATGCGTGTTCTGAAAGGCAATGCATTTGGCTGGGAAGCCGACGAAGAGCTGTATGAAGACATTATCGATGAAGCTCCTGTTGATCCCAATGGCGATTATCAAGATCCGAATATGGAGACGCAGCCTATTGACTATTGGGAGGAAGAGTACGAGGGGGATATGGAACCTCGGAAATATATACCAGATGAAGATTTCATTCTGCCAAAGGGAACGACTAACAAATCCTCCAATTCTGCCAAGGGGAAGCGGTTAGTATTCTTTACATACTTTGTCAATAAATAAAGGCTAACACATAATTAGGAAGAGGGTGCAATTTGATGATGATATCACTGGTCCTGATGAACAGCAGCAGCAGGAATTAGAAGACGCCAACTCTAATCCTGCATTACAAGATTCTCCTTCTGCCTCGCAAGCGGCAAACGAAAGCGCCGCCAAACCTAATGGTGTTAACGAACGGAGACATAAATGCCGACGACTAGAGAGGTCTCCTGCGCAGGCTTCTTCTCCCCAATCATCCACCAAGGCAAGAAAATCCGACAAGAGGTCCAGGCGTGATGAAGATGAAGATGTTTCACGTAAACGCCAAAGACTAGAGAGTCCTACTATGCAAGCACCAACCTCTCATGCTTCTTCTCCAGGGCAGTCTACTAGGAGCCAAGTATCCAAGAAGAGGTCCAGACGTGATGATGATGGTGACCATTCACATAAACGACAAAAACTGGAGACTTCTACCACACAGACACCTACTTCTGATGCTCCTTTATCTCCCCAATGGGCTGTCGAACAACCAAAATTGTCGAAAAAGAGATCTAGACATGACGGTAACAATGACAGCTCACATAAACGTCAAAAACGAGAGAATTCAGCCGCATCTGATATGGCATCTCCTCACATTGCTGGTCAGCCAACTGCAAATGGCACTGCAGCCGTGGGATCCGGACCTCAAAAGAAGGGCCATCAACGCGCAAGTCAAAAAAGAAAGACCGCTGCTGCAAACACGTCCCACGCAAGGTCTCCGCCATCCAGATCCCCAAACACGAGGTCATTGCGAAGAAATGGATCAGCGACGTTGTGGGAGTTGGATGGCTCTGGCAAGGCAAAGCTACGATAATCCTACGACAATCCTCTTAGGAAAAGGGGGGCCAAGTGCAGGAATCTGCTGCCATTGAGTTTTTCTAGAGAGCATGGTCGTTATCCTGGCAGGGCTGGGTGCAGCGGCGCAGTTTGAAAGAAGGACTGGAGACTCCGGTATTTGTTGTTTCTGTATTACATGGTCGTTATCCCGGCAGGGCTGGGTGCAGCGGCGTAGTTTATGAGAAAGAAACGACTGGAGCTCCAATGCTGTGATCTCTGAAGAGCATGGTCGTTATCCTGGCAGGGCTGGGTGCAGCGGCGCAGCTTCAGAAGAGAATCCAGTATTGTACTTTGGGTCCAGCAGATTCGGCACCTAGTTCATGGTTTATCATTTACCATTGTGCTACTTATTTTGATTTCGTTGATAACAGCCAGCGACTTGCTATGATACCCAATGTTCCACCGCTGGGGAGCAGTTTATATTAGATTTATATTATTAGCGTTTTCTCCTTCCTCTTATCCACATGAACCAGTCTTTACCCTGTATCATTACTCTTTCTTGAAAGACTTGCTAGTACACTTTAACCACTGCTATAATGCTTGTGTGGAAGTCTTATTTGGAGAACTTGATGCACGACAGCATTTGTGGCGAGCTTACGGATTGAAATAAATTACGAGCCGATTATTCAGGTGAAATATTGTTCAACAGCTTAGTTTCATTGCCCATCACCGCAGCTGCAGCTGAACAATTCATATAGACCATGTATCAAAATATTCTACTGCTATTTCTATTGGGAGTAGTGTTAGCATCAGTGGTCATTGTAGCTCCCGTTGTAACTGGAGTGCCGCATAACAGAACGGGGGTGCAGGACGACTTTTCCTTTGTTGGACTGTACGATATAGACAGTCTAAATACACCTTATAATTGTATCCTCAAAACTCGTACATGCCTTCTTTTTGAGGCATGGTTCACGGCTTGTAAAAGCTCACGATTGTCTGCAGGGTATGTCAGCCTCTACGGTAATAGCCGTGACCTAGATTATGCACGAGGACCAAAGCGACACCGAGGCATACCATATTTGTATTACTTTTACAAAATACCTATAGCAAAAGAGAGAAAAGGAAATCACTTATATCTTACACTACAGCACGACTGCATGGCTATTGGAGGGACTTTTGCAGCCACTCGAAGCCATGTCCCAAAAAGTTTCACACTTGGCCGATTATCCGATGGAGGAATGCTGTGCCACCACCAACCCGACAGCCTCCTGGTTGCTCAAACGGAAATAGAAGTTTTAAAGAAGAATGTTAGTTAGCAAACATCCATTCCGCAATTCGCCGTCAGAACCGACTTGATCTACTGCGTGCATGCATGATTTGCGCAGCCTCCGCCACGACAGCAACATGAGCGGTGGTTGGAACAAGATGATGACCGTAGATCCCGCCCATTTCATAGCCGTAACGCATACCGTGTTCTTGTTTTTTTTATCTTGCATCTCACATGCAAACGCATTCAAACGCGGGGGAGCAGCAAGCGATAAAAGTGCACCGCTGGAACATCTGGCGAATCATGTCAGGCTGTCAGATTTGACAGATTCACAGTGCAAGAACCCCAGCCGGGAAGTGCCTCCAAACAGCTAGAATGATAATCCGATCTGCAAGGAAAAGATTGTCGTATGTAGCTCTATACTCCATGGCATGGCATGGCATCCTCCACAGCGCCTCACATGATGGATCACTGCGCGGGGCAAGAGAAAGGCCAAGACAGACGGACTAGCCCCTTTGTTTCGCTGGGCAATTGATAACTCAGAACCAAGAGTCATTATTTGGCCAAGATTTCTTTTCTCTCAAAAGTCGTGCAATTTTTTAGCAATTAAAATTAGAGCAAACAACGCTCAGCTGCAGTTTATGAGCTGGCTGATGCTGATAGGGGCCTCGGGTACGTACGGCCAGCGGTTGGGGGCTGACTCCCGTGCTGGTCCGCAATCAAATCTAGATGAGCCTGTCCGAGTTACAGTTGGGCGCCGAGAGATAAGCATAAACTGTACGGCAATAGGCAAAAAATAGGGGGCTGTTAGTGGCAGCGTGCGGTTGGCTGCTTGTTCTCCCGGAGTCCCAAATCCTCGCCAATGCCGGCGGGTGGAAAACGCCAGAAAGCAATAATTCACGGGGTATCCCGGGACAAACATCCTTGAGTTTCGGGGGTGGCTGAAACTAGCTGAAAGGACAAGACGGCAAATATTTGCCAATCGGGCACAGAAAGGGAAGGGGAAAAAAAGAAAGTTGCGGGAGTAACAGGCGGGCATTTAGCCCCCAAAGAAGGCGTACTATTTGCAGCCCAAATTCTAATAAGAGGAAAAAGTAACGAACAAGATTTTAAAAATAGCAACAGAAAAAAAGGGAAGAAAAAAAAAAAGCAAAGCACAGTAAAGGGAAGAAACAGAAAATGCCCTACAACAAGGCAGAGCCGTGCCGAGACCTTGGCTGGTTTAGGCGAAGCTCTGTCTCACTTGTAGCTTCGCGTATTGAACGCAAAAGAGAGAAGAGAAAAAAACGACATGGGCAATCACTTGCAGTTGGCGCATCTGAGTCATCACGAGGCGGGTGAGACAAGGGAAGAAAAAGGGAAGAAACGAAAATGAACGGGAAAGGCGCACGATTCCGGCAAACCGGATCGGCCTGTCTCACAGCTGGATGCAGACGACTGGAACATGCAGAATAAAAACCCGCTGGAATTCTTCAATGTTTACTCCGATTTGAAAACATTGATCAAACAAGCACATACGGGAATGATTACAGGCAAAGCGCCGGATTCCGTCATCCAACGATTCCTGATTCCAATTGCGCCCAGCCAGCCAAGCTGCTAAGAAAACCCAGATGATCTGATCCATTGGCAGACGCCTGGCTCCAGCATTCAAGAGGCTGCTAGTGGCCCTTTGGCGGTCGCCGCAGTGGATGCGCGTCCCCTGTAGCAGCGACGCAGTGACCCCACGCACAGCGCCTGCAGTGCGTCAGTGCGGCCAATGCATCAGCGCTGGCGGGCACACCTTGCAGCGGTAGCTCCTTGGCGCCTTGCGTCGTCCAGCTTGGCTTTTTCGCTTTCAGGTTCTGTGCATCGCCCGGAATTAACGACAAACGCAGCCTTGTCGACTGCATCAAAACAGCAGCAACTCCATCGTCAATAACTCGACAACGGCCCGGATGAGCCACCGCCACCAGTGCTGCACTCTCTGATACCGCACAGCTCAGCCCAGCTGCGTCCTCCGTAGCGCCGCCCGCGGCCTTCCCCAGAACTGGCCGCCGGGCCCCCCATCTTCTGCTCCCGGCCCACGGGCGTCTTCCGGGCCCATCGGCAGTTCCTCTCATCGCGGCCTCGGAACCGACGCCTCCGATGCCAGCAAGTGACGACACCAACAGAGACACAGCCTCAAAGCCGTCTACAGTTGCACGTCTCCACGGGCCCACTGTGTGTGTGTCGTCCGTCAAGCTTTGGCGCTACTGCGATACCAGGCCAGCCCAAAGTCCACTTTATCTTATACTTCCATCGCTGCTTCTACGGCGTTGCCTCTTTTCCAAGCCCTTGGCGCGGCTTTCGGGCTCTCTCCATCCCTTTCTCTCTCTTCTCTTTCCCTACTAGCGTGGCAATCTTGCCCGTTGCAATTCTTATCGTCGTCCTCATCCCGCCAGACACCTAATCGTGCGAACCAGCCCACTTCTTTTACTCAACCCCGTCCACCTAACCTTGTCCATTCCCAGTTTCCTCTTCTTCCCATTCGTATCGCGCTCGCTCTCAAACTTCTTTTGCTTTCCTTCCTTCCTTCTCCTGCATGTCTCGCCATCACGACATCCCTGGCTCGGCTACCATTGACTGGGGCGTCAGACCAAGATTGCAGTGCCAGCCCGTAGGCCGCTGCTTCTCCCGGCACCAGCTTCCGTCAGGGCCTCGACCGGCGCCTTGAGCCGGAATCCGCAGAGACCCTGTGATTTGTTTTGGCACGCGAGATCGGATCTCGAAACGAAGCTAGAAAAAAAAAAAAAAAGAAACGAAGAGAAGGAGAAACGGAGGAGAAAAAGGCAGGGACGCCAAGAGGCATTGCTCTTTTGCCCCGTGGGAAAAAAAAAATTTGTTCGGCGAGTGCTGCGTTATCTATACTTTGTTGGGAGCAAACGCTACGAGGGCTGGAAAGGAAAGCGCTGTTGGGAGGACCGAAAAGGAAAGAGAAGGAGGAAAAGAGAAATCAGGCGACCCCAAGAGGAGGAAGGTATAATTACGAGGTGGCAATTAATACAAATCCCAGACGCAACCACAGACATACAACACTCCGCGAGAATCGGACATCATCACCGCATAGGCATACACAACCCACGATCCAATCGCCGTCGACAGCTCGCCCACCATGGCGTGGGACAACCTCGACATCACCAAGCCGCACCTGGTGTACATCATCCTGGGCGGCTTCACCTCGCTCTTCATGCTCTGCTCGTCCATCATCAAGGAGCGCATGTACATTGGCGAGGCCACCGTTGCCACGCTCTGCGGCGTCATCTTCGGGCCTCACGCCGCCAACCTCATCAACCCCCAGTCCTGGGGCAACGTCGACACCATCACCGTCGAGTTCTCGCGCATCGTCCTCGTCGTCCAGTGCTTCGCCGTCGGCGTCGAACTGCCCAAGTTCTACATGGAGAAGCACTGGCGCTCCGTCGTCTTTCTGCTGGTGCCCGTCATGGCCGTGGGCTGGTTGCTGGTCAGCCTCTTCGTCTGGTGGATGATTCCGTCGCTCAACTGGCTCGACTCGCTCGTCGTTGCCGCCTGCGTCACGGCCACGGATCCCGTCCTGGCCTCGTCAGTTGTCGGAAAGGGCAAGTTTGCCAAGCGCGTGCCCAAGCACTTGCGAGATCTGCTGTCCGCCGAGTCTGGCTGCAACGACGGCATGGCCTTTCCCTTCATCTACCTCTCGCTGTTCCTGATCCAGTATCACCGCGACGCCGGCGAGGTTAGCTTCCACTTCGTCGTCTACGTGGTTCTGTACGAGTGCATCTTTGGCGCCTTTTACGGCTTCATGATTGGCTACATTGCCCGCCGCGGCATTCGCTTTGCCGAAGAGCGCGACTACATTGATCGCGAGAGCTTCCTCGTCTTTTACTTTGCCCTCTCTCTCTTCTGCGCCGGTTCGGGTAGTATCCTCGGCGTCGACGATCTGCTGGTGGGCTTTGCTGCCGGAGTCGGTTTCTCTAACGACGGCTGGTTCGGCGAAAAGACGGAGGAATCACACGTTTCCAACGTCATCGACTTGCTTCTCAACTTGGCCTACTTTGTCTACTTTGGCACAATCATCCCCTGGGAGCAGTACAACAACGGCTTCCTGGGCATGGAGGTGTGGCGTCTGGTCGTCATTGCCATCTTTGTCATCTTCTTCCGCCGCATCCCCATCATGATGATGCTCAAACCCTTGATACCAGACATAAAAAACTGGCGAGAGGCCCTCTTTGCAGGCCATTTTGGCCCCATCGGCGTCGGAGCCATCTTCGTCGCCATCCTCGCGCGGTCTGAGCTGGAGCACGACGAGCCCGTGCCGCTATCGGAGCTGCCGTCATCCGATGCTCCTCACTTCAATCTCATCTACCTGGTCTGGCCAATTGTCACGTTCCTGGTCATCTCCTCCATTCTGGTCCATGGTTCTTCGGTCGCCGTCTTTACGCTCGGCAAGCGCATCAACACTTTGACGCTAACCATGTCCTACACCGCCGCCCCTGACGATGGGCCGTCGTGGATGAATCGACTGCCAAGGATCTCATCCCAGTCTAGATCCCAGGCGCGCACCATGTCAGATGCGTCCTTGGATGACTACAAGTCGCCCGACTTCCCCCCGGGTACTGTTCCCCCACCTGGGCAATTCCTCCGTCGACAGCGAGAGAAAGAAGACGATACCAATGGCCGCTCAAACAGCCGTCCGTCTTCATTGTCGGGTAGGAGAAGAAGAAACAAAAAGTGGGACGACGGCCTTGGGCCTGGAGGCCCCATCAGCCAGTCGGCCATCTTCCCCAACCGTCCTGCTTTGGCGTCACCCCCACCCGAGAGGGAGACGCCGTCGCCTCCAGAGGCCAGAGACTCCAACTTCTCTGGCGATAGCCCTACAGAAGTGGATGTTGAGAAGTCGGATGATGCAGAGGAAGAACGCGGCCGCCGCAGGAACAGCGAACACAGCCCCCGGGCGCCGCACGTCAATGTTTACGAGGAAGGAGAGCATCTGGTCTTTGAAAATGATGACGGCGATGTTGTAGATCAGCGAACGGTCCCTCATGAAGGTGGACGTGGACAAGGAGAGACGACTCTCCCAACACTTGCCGGCCGACGCCAATCCAAACCCGAATCAGAGCCATTCCACTGGACGATGAGCGGCATCCGACGTAAAATGACGGATGTGTACAGCTCCGAGGTGGAAAAGCGAAAAGAAAAGGACAAGTCCCACCGACGACACGAGCCTGCCCGAGCCTATCAGTTTGGCAATACGGTATGAATCTCTTTTACGCCTTGTTCAGTGCGTTTAACTGACTGACTTGTTCTACAGATTATTGTCGAAGATGAGGACGGAGAGGTCGTCAAGACTTATGAACTCCCCTCGCAGAAACAGCCTGGCCAGGAGGGCACCCGGATCAACAACAGTCTCAAGTACTTTGGCCTCGGTGCTCTTGCGCGCCAGCCCGAGAAATCTGCCGAGTCTGCTGCCGAAGAAGGCAAGGCAGGTGAATCTTCTGCTGCTGGTGCGGCCGCCGCCGCTGCTGCATCCGCTGCATCTGCTGCATCTGCTGCATCTGCTGCCACGACTGCTGCCACGACTGCGGCCACGTCTGCGGCTGCGTCTTTAGCCAAGCCCGTATTCAAGCCTGGTTGGACCACCGGCTTTGGTGTCCTCGGCGGTAGTGAGGGCCGGAAGAAGAGCGTGGCGCAACAGGGGGAATCGGACGACGACAGACAGATTCGCTTCACGATCGGAGGAGTGGGACGACGCATGACCAAGGACGACTTCATCCGAGAGGTGCAGAAGCTGGACGTCGGCACGCGCAAGGAGGTTGTGGATCAGTCGACGGCATCCAACGCACTCAAAGCAGTGGCCCGCCAAGATCTATCACAAGGAGGAGCCAACCGCCCATCCAACATCCCCGAGATTGTCGAGCCCGAGCCCAGCACCACCTCCGAATCTACCTCGGCGTCCACGTCCGTCTCTCCTAGTCCTCATCACAGCGCCCGAAACTCCGAATCCCTCTCTCCTGGACGGCAAGCCGATGCTCCCCGAGGCCGTCGCAACAGCACACTGCATCCTTCCGAGCTACAGGGCGAAACTGCCGTGGAACGGAGCCGCCGTCTCGCCGCGCTGGGAGGCCAGCAGAGCGAGATGGAAGGCAGCGGCAGCAGAACAAGCCGGTCACAAAGGCGCGATATGGCAGGTGAAACACCGGCCGAGCGAAGGCGACGTGAAGCAGCCCTGGGAATGGGCGGCGCGGCAGCTGCTGAGGATAGCGACTCGGACGACGAGGGCACGCCACGAGTGCCTCCCGCCCGAAGGGGCATCCGCTTTGCGGAGCAGCCGAGCAGACAAAAATAATTTGCCGGATATTTTCCATCTTTTTTTTTTTTTACCGATTCTACTGTCTTCTTTTAGAGCCTGATGAGCATCTGATTTATCCATTTGCCTATTTCCTTTAATTACTGTGCTGCATGAGGAAGAATCTGATACCACTATCCACATAGACAGGTTTGCTATTTGTTTTTCTTTTTCTTTGCCTTTATTCCCTGCGGAAGAAGAGAAGGAGAGCTGAAGAGAATGAGAAAGCTGAAAAGAAGATGGAAAGTGGGAAGAAGAGGGAAAGAAGAAGAAGAAAAGGGGTGATGTGATTTCTTAACATCATGTTGCATAGCGTGATCTGGGTGCATAAAGATGTATGACCGAATGACTGGGAACCAAAAATGGGTGTTTTTATCTTCTTTTTATTGTTTGTTTTTCCTTTTTCTAATTTCTGTTACTCATTTCCTTTTATTTGGTCGCATGTTACTTTGTTACGTGTTCAGATATCGTTGCTACGAAAGGGGTTATTTGACGTTGGGAGATGGTTTTGCTGGGATTTTACGTATTGCTAGTTTACAAGAAGATGATGTGGGTTATATACCAGTGAATAAAATTGACTTGTTTTGTGGCTGATTTCCTTTCACTCATTGCAATGTAATTTTTGAGTTGTACCAAAGATGTGGTTCACCCGTAGACAATGGCTTCATGGCGTATATTATGGTGTGGCGATGTCTTTTCAATGCTCCATCTCGGGCAAAAGTGGCTCTACCCCTGACTAGTGCCCAGCTATGGAAACTGGTCCAAGCTCAGCTACTTCAACAAGCCTGTAGTCTAACATTGATCAATTCTTTGACCACTAAAGTAACAGAAAACAATGCCGTAAAACTTGACATGTCTTTAGGCCTCAAGTAACTATTTTGTACTTGATAACCACAAATTCATCTCCCCCAATTGGGTGGGACAAGGAGAAAATGGACTCGTCCAACAACCAAGACTCGCCGCTCTCCACATCTGCCAACGTCATCGGCATCCTCACCTTTGTCGTGGCCATTGCCGCCGCGGCCTACGCGCGCATCGCTTTTCTGCGCAACAGCGACGACGAGTACTTCCGCGTAAAGACGTCGCTGTCGTGGTACAAGACGGAATCGACGTGGCTGGCGGAACTGCTCCGCGCAATGGACGACGCGCAGGAGGGAGAAGAAGGAGACGAGAAGAAGAGGCTGAAGCGGCAGCGGCGGCAGAGGCAGCAGCAGCAAATGTACAAGTTTGTCATGGACGACTTGCTGAACCTGGAGCAGAGGCTGCTGGACCTCGTGACCGACATTGAGGTCAAGTCTGCGCTGAGGGGCGCTTCTGAGTGGACGCTTCTGCCGAGGCGCTGGGCGGCGGGCAGGGCGAGGCCCTCTGTGGCGGTGTCGTGGTTGGGCGTGAGGACAAAGGCGCTGGAGCTGGTGAGGCAGCGGGAGGCGCTGACGGCGAGGGTGCAGTTTTTGCAGGTGAGCATGGTTTCGGCGCGGATGGGCGATTTGGAGGCGAGGCTGAGGGTGTTTGAGGAGAGGAGGGATGCTGCTTTGGTGAGGGCGGATGAAGATGAAGAGACGACTGAGGAGTGGCAGTCGGATTACGGAGAATGACAAAAAAAAACATTTTTCTTTTTCTCTATTCGCTGTTCTTGTCGGGAAAAAAACACACACACAACGCTTGATTTTTTGCTTTACCAAACGGCAAGTCAAGGACAAACCAACTTTCCTCTATTTCCTCTTGAAAAAAACAAATGATTGGTTTGCTTATTTGAACGAATACCCATTCGTCCACATGTACACGCCCGTAACGGCCAGGCTGGACACCGCCCACAGCAGGTCCAGCTCGACCACGGCCCACAGCCAGATGCACCCCAGCGGCGGCGCGCGCTTCATGTTGTACATGTAGCCTCTAGCGTTTGTAGTGTAGACGAGCGAGCAGCCGGCGGCGCAGCTCATGGCGAAGAAGAGCAGCTGGCGGAGGGGCCGCTGGAGGCGTTGCGGCAGGCCGGGGACGAGGGTGGCGTGTGGTGTGGAGGGGTGGAGGACGTAGAAGAGGATGAAGAAGGCTGGCGATGGCAAATTAGCACATTGATGTTGTCTTTGAAGAAGAAAATTTACCAAGGAATGCTCGGCCGGCGTTTTGGATGACGCGATCCCATTTAATCTCCGTGCCGTACTGGTTCATCACCAAGACGTCAAACGTTACGTGCAGCGTCGCCAGCGTCGCCGTGTACAGCAGCGCCTCGAGGAACCGCTCCGCCCCGGGCGACATTTGTGCCTCTTCATCGTCGTCGTCGTCGTCTTCGTTTCCGTCCCCGGCAAGCTGTCGTTCTCGCTTGGCGGCCTTTTTGAAGAGCTGCTGCTCATCGGCGAACTGGAGGAGCGTTTGTTCGGTTGGACCCGAGCGGTCGGGCTGGCGGAGCTTGACGGCCTTGGGGGGCTTTTCTTTGCGATTTTTGACCATGGTGGCGCCAGTTGAAATATAGACTGTTTGTAATGTGAATTGAGATCAATAGACGAAAGAGTGGCAGTGTTGATGCAAGTATGTGGTGTTTGCTAGATGGTGAGATACGTGTCTCGTGTTCAGTTGAAGAAAAATAACGGGCTTGACAAATGACATCAAATCGGTCGGTCGGTCGACATCAGCCGAACAAGGCTTGCGGCGGGGCCAATCAGCGGCCACAGCAAAACCTCCGCAGTGGCATGGCAGTGGGGGATGCTTTATCGATAATGCTCTCGGCGATGCCCCTGGCAGTGGCGCTATCGACAGCTGTAAGTTGCGATTTAGAGTGGCACAAGATCGGACGCATCAAATCATACATGGACACTATCTGATGGCACAGGTCTAGCTGTACATTAAAACAGATGCCTAATATCGGCCCCATTCCACAGCTACACCTTGCATCTTGCTGCCAACTGCCGCCTCCATCCCCTCCGCGTGATCCCTCGCCTCGGCCTCCTACTCGTCCGCTGCAGACGTCAAAGGCCGATCCCTTGCAGCACATCTGGCGCGTTTCACCCTGCTGTCCAATGGCCGCCTGCCCGCCAACACTAGATCCAGGCCCTGGAGCCACAGCGCACGGCGGCCTGCAGAGGCGCTTTCCGGGCTTCGCTCCCCACCTTGTCCATGCCGCCTTTTCAATTTTAAAGCCCGCCCATCTACTTGTACCTCTTCCCCAACAAAAAAACCAAAAGCAACCTCGTCCAGAACAACATCGTCGACTTCAAATCGCGGCTCTCCCCTTTTACCCCGGAGCAGCTTGTCCCCAGCGGCCACACACGCGCTCGTCTCCCGCAGCTTCAGCCTCAGCCTCGGCCCCGACCGCAGCCTCGCTTATCGCCCGTCCATCGATCTCGCCGTCATCGCCGTCATCGCCGCCATGCCCGCCAGCCTCAGCCTGCCCTTCAACCTGCCCTTCGACCTCGGCTTCAGGGACCTGCCCATCGACTCCAACGCGCTGCTGGTGCTGGCCGCCTCGGTTGCCGCCGCCGTGCCGTGCATCTACATCTGCACCGCCAACGCCGTGCGCAACCGCTTCCCGGAGCTGCTGGAGAAGCGCGTGTGTCTGCTGATTGCCCACCCGGACGATGAGGCCATGTTCTTTGCGCCGACCGTGCTGGCCCTGGCTCGCCCCGAGACGGGCAACCACGTCAAGATTCTCTGCTTGAGCTCAGGTATGGCGGGCCCGTCTGTTTCGTTGCGAGCGCCCAATTGCTGGCGTCTCCATGTCTGTGGCTTTCCGTGCGGAGGAAGAGGAGGGGGAGGACCCGGATGATCATGTCATGTGGGGTGTTTTCACTTGTGGAGTACTAGCACACGCGACAACGACGAAGAGCAGAAAGCCATGCGGGATGATGCCGAGAAGAGGACTTTTGCGCACATGTGAATGATGGACTGACGTGAGCTCTTCTAGGCAATGCGGATGGGCTGGGCGAGACGCGAAAGAAGGAGCTCATCCAGAGCGGCCTGGCCCTCGGTCTTCGCGACGAGTCCGACGTCTTTGTCGTCGACAACCCGTAAGTGCCGCCAGCCTCTACAGGCGCATCGCAAAGACGACACTGACACAATTGGCATCTGCAGCAAGGACTTCCCCGACTCCATGACCACGCACTGGGACGAGACCAAGATTGCAACCCTCCTCACAAAGGCCTTTGCGCCGCAGCTTGCGCGCCAGCGAGCCGAAAACGCCTCGGAGCCCACGGCCAACATCGACGCCCTCATCACCTTTGACGGCCAGGGCGTGTCGTCCCACCCCAACCACATCTCTCTCTACCACGGCGCGCGAGGCTTTGCGAAAGCCCTGACCGAGGGCAAGCCCGAATGGAAGAGCCCCGTCGACGTCTACACGCTCAACACCGTCAGCCTGCTGCGCAAATACTCGGGCGGCCTAGACCTCTTCACCACCATTGCCTCATCACTATTCACCCCGAACAAGGACCCTGAGCGTCCGGAGAAGCTGGTTTACGCCAACAACCTCATCGGCTCAGAGCCCAGCCTGGGCACTGCGCTGAGTGCCATGACCACGGCGCACAAGAGCCAGATGGTCTGGTTCCGCTACCTGTGGCTCGGATTCAGCCGATACATGCTCGTCAACGACCTAAGACTGGAAAAGGTCGACGAGGAGAAATGAAGTTGAAAACTCGCAAATATGGAAATAACAGGGGGGAAAAATGAAAGATATTCCGAATCAATTTGAACAAGACAAAGCAAGCTTTACGAGAATGACGTGTAGAGAAGCCAACAAGGTAGGGAATCTGGGACATAAATGGATCATTGGAGGCGGAAAGGGGAGGTGGGAGGCGTTGCATGAGCGGCGTTTTTGATTGAGAGCCGGTTTCCTTTTTGTTACGGGAGATGTGTGAAATGACTTGCCTAGATCTATTTCGAGTTTTACATTATGACGATGACATGCATCTATGTGTCTGTCTTTTACTTACATTGTGACGCTGGTCTTTTTTCGCCGTTGTTGTTTGGGGGCTAGGGATTTCCTGAGAATGTTGTTTCTTTGAAAGCTGATATTAACGAAGACGACTCCATAACGCAGGAGACTCTGCCGCCCGCTTTTTCGAAGCAATACCTGGAGACATTTGTCTCCTTTCTCTTGTTCCAATATCGCTTGGCTGGCCCCTGTCGTACTTCAAACCATTGGGCAGCAAAGGGGTATTGATGCTGTGGACAGTCGACGAGTCTCGACTTGCCGGCAAATAGCGGCCAAAGATTGCTCGAGGATTCCAGAGCTTCATCGGCTTTCTTCATTCAAAAACATGCTCTCCATGCTGCCCGTCTTCTACAGGGCTCGATCGATTGCTTGGCAACCGCGCTCCTCAACTTGATGCCAAGAGAGGATCAGAACGAATTGTAGGCGATTGGCACGGAATGTCAAGCCGGGCTTGGGTGGATCTCTGTTTTATGAGGGACTGGTTGGGTCTTGAAGGTATCCATTTCCATTGCCGGCGGCTACATGTGGGATTTGCAATGTCTGTGAAATAGCTATTAGGCTGCTCATACTGCCATCAGTTCTCCGCATGTTTGTCACACGCTTTGTAGAGGGAGTGCCCAATGCGATACTACGACTCTCATGTAATACATGATGAAGCTGGAGCAATCATTGTAAGAATCAAAGTCAAAAAGCAACGGCTATCATCGGAGAAGACAACAACAAACAACATCAATGCCACGTTCTCACGAACATCATGTGTTTTACACCAGCTTCAATCATTCGACGCAAAACACGAATGTTTAATGCGCCCCCTTTACACTCGTAGAAATCACACGAAATCGTATCCACACAAACAGCATCATGACGACGAAACGTTCAATCCACGTGGGTAGCAACGTATCCATCCAGCAGAAAGGAATCCATCGCCCCCTTAGCAACCGAAGCTGACCGCAGCCCTGAAAAAAAAAAAAAGTTGCACGCATCAACTTGAAATCCAACAAAAAAAAAACCAGGTCATTCCAAAATTATACAATAAAATCACAAGCTAGCAAGGCCCCAGGTAGTAATTATTACGGCAAAGAAACCACAATCAGGCCCTGCGCAGCTCCAATTGTCTCGCCACGGAGTCCACTTACACGCCACCATTCGCCAACTCTTTCTCTCCTCTTGCAACCTTTGTTCTTATATACGGAGTAAAAGATGGAAACATTGTATGCGGTACTCCACTACGGCAGCAAATAATTTCAAGCCACAGTGGACGAGTACCGTACCTAGCTAATGCGGATCCCGGCCAGGCGGGTCTCACGGCACAGAAAAGAGGTTCGTGACTCTTTGGTAAAAAAAAACTTTCATAGGGCTGCCATGCGGGAGCCAAGGAGAAAAGGGGAAAGGGGGCATTTGCTGAAGAAGATGAAAAATTGCGGTGATGCTGTGGAGATGCTACTTTGTCATGAACACGTGTATGGAGATGGTGATGCCCAGAGATATCCACCATGTAAGGACGTATCTACTTGTGATTTCCAAAGTGAAGCTATTCACAATCTCTGCAAGCCATACAGAGATCAGTCATAGCACATGCAGCTGCCTGGAACCAGTGAGTAATTTGTAGAAGCTGCTCGCAGCATCGCCAGTCACGCCGAACCATGCAGTCATCGCCCACGCCGATGGCCCGATCAGGTCCCATTCCAGCCTCCCTCCCGCTTCCATCCACTTCTGCAGCTTCAGCTTCCAGCTTCCAACACATCAGGCTGCTATACACGTAAACGCCCCGTCCCCAGCCAATGACCAACCCAAACCCTCGTCACACTCCAAAACAAACCAACGTCTCATCAAGCCACATCGAATCACAGAAGAAAAAGAAAAAAAAAATTCACACAAACCAATTACAGATCCCTGTCTTTCGGCCCGAGCGAGCTTAACCCGCGGTTTACCGTGGTACGTACCTGCACTCTGGTACCTGAAAAAAAGAAAATTTCCCTTCTTATTCTCCGGCTGACTCAGGAACCAACGAAGCTGAGCCACACCTTCTTGACTAACCCCACTTTTTCGAATCACAGGCAAGAAAAAAAACCTGCAATAGTGTCATGGGTTTTTTTTTTCTAAAAAAGGAGCTTCGTTCTGGCTACGATCGGGTTGTGGGTCACCGGCACTCACGAAGAGCCTGTGGAGCCCCTTCGTTTTACGGACGGATCCGCCGTGTTTGTTGCCAAAAAAACATGTTTTTTCTCATGGAAAGAAAAATTTTGTTGTAGCCTTGTAAGCTTGTAGGTATACGCAAGGGGGCTAAGGGGATGAAGGATGGAAAGTCGCGGCATCGTGAAAAGTACGTACCAATGGAGTCGTAGAGGAATTGATATATAAAGGAGCTGGTGGGCGATGGCATTCAGATGAAAAAAATATCACCAGCATCAGCATCAACAAGCTTCAATCACCACAAACAAAGCTTCACTTACACACAAAATCACCATCTACTACTTCTCTTCCACTTTCTAAACAAAACCACCAAAATGTTCATCGACGACCTCGTCTACATCCGCGCTCACCTGAGCACCGGCAAAACCCACCCCAAGATCTTCTCCCCGACCTCCTCAGCAACCTCCTCCGCGGCGCCCACCCCGGACAACCGCTCCATCGCCTCGGTCGAGAAGAAGCACAAGAAGAGGCTCAGCATCTTCTCTTCCTCCAAGCCCGGCAAGACCATTGGCAGCGTCACCCAGACAAAGGACCACTCCCTGCACTACCAGCAGATTCGCCCTATTATCCACTAAAAAGGAACAATCCTTCAAACTCAAAACTTTCAAACGATTGAACGACCACAAATATGCTTTCTTACTTTCATTAAAAAAAGAAACATATACACATAAAAGTTTTTGATTTCTTGGGCATGGGAATTTCAGGGGCTGGGAGCACGCACACACAAAAAGTTTTTTCTTTTCTTTTTTTTTTTTTTTACATCCAAAAGAGTATTATACATATACCCATTTGATTCGATTCGCAAGGATACCTTTTATTACAACGGGAGAAGGGATATCGGAAAGGATGCTTATTGGCATCTAGGCAGGAGGAAAAGGGAAAGATAAAAAGATCGGTTTAGATATCTACTTCAAACCATTTAATAATCACACAAAATTCTCATTCCTTAATACTTGTTTCTGATGCTTATAATGTGAAATGATATATATCTTCATGTAAATAAACAACAGTTCAATCGCGAATGCTGCTCCCCATAATCCATCTCATCATGTCCGGTATAATAACAAGCAACCTATATGTTTCCCCTACTCCAGCGCCATGTTATACGTCAAAAGAAAAAAAAAGATGATCCCATACACCTAGAAATGCACGCTCTGCTTCTTCTTCATCTTCTTCCTCTTCTCCTCGTCACTCTTCCCCCCTCCAAAGAAACTCAGCGCACTCACCCGCGCGCCCGACGGTCCAGCATAAGGCCCCAAAGATCCCCCCGGCACTGGCGGAGACAGCTTATTGCGGCCATTCCTCTGCGGCTGCTGCTGCTGCTGTGAAGATGGTGCCGGCCCTGCGCTGCTCGGTCGCGGCGGGGGCGGAGGCTGGAGATTGTTGACGACGGGCGGGCCGTACCAGCGAGTGCCCATCGCTCCCAACGCTCCAGACATTGTCGTCGCCGCATTTGGTGCCTCAGAGGGCCGCTGTGACGAAGAAGGCTGCGGCGGCCATTGGCCCTGCACGCCGTACTCTCGGCGCAGACGCTCCGTCTCGGCATCGACCTCGGCTTGCCGCCACCGGCGTTGCGCCTCTTGTTCCTGTTCCCGCTGCAGCATCCGCCTCGTCTGTTCCTCCTCCTGCCGCACAAGGCGCTCCCGACGCTGTCGCTCTTCCTCGGCCACCATCGCCTGCAGCCGCCGCGTCTCTGCGTCAATCTCGGCCTGCTTGGCGGCATTGCTGTTCGGCGGCGGCCTCGCCGGGGGTGCAACGTTGCCCAATGCACCCGACACAAGCGTTGGATCGTTGGGCGCCAAAGGCCGTGAGCCTCTCCTTACACCACCTGCCGGAATCGTGCCGGTGCTGGAGATGTTGAAGGGGTTCTGCCGGGGCGCAAAGTGCAAGTCTCTGACGACGACGGCGCTCAGCAGCAGCACAACCTCCAGGCCCTTGCGGTCCTCGACCTCGACGCGCGCCATGTTGGGCTCGTAGATGCTCAGCGCGTCGCCCTGCTTCTCGCTGCGGTACATGGCCACGGTAATGTCCGGCTCCTTGCTCTTCTTGCCGCCCACGCTCTTGCCAGACATGTAGCACGTCATGTCCTTGTTCAGCCGCCCGTCGCGCTTCCAGTGGAACAGAATCTTGGGCGACAGGTCCGACACCTCGTTGCTGCCCGTCTCCTGGTCCAGCTTGCTCGCGCTGGGCAGCTTAAAGGTGCGCTCGGGCATCTCAAAGCCCCACGAGTCGGTGCGGTTCCAGCCCCCGGCGCTGCGCTTGACGGCGATGGCCTGGTCCGGGTTGTACAGCAGCACGGCGAAGGAGTCGGGCGTGATGGGCACGTTGGGCGGCGAGCCGCTCTGGTTGCGGAGCTCGGCGGCCGAGAGGCTGGGCTGCTGCATCTCGGGCTTGACCAGCACCTCGCCGTAGATGACGGACTGGTGCTGGGCGTCCAGGAGGGCGACGGCATACTGGTTGGCCGAGGCCGAGGGCGCGGGCCTCTGGAGCGTGTAGGCGCGGGCGGGATCCGAGCCGTTGTAGGTGTAGAAGAGCGTCGTCTGCAGCGCATCTTGCTTGGGAGAGGCCAGGCGGTACGTCGGGAAGCTGTCGTCGAGCATGGCGCGAGAATGAAGCCGTCACCGATTGAGACCAGAAAGTTGATAGAAGGGTGATGAGAAGAAGGTCCAAGCAAGTCAAGAGTCCAGCGGCGCCAGAATCAGCCGGTCATCTCGCTCCAATCCAAGGCTTGGCTTCGACGAGCCTATAAAAACGAGGTTGCACCAAGCTGAGACTCGAACGTTTCCAGCAGAGGGGGGGAAGGATGCTGAGGATTTCCGCCTGCAGTAGCGCCAAGCTCAGTCGCTGCTCGAAACGCCAATGGAATCAATCAGTAGATGGAATCAACTAACAGCTGAATAAAATATGGTGAGAAAAAAAGATTGAAATGAGCCCCAAAATATGCCTACAGTAAAGGATTCAGTTGATCGCGGCTCTTACTTACGCACGACTGTGGCTCCCCGCCAACGTCATTGCTCGTGGCAGACACGCTGCGCCACAGCCGCGCGACGCTCTGCTGGACCGTCAAATTGGACGCCCCAGTCCAGGGTGGCTGTGCCACTGAAACAGCGAGAGCCGGTACGTACCTTGCCTGCATCGTCAAGTCTGCCTTTTTCACCTATTGGCCGCTATCATTAGAAAGGCACACAGCATCGAAGCTTGCCTGCTTTATTCAATCATACTGCAAAACCTAGTTATAAAATATTGGTATTAACTAATTAATTGTTGTTCATGTAATTCTCATTCCATTCGTAAGCACCTCAGCTCTGCCTATCCTCATTAAACTCGTCAGCTCTGACGACTTATACCCTCGCAAACATGAAAGCCAAAACCCAACAAGAGCATGTCGATCCATCATCGCCATAAGCAGAAACGCCTAAACAGACTCCATCCCGTAACGTATTATCCCAAATGATTTTCCCTTGGCAGACAAGTCCCCGGATATCCCTGCTTTACCGTCATCCAACGCCGTGTAAGTGTGCCCGCTTTCCAAAAGATAAAAGTGAATAGTAAAAGTGCAAGTCATTGTCCCAAACATTCGATCAAGGCCCTCATCTTCAAGCCTCCTCGTGGCTCACAGGATCATGGCTCTCATAACTTCCTCTCTCGTCCTGGCCAACCTCCCACGGTCTCCTCTGCGGCCAGTTCTGGTTCACCCAGGCCTCGTCCTCGAGTATAACGAGTCTGCGGCGGATGTTGTCGTTCCTCCTCTGCAGTCTCGTCCTCGGGCTCTTTCTGAGGCAGGGCAGCCAGCAGCACAGCACAAAGCTGAGTATGATGCCAATGGCCACGCCGATGAAGAATCCCCGTAGGATCCTCTCCCCGCTGTTGCCGCCCTCGGCAATGTCGCCGAATCCGTGACTCTTGCTGGTGGGCGTTGGGGAGGATGTTGATGTTGATGTTGCCATACTTTTGGTGATGCTGGAGATGATATCGGTAGCTGTGGGTGTAGCACTCGGACTTGGACGGGGAGGACCCTTTGGAAGATCCGGATTAGGCTCGAAGCTCATGCGTGTTATAATGCCCATCTGCATGAAACCTTGTTAGCATGGGTAAATAGCAATGGTAGACATGTTGTGCAACATGTATAATCATGGCAGCTTGGAATAAATCTAACCTTGACAATGTATAAGTGTATCAACCAGTATGGTGTATACTCTCCTCCATTCTAGCCGCCCAAATGCAGTATAGATGTGTAAGGTGGTATCCGAACAAGGAAGCAGGACAATAGTATATTATGACAGAGTCCTAGGCTTTTCTTTCGAAACCGAACAACAATAGTATATTTTCTCTAGTATAGCCAGATTGTAGACGTATGCCAAGAAAAAGAGATTCCCAAAACGCAAGGCGACAACCACCTCTTAATAAGAGAAAACCCCCCAATCACCCTCCTCGTCGAACCCGAGGAAAACGAGACCCGGCAGAAGCAAAGGATTCCCGCACTAGAGACGACTACCCAATACAGTAACAACAGCAACAACAGTCAGACCCAAAACGCCCAATTCCAAAAACGGCACAAGCACGTCACAAACTTTGCATCCGCGCGTGTCCAAGTCAACTGGTCACTAATAGAGCAGAAGCAAACCCCCAGCTCTATACCCGCCGCGATGCGATTGGACGCCTCTTCATCGAAGCCCTGAACGCCGGCGATATGACTCAACCGGTAGTGTCCATAGCGTTTCGTTAAAAATGTGGCTTAAGCTCTGTGGAGAAGCGGGATAGGCAGCCCTTCCCAAACTACGAGGTGCTGTAAGATGCGTCTTTAGTGCTAGCGGAGACGAAAGGAATAATTGTGGGTGAGCCGAAGCCGAAGCCGCCTCTCCCATCCAACACCGACCCCCGAGTTGTAACCAGTCAATAACATGAGCCTCGTCCCGGGTGCGGCAGCCGTTTGCAAGTGACAGCGGCGATCAATGACGGCAAGCCGACAAAAGCTGCTGTTGATCCAGTTCCCATTCGGCTTCCATTTGTAATACCACCAAGTGCCGTGAGCCGGGCTGCCTATAACCCGAAGATGGCACTGCAACAACGCATGGAAGAGGGCCGAGCAACGCTCCAATCTGAACCAAAAAGCCCATCTGACTGACGCAAGCCATACATTTACTTCATGGCAAAAACAAACAAGCAAGACAGGTCCCTATTCTCACATAAGCACCTCGCGACTCGTGCCCTAGCTCGCCCGCACCCAAATCTACTACCTAAGCGCCGCACCTTGATAGAAAGGAAAGCTATCCATTGTGCCCAGCAGCTGAGCTAGCTAGACTGCATATTCCTTTTTCGTCTACGCAAGTCGTACGCAAGTCGGTGTACGCAATCTGCTCATCGGGTACATGTAGCCCAGCCTGTTAACAACGTACGACTGTCCACGTTCCCGTCAGCACGTATTCCTCGTTTCGCCCCACCAGTCCAGGCAAAAGACGCACATATACATATATATATACATAACAAAGCAGCCTTCACCTGGAGCTACCCTTGCTTCTTAATTATTCCATCCAGAACAATGCCGCGTAAATCTCTAGAAGCTCCGCCGCAGCAAAGCCACGCTTAGTCCGAGTCCATTAACTAACAACTCCAACATCACACCATCTACCTAGTAGCTCGACGCCAGCCAAACATCGCTCAACTCTAATTCCTAGCTTCTCGCTTCCCTTGTAGACCACAAGATCCGATTACGGAACCGCATTTCCGTAACTCGATCATCAAAGAATCATCATTCAGCCTAGCCAAGGAAATGCACATATTCATTCACGGCTTATAAAGCAAACGCCCTCGAATCGCTAATTAAAGCTCTTTGCCATATGGGATGCTCTGCAGCTCGGCCACGTAGTAGCGGCTGTCATGTATTATTCAAGCTCCGTTGTCCAATGACCAGCACGGCAGCTACATGAAGTTGTGGACCCTCTAAAGGCGTATACAACTCAAGCTCAAATAATTTCTGTCCATCAACATCTCTGAATAATATTCTCTTTTTATCAGGGAGGTATATCAGTTTGAGTTAAACCCACTTACATCTCATCTCCGACTTCATATCGCACCATCATGATACATTATAAACCTATAAAAGGGTTGTAAACCGTACTCTTACTCCTATTATCTTTGCACCATAGAAATCTGTGTAAAATATATTGCTCCTATTCTTTCCATAGTCCATTATTTCTCCCCTTCTCTCACTCCAATTCACAGCTCACATCGAACCCCTACAACACAATTTTCAGAGACCTACCCGCCCATCTCACAGAGAGCAACCCGAGACAGACAAGAAAAAGCTCAATACCAAGTACCAACACATCACGCTACCAATACATTAATCCCAGAAATACCCATCACACATGCACATTCACTTCTTCACCTAGTCCACAATCCACAACCCACGCACTCCTCGTAAGGGGGAAAAAAAAAATGATTAAACGACACACCACCCTAGCCCTTCCGTTTTTTGTTTCCCAAATCTGCTATTGTACACAAAAATAAACAATTCCACCGTGTTTGCTTGTTTGTTTCCCCCTTCCCCCTTATTCCCTCCTTTCCTCCAAATGTGTATATATATCTGTGCAGAGGTGGGTGCCCAGTATATTCAAAAGCAAAAAAAAAAAAAAAAAAAAATCCTCGCCCGAAATACAATTGTGTCAATATGATCATACATAGATCAAACGAGTCCAAAGCCGGGAGCTCTGTCGGTCGAATCCTCCATTATAGTCCGTTCACCTGGTTTCAGGTCTGCATCATCCCCAATGTCACAAGCCCCATTATACTGAGGCATCAGTTCACTCCTCTGGCTCCTGAGAAGCCTGCCGGCGCAGCAGTCGTCAACCTCGCCGGGCGAGTAATGGGCACAACGCACATCATTTGCTCATGCATCAATCAACCACATAGAGCAACCGCCCTTACACGGACTTACAGCCAGGACATGGGTTGCAGAGTATAACTAGACAAATCCTCGCTATCCTTTGCTCGCTTCCGCTGCGAGATATTCTTTCTTTTTCCCAACCAACTCCATAATACGCCCCAATGTATATATCGCCGTATCATCCAGGTTCCAAAAGCAAGACCCTGTTGGCGAATAGTAAAACAAGTGTGAGTACAAAGTCAAGAGTCTGTTTCCTCTTCAGATGATGCCTCCCGGCGGGTCATATGGCGTAGCTCCTCTGGCCGGATCCATGCCCATGCCACCATCCGTCTGGGCGCTATTAATCTTGCGCAGCATAAACATGGGCTTCTTGCCCTCCTTATCCAGCTGCTTAAACAGGATCAGGGGCTTCTCATCCATGCCGAGACAACGCTCCTGGTCTCCGTAGACGATGTAAAGGGCATACTGGTCCCAGGGCGCATTGATTTGATACTTCTTCAGCGCGGCCGGTAGCACCTTGTGGCACGGATCGTCCATTTCCACTCTAAACGACTTGAAGATTTCGACAGAGCTATTTGAGCCTGGCGTCTCGGGGACGGGCGTTTCGCGACGTCGAATCGATCCGGACCCGGTGAGCTTGTTATCTCGTGAATTGTAGCTGAGATCGGAATCGACAAACGTCGTCCTTACGGAAGGCGTGGTAGAGTTGTAAGTTCGAGATCCCAGAGTAGTTCCGCTCAAGTGATTCTGCGGCGATGTGGGCGATGGTACGGCTGGCCAAGGATAATTTGAAGCCGAAGCGTAGTTTGTGGCCGAGGCGGATTGGCTGCCGCCATTCATGGCCGCCAGATGCGACGACGACATGACTGCCCTCTCAGCCGCACTGGACGGGTCCAGCGTCTGCTCCGACATCATTCGCTGGTCGTGCGTGGCCTGTGTCGGAGAGTTGTTCTTGGGCGTCGCTCCAATCAAGATTCGTCGCTGGGAATACTGTCGCTTGATGCCTTTGTCGCCGGGCTGGGCTCCGGGCGGCGTCGGTGCGGGCGGAGAGAGGGTGGACTCGTATGCGTATGCTTGGCCGGGGCCGCTGACATTCGGCAGCGGGTGCTGAGCATCTTTGACAAGCCGCAGTGCCGGCAGCATATCTTCTCTGAGGCGCTTGAAATCCTCATTCATGCGCCGCAGGTCTTGCTCTAGGAGGCTCATCCGCTCGTCTCGCAGCCGCAGCTGGTCCACCAGTCGTTTGATATCTTTGAGTGTTGCAGTAGCATATTGAGCTTCGGCATCGGCGGCTACAAAGTCACGAGAGAAGAAGAAAAGTCAGCCGATTAACCAGTCCCGGTTTGTGCAGAAACTTGGAGATGCTCGGGGGACTTACAGAGTGGCAGATATTGGTCGCTCTCAATTGGGATATCCTGAGCCTTTTTGACGTCGTAGACGCTCTTGAGGATCGTCAGACGGTGACCAACACTAGCGATGCCCATGCTCTTGAGATCGTCGTGCAGCAGGGCAACCAGGGCCTCGCCAACAATGTCGTTTTCTGTAAAGACGCGCCCACGATCAGCCAAAATGCCTCCCAGCCATGTCATCCTGCCATGGTCAAAAACGTACCTAGAAATGTGTCGGCATACTGCGGCAGTCCGATGGCACTGATAAAGTCGGCGCACTCCTCCGCCGTCCACTCGGTGACGATGGTCTCGGGCAGACGGTCCATGCTGCTGCGATGGCCGTATGTCGTGGGCGTATGCTCTGCAGACGTCGACAGCTCAGAGCCTATAGGCGATGTCTCGGAGTCGCCCACCGGCGAGTGGTCGCCCAGGTGCTCATACTCGTCGTCAGCGTCCGACTCGGCGTAGCCCGTGCCTCCTTCAAAGCTCATCATCTTGGGCAGACGCGGCGGCAGCAGGAGGTCCGTGGCCAGCGCCTCTTGCTCGCTCAAGTGTTCGTTCTCTCGTGCAGGCGCAGTGTCCTCCCCTATTTAGTTTCTCTTTTCGAATCTCTCTCTCTCTCTCTCTTCTCCCTTGGACCGCTTTTTGTCCCTCCGCCGACACGGGATTCGACAGCAGAAGCGACTGTGTTCGAGATGGACGGTTGTTTTCGCGGCGTCGAGCTTCGCTTCAGGGGAATGCGGGCTGCGTAGGCAGGAATTGAGGCACCACGAGAGGAGAGCAGGGCGTGCGGAGGCGAGCAGAAGCGCCGGCGGGCGGCTAACTGGGCGATGGGTGCGGACAGGGTCAGCAGCGGTTGGACAAGGACGAAGGAAGCAGCAGAAGGTGAGAAATGCTCTCGGCCACGGCCAGCAAAAGATGTGACGAGAAAAGAGCTCGCAGCACGCAACAGAGAAAAGAAGCGTTTTCGTCGCTGTCGATGGTCGCTTGCAAGCTGCGAGGAGGGGCAGCAAGGCAAGGAACGAGACGAAACCTGGGAGCCTTCGCGTTGGACTTTCGCAACAAGCCCGAGTGTCAAATCTCGGCCAATAAATGCCAGCCGACAGGCACAGGTGCGGGCGCCGGCACAGGCACAGCAGCGCCGCAGGTCCCGGTACCAGCGCGGCAGCGGCTCGCGCAGCAGCACGCCGTGTACAGGTACCCGGCGCAGGCAAGCCACTGCACCAAGAAAAAGGGCCCTGGGGGCTGCTGCTAGCCGCCTGCAAGTCCACTGCAGCACCAGCCCGCCAGCGTGTAGCTGCCCATAACGCCGCCGCGGCCTGGGTACCTGCAAACGCCGTTTTCTATTCCAAGCAGCCGTTTGTACTTGAGCCAGGGCAGCGCACCGCTAGCCGCAACGAGGCCTAGTCCCCCACATGAAAAACCTCCTGTTTTCCGTGGCTGAGCACAAGGGGAGAGAAGCAAAAGGGCACATTCGTCTAAGAATCATGTCCATGACACGGCCAATTCTGCCAGTCTGCGGCAACGGCTGGGCGAGCTGAGGGTAGCAATACCAAGGACGGAACCTGCCTCACCCGAGTATCAAGGTGGTATTGCGAGTATTCGAGTCAGGCCACTCTCTTCTGCCCAGGCGGCAGGCCATGTCAACTGCATGTTCCAAGTAGCATCAAACACATGTATATGGAAATTATCGACACAAGGCACCTCATCAATTGAGCCTCTTTGTTGCATGCATCGACATCTAGCTACTAGATACCATATCTAGCTCCCAGTAGAGCCACCAGCTCTCTCGATACAGCCTCGCATGCCCTCTCCCTTGCCTCGGTCCATCTCCCCATCCACACCAATCAGCACATAAAAACCACGATTGATGGCAATCCAAACAAGGCAACTAAATCAACACTCAACTCTTTCCCTTGCACGTGCCGTATGCAAGGGCCCAACGAAGCCATCCTCACCCCCTTGCAGTCGCAGCGCCCTCTCCTCCCATCTTCCAGACGTGTTTTACATATTGGTGAGCAGAATCTCGTATTAAATATCACTAGTAGCAGCACCTGACTCCGTGCCTTGACTCTTTTTCCAAAACACCCAACATTGGCCATGAACAATTCATAGCTCAGTGCTCAATTCCGAGCCGCCCCCAGAGGAAGATCAAAAAAAAAAACCCCCCCAGAAACACCATCTCATACCTCAAACACGTCTCATCTCAACCCCCAACCACCCCCTCATCATGAAACACCAAAAAGCTCGTATATACATACTGCAACTGCCAAGAAAAACTAAAACACCTCCCCCCCAAAAAAAAAACTTGTCGCCCCAATACTATTGCGTTTCAAATTACACATCACTCGTTCTTTTACTTCTCTATTTTCGTCTTTGTTATCGTCCTGGGGTTAGCATTGGAACAATTTCTCGACACCACAGCATACTAAGCCCATCAAGTATCAACTAAGAAAAACACGAACAAGGGTTCATGGCCTCGCTAACCCAGATTCATCCCGCAATTCCACATCCCATTCATCTCCCATGCACCTGATAAGAAACGAAAAGGATTGTCGCTTCAAGGCACATCACAAATCACAAAATGACAGATACTTTTTTCTTGCTGCCCGAGGAAAAATAAAGGTAGCGATATTAAGATGAAAAAAAAAAAAAATGGCTAACCAAGTTCAACTTCATTAATCATCTGCCTTTAAACAAGAGACACACCCGTCTAAACGGAGCTTTCACCAACTCTCATTCTCTCATATTTACACATGTTCAAGCTTCTTCCCATCCCAGTTAATACCCAATCCGCCGTATATATCCTGCAATTCCACTCCAAAGTATGTCGCCCTGCACTCATGACCATCTGTAATTCTCACATTTCATGGCCGCTTTTTGTCAGGCATTGATCACATTAATTAATTATATAGTAGTAGAAGTATGGCTGACATCAAATCAGAGATAATCGTAATACTCTGCATGATCATAAAGCCCCATTAGTCGAACAATATTATACGGTTTGTGTGTTTTTTTCTTTCTTTCTTTTTCTTTCTTTCTTTCTTTCTTTCTTTCTTTCCTTCTTTCTTTCTTTCCTTCTTTCCTTCTTTAAACAAGGTGTTGTGTGTGTGTAAATCTCCCATGAATAGCTCAACACTTGACGCCTCAAACACCGGGCCATAGTTTGGTTTTTTTACCCGTTCTATGTGATTTCTTCTTCCTTTGACCAGAGAAGAGACAACATGAGCTGCTCACTAATAAAAAAAAAAGCTGACAGTATAAAAAAAATTATATGTGGCGTTCATCGCAGAGGAAGCTTGCAATCAACGGCACCTCGTCGAATGACCTCTTCGACATCCCATCGAGGAGGCCTGATGGCGACATTGTTAGCCCTCCTCCACTCAGCCTCATTTTCTGGTGCTACACCAGCAGGCAGCGGCTCCAAGCCGCCAGCAATGCCTGATGAGAACTTGATCTGGAGCATGTCGCCAACTTCATCACAGGCTCTGATCATTCGGTCAAGGTCATCTTTGTTATGAGCGGCAGAGATGCAGAAGCGGGCACGCGAGCTGATGAGCGGGGTGGCCGGGTAACCAACGATGACAACAGAGATGTTGCGCTTGAGCATTTCGCGGCTAAAGGCAGGCATCTTTCCGGGGTTGTACAGCAGAACGGGGATAATGGGAGAATCATCAGAGCCAGCAACGATGAGTCCAAGACGCTTGAGTCCAAGGCGAAGATAGCGAGAGTTGAAGGCAATTCGCTGGAGACGCTCCTCGCCCTGGCCAGGGCAAATCTCGCCGTTGATCAGCTTGATCGAGGTAAGAATCTGCATGAGGACAAAAGGAGAAGGGGCTTCGCCGTAGATTGAGCAGACGTTGGTGGAACGGAGCTTGTCAATGATGTGCTTCTCTGCCGCAATGTAGCCTCCGTTGGCGCCAAAGGACTTGGTCAGGGTGCCCATGAGAATGTCAACCTCGGAGGGGTCAACGCCAAAGTAATCACAGACACCACGGCCACGGGGTCCCAGGGCACCAATAGAGTGAGCCTCGTCAACGTACAGGTAGAACTTGTACTTGCGCTTGAGGGCCACAATTGCCGGCAGATTGACCATAGTACCTTCCATAGAGTAGAGACCTTCGACAACGACGAGAATCTTCTTCCAGGGGCGGTGAGTCCTTGGCTGGCCCTGGGAGATGGCTTCACGAAGAACACGCTCCAGGGCGACCACGTCGTTGTGCTTGAAAGATTGGATAACGGCGCCACTGAGGCGAGCACCGACACGGATGGAGGCATGGTTCAGTTCGTCGGAGACAATCAGGCAGCCCTTTGACACGAGAGCAGGGAAGGTACTGGAGTTGGTCACATAGCCCATGGAGAAGACCATGGCCTCTGGCTTTCCGACAAAGGATGCAACTTCGCGTTCAACTTCGAGGGCTAGGTCGGAAGTGCCGCTATCGCCGCGGGGGCTTGCAGCGGTAACACCGTATTTCTTGACACATTCATCGACAGCATCGGCGCAGGGGCCCTGCGATTGAGCAAAGCCGAGGTAGTTGTAGGAGCTCACGTTGAGTGTCTCGACGTGGTTTCCAGTGTAGTGGTAGTTGCGGTTAAGCCTGTCTGCCGTACGTTCCTTGAGGGTAATGAAGCGGCCGGGAACGCCGTACGTAGGTCGAGCAAAGCAGTCATCCAAACGACCCTTCAGCCGGCGGCTGTAGAAGCTGTCGAAATCATCAGTGAGAGGCGCGAGCCCGTTTTGCACTTTGAGGGCGTTGTAGCGCTTTTTATCGCCAAAACGCTTGCCAAAATAATCGCGACAGTGGCCAATGATGATCAAGAAGAGATAGCTCAAGTAGGTGGTCAGGAGATAGAAGTACGGAGGCATATCCTCAATCGGCTCCTTGAACGTCTCGCCATTGGACTGGCTGACATAGCGGTGGGACGGATCAAGCAGAGGGCCAAATTGAGACTCGGCGAGCCGTCGCTGCTCCTGCTCCTCGGCCGATTGCGGCTTGAACAGCATCTTGGTTGGCTCGATGCTGTTGGGCTCGCCGGTCGCCGTCGACAGCGAAATGGTGGGCAGCGACACCGTCGACGGCGAGATGGTGTTCATCTGGCTCTGCGGCATGGCGGCGAGTGGTGACTGATCCTTGGACTTTGGGCTGGAGGAGAAGAGCTGGCTCAGTCGGTTGGTCTTGGAGGACGAGAGACGTCTTTCGCCAGTCTTCTCGGATGCTGACATAGCAGACTGGGTAGAGGAGAAGGGGTTTGCGAGCCGTCGCGGCATGATCTCCACGAGGTTTTAACCGAGCAATCCAACTTGCGTGGTTGGATGGAAAGGTCGGCAGGCCCAGTACAAGGCTTTCTGGGACGAGGCGTCTGGTGGAGGAGAAAAAATCGAGGCTGGTTAGCTTGAGCGTCCAATGGGAGCAAAACAAGATCTCGGCAATGATGCAACCGTATTGTGGGCGTAAACTGGGGGCAGAGGAAGCTTTTGGTTTGTGGTTTTTATTTTTGTTCTGTGCACTGCTTCGGCAGCGACCGCGACGAGCCCAAAGTTACGGCGCGATGCGGTGTGGCCACATACGCTTTTAAGCCTTGCTTAGCAGCGCCACCAGGTTTAGACGTCCGCAGCAGGCAAAGCGTCTTGATGAAGACCCAAACGAGGTTTCAGCTGTGGACAAATGCTGGTATAGGTACTGCCAGTCCACTTGAGAGGGGGGGGAATGGGTGACGAGAGGTGGAAGTGACCCAAAGCCTCATTGATATAAAGAGGTGGGTTTCTTTTGGCTGGGGTTGAGGGCTGAGGCTTTAAAAGCACACACGCAGATCATGCGCCATGCGAGACTTACCAGTCTGAAAACGACGCCGACAACGAAGCTGCACCCGAGTCTCTCGCCGTTGGTAGCGACAGGCTCTTGTTTGGCTCGACTCGGCTCGAATCGAATCGATCGTCGCTTGGGGTCCAGCACAGCCCTGGATGTCGGCGCAACGATGTCGTGACAGGCCAATGCTGCAGTGGAGATCCGAGTCTGAGAGCACCAGGACACCACGCGAGGGGGGAGACAAAGAAATAAAGAGGTCCACGATGGCAGCAAAAGCAGGTTGAAGAAGGCAGGTTTTTGGCCTCTGGGGGGATGTTTCGGCTGGGCTGGACGATAAGGTAAGATGAATTGGCGAAAGGGGGTCCGGCAGCGGGCCAATGAGACGGCGGCAGCGCTGTGCAGGGCCACGGCCAGCAGTGGGAGGGCTCAAAAATAGGCCATCATAAGCTACGCTACTAGAGCGGCAACGCTGTCTGGTTTTTTTCCACCTGCTCCATCAACACCTTTTTTTCCTCGCTTCAGTTCTGCTTCGTTTTTCTCGCTGCTGCCAAAACACTGGGGCTACGGAACTGCGGCGCGCTGCGGCCAAGAGCGTAGCGTCGTCGGGTCGGTCAAAATCAGCCAAGTCGGAATTCAGGAGCGGCCAGACAGGGGGGCTCTGCCCAGCAAAAGTGGGCGCCTAGCCTGGGCCATGGGGCTGTTAATTTGGGCCTTTTTGCGCTGTCTGCTGCCATGTACAGGCGGCTTGAGGTCGATTTCTGGGCGCCTGATGGGTCGGATGCAACGCGGCGACGCCCGCTGCAAGTACCGATGCACCGGTGGTTCTACCAGCGGGTACCAGCCAGCCTCCAGCAGCTCATGTCTCTCGGCAGACATGGGCCAGCAGGCAATCGGCTGGCAGGCTATCGGTTATGGCATCGGATCCCCCGGGGCTGACCAGAGCATCGAACTGCGAGCCTTCTCCGGCATTGCTTCGCGCATTGCTTGGAATGAGGTCATCCGAGCGATATACTGCTCGTCAAGATGCTGCAATTGCAGGTTTATGACGCCGGGAGTTGCCATTCATCGGCATCACGGCAAGGAGAGGCCATCATGCTTGAGCTGCGAGTCAATGATATTCAGATGATACAATGGACTGCGCCGATAATGATGCAACGCTATGCCTGTGTACAGGAGTATTCGGGCATGAACAGGCCGCGACCGGCAATATTGAACACAACAGCAAATACTTACTGTACAGTATAGGCCTACAGCTTCTACGAGTACAGCAACTGCAGAGCTCGTCGCACGACGTTGGGATCTGCAAGGGGGCACCCGCGTGATGACATTTCGCAGCCATCTCTATCGCTCGGAAAGGGGGCGGCGCTGGTAGCGGGAAAGGAAAAAGGGCTGAGAGCTCTGTGAGCTGCGAGCTGCGAGCTGTTGGCAGCCACTTCAAACTATTGCCAGCTGATCGGCTCGCTATAGCTGGAAACTCTCCGAGGAAGCCGGGCGTCCATCATTGGGTGTCTTGATCTAATGTATATATGCCTCCAAGCTGCTGTGCTATCCATTGCTCTTGAACATTAATCACACGAACGAGACATGGAGCTGGGCCTCTATTTTTTTTCTCCTCTTATCTAATTTGCCTCTTCGTTTTAAACTTTTTGGGGTTGGCTCTGACATTGGCGATCCTTTCTTCATTTTAATAAGACGCAAGGGCCTTGGAAACGAACAGTGCCCATCCCATCCCACTCCAGACAGTGGGGGCAAGTGTCTCACTGCTACTGGATGTATCTCGCGCCAACACAGCAAGAGTGCAACCATGCGGAATACACGGAATTGCTCCTCCGCTCAGCGCTCCCTTGTACGCGTAGCCGTAGAGGTGTGGAGTGCCTTGTTTGACAATGTGCTTTGATGATGATGGATCCTCTGCCTGAGCAGTAAATGCCAAGCTGCTACCACAGTAGTGCGAGTATATTCTGTATTGTAAACGCAAAAGTCCTAGCCTCGCTCAAATAATGACACGAAAAGAAGCGATTTGACAGTAGCCACTTTTTTGGTCCTCGGCACTTCTGCATTTCGCTAGATCAAACTTTACGATGCTACGCAGTAATTCCATCTTAAAGCCATCACATGCTCCAAGCCTTCGCTTCGCTCGTCAAAAAAGTCAATCGAGTAGCAGCAGCCACACAGACAGCGTCTGCTTAGCCACATTATCGTTCTCGGTTAGTCACCGCTGCCTGCCTCGGCCTCCAGCCACAGCCTCCAGCCACAGCCCTCCTCCGCAGTAACAGCCGCAGCCTTTCTCCCTCACCACCTCAGATTTAGTCCCGAGGGCTGTCCGCGGGTTGTGACGGCTAAGATGGAGGTGCGCAATCGAAGCCGATTCGGCATTGGGCCAAGTGCCGTCAGCGATGAACCCCAACCGATTTTTGGTCCCTGAATCTGAGTAAACTATTTGATAATCTTGAAATTCCGTTGTGGGAGAGGCAGAGATACGAAATAGGACCCCAATCGACTTCCCTCATTCTCTCTCCTTCGCTTTCGCTTTAATTTTCTCCTCCCCTTCTTCTTCACACTCGACTTCACGGGCTATCCACGGCATATACACCATGGGGGAGTCTATCGATCGCAACGACACCGTTCCTGGCGTCGCGCTGGCAAAGGAGCTCTGGAGACATCCAGACCCTGCGTCCACGCCCATGTGGAAGTTTCTCCAGACGGTGAACCAGAAGCACAATCTGCGTCTGAACGGATACCCGGACCTGTACAAGTGGTCCGTCGACAACGTCGCCCACTTCTGGGACGAAGTGTGGCAGTTTGTGGGCATCGTCAGCTCCAAGCCATATCCTTCGGTGCGTTCAACTCCAAACGATACTGACAATTACCAGCCATGATAGGGTACGTCCACTGACCGGCGCTTCTTCTTTGAAACAGGTTCTGCCACCGAATGCGCCCATGTTCCCTCGCCCCGACTTCTTCTCCGACTCCCTCCTCAACTTTGCCGAGAACCTCCTGTTTCCTCCCACTCAAGAGCCCCTCGACCCCAACTCTACCGCCGTCATCACCACCACCGAGCTCCCAGGCGACTTGCGCTCAACCACCTGGGGTGAACTGCGCGAGGCTATCCGCCAATGCGCCAATGCTTTGCGCGCTGCGGGACTGGAGCCCCACGATGTCGTCGCCGGTTACGTATCCAACCATGTAGAGGCCGTGGTTGCAATGCTGGCTGCCGCCTCCATAGGCGCGATATGGACGGGCATCAGCCCTGACAGCGGCGTCTCTGCCGTGTTGGATCGACTGAGCCAGATTGGACCCCGTGTCCTGTTTGCAGACAACGGCACCGTTTACAATGGCAAGGAATGGTCAAGCACATCCAAGACAAACGACATTGTCGCCGAGCTCAGCAAGATGGGCTTGCACCAGGTCGTCGTAATCAACAACATCAAGGGCGAGCTTGGCATCGAGGACATTGAGGCCCACGGCGTCAAGGCTGTTGAATACCAAGCGTTCCTCGCCAGCGCATCTTCAGAGAATCTCAAGTTCGAACAGCTGTCGCCATCCCATCCACTCTACATCCTCTACTCCAGCGGAACTACTGGTCTCCCCAAGGCAATCGTTCACACAGCCCTGGGAACGCTCATCCAGCACAAAAAGGAACACGTGCTGCACTGCTCATTAACCCCTGCGTCGAGCATGCTCTACTACACAACTACTTCCTGGATGATGTGGCATTGGAGCATCGGGGCGCTTGCTGCTGGAGCCAAGCTGATTCTATACTCGGGATCGCCCTTCCGACCCAACTCGTACATGTCTCTGCCTCGCGTGCTGTCGGATCTCAAGGTCACTCATTTCGGCACCTCAGCGGCCTACCTCACGGCCTTGGAGGCCAACAGCGTCTATCCTGTTCGCGATCCCAGCATTGACTTGTCTCATCTCGAAGCCATCTACTCCACTGCATCACCACTGCCCCCGTCCACCTTTTCATTCGTCTACGAAGCCTTCCCCAAGAACATTAATCTCGGCTCCATCACTGGCGGCACCGACATCATCTCCCTATTTGGCGCTTCTTGCCCTCTA